GGTACATAAGAGTGAAGATAAAACTACCTCCATAGCAACCAAAAGGAAGTAAAACAAGAACTACAAGCCCCACTCAACTCTCCCATGACTCTGATTTCACTACATTACACATTAACTTATTTAAGGTCTGTAATCAGCTCTACAAATAGTTAATTGATACACAGCATTCCATAGCAAATTTATACACAGTTCTAAAGCTGGAGTATCTCCAGTTCCATGAGTGGAGCCCGGTAGCATAGTGGTTAATGCTTCGACCACTCGCCTCACAAGCGATAGTACAAGCGATAGGTGATTAACCAGGCAGAGCAAAATTTCAGGCAAGCTTCCTTACTCCACACACCTCAGTTTACCTAGCAGTAAGTAGGAACCCGGTTGTTAGTCAATTGGCATATCGCTTTTTGGGGGGAATTAACTCTTAGAAGAAAAAATGGTCACTCAATCGACGACTGTTTGTGGGACACTGCTGTGCACAATTGGCTGCCGCATTTTGCCAACATATAATCAATTCACTTTACAATATACTCTGTGAAGCGCTTTGAGACGTCCCAAGGAGCTATATCAATGCAAGGATTATTATTATCTGTACTCAGTTGTTTATGTGCCCTCCAGGCTGGGTTCTGGCATCGATGCCACTTTTCATTGTTTTGGAATTGAGACAAAACACACAAAGGAAGATTGTCGCTTAAAGAAATGGTTTCTCAACAAAAGCTGGTAGTCAGTTCCCGAATAGCTGTGGTTATGTGGTTAATGAGTATGTCATACCTGCTCTACCTGGCACCCAGCCCACATGAATGATATCGTTGGCACCGGCACTGCCCCAGTATTCCTGGCATGCAAGAACCAAAATGCCTGAATCAAGCAGCTGCTACAGGCAAAAGCAGAGGAAGAATTGCTCTTCCTTCGCTTCACTTTACAAAGTTTGCTGTACAATTGCCTCTGCTCAAATCTCACTGCTTACTTTCTCATTTAATAATAATAATCCTTGCATTTGATATAGTGCCTCATCATGCCTTTGTGACGTCGAAAGCGCTTCACAGAATATACTGAAAAGTGTCCTGTAGCTCAGTGGTTACAGCACTAGTTTTGCAAGCGAGAGACCTGGGTTCAATTCCCGGCTGGGTGAATCCTTGGGCAAGTTTCCTTACTCCACATGCTTGATAATAATCCCTCAAGAAAAAAGCAATAATAAATTGGTCACTTCAGTCCACATCTGTTTGTGGGACACTGCTGTGCGTAATTGGCTGCCGCATTTCGCCCACAAATATACAGTCAATTCACTTTACAGTCTATTCTGTGACGCGCTTTGAGACGTCTAGAAGAAGTGAAAAACGCTACATCAAATGCAAGGATTATTATTATTATACTGAAAAGTGGATTGAGTGTATAATTTGTGGGCAAAACGTGGCAGCCAATTGTGCACAGCAGTGTTCTACAAAGTTGTGGATTGAATTATTATTATTTAAAAAAATTTTTTAAGGTATTATTACCTGCAAAAAAGTGAATGGTCAATTGACTAACAACCATGGCTACTTACTGCTAGGTAAACAGGCGTGTGGAGTAAGGAAACTTGCCTCCCAGCCCTGCCCGGTCACCTGTGGGGTACCCCAGGGCTCCATCCTTGGCCCCCTTCTTTTCCTCATCTATATGCTCCCTCTCGATGTGATCCACAGACACAGGGTAAACTTCCACATGTATGCAGATGACACACAAATCTACTTTGCCTCCTCCAGCATTGACTGCAGGTTGACCGATGTTCTATCATCTTGTCTGGCAGACATCAAGGCCTGGATGAGTGTAAACTTCCTGCAGCTGAATGTGGACAAGACGGAAGCCACACATTTTGACTTCTGTCAATGTCTTCACTCCTGCAGATATACATTCCTCAATCTCCCTGGGCTTTTCGAGACTCACCGAACCAGTGCAATCTAGGCATCCGGTTCGACCCCCAGCTGTTCTTCCTCTCCCACCTCCGATCCCTGACCAGGACCGCCTTCCTCCACCTTCACACACATTGCCCGTCTCTGGCTGTACCTTACCTCAAAGGCAGCCGAAACTGTTGTATATGCGTTTGTCACCTCTCGCTTGGATTACTCAAAAGCACTCCTCGCCGGTCTCCCCAGCTCTACTATTCAAAAAATCCAGATCATTCAGAACTTTGCCGCCCACATACTGACCCGGACCAAATGCCGTACCCACATCTCACCAGTTCTGACCCAGGCTCCACTGGCTCCCCATCACCGAACAGATCGACTTCAAGATCCTCACACCCGTGTTCAAATCCATTCACTCCCTGGCACCTCCCTACCTCTCCGACCTCCTCAATCCCCAATTCACCACAGCTCAACTGGCACCGGCCTCCTACTTGTCCCTCGCACCCTCCACTCCACCATCGGAGGCGTGCTTTCAGCCACTACGCCCTGAAACTGTGGAACACTCTCCCTTAATCCCTCCGCTTTGCCCGTGTCTCCTTTTTCAAATTCCGTCTGAAAACCTTCCTTTTCGGTCACCTCCCCCACCGGCTCGGAGTCAGGCTCTGCCACTGTTAAACATTCTGAGACACTACCCTGCGTGCAGGGCGCTATATAAGTGCAAGTTGTTGTTGCCTGAGGTTTCGCCCGGCCCAGATCCACTCGTTTTGCAAAGTTTGCAAATAAAGCACAAAAATTTGTAGCATGTGGTTTATGAGTTTGTAATTCATATGGGTTTGAATTTAAAGCTTAAAACAGCATTTTAAATTCTGTCCGTGCATTGTTCCATTTCAGATTGTAACAATTACTAAGAGGTAGGATCTCTGGCAGATTCCTCAACCCCTCCTATCAGCTTCAATATATATGCATGCAGAATGCACCGACTCTTCCCCATACATAGCACAACAATGTGAGTGGGCAGAGTAAGCATGACGCCTCACTGGGACTGCTGGTACAATCCAGTGACACTTAAGACAACACTATATATAGAAACGGTGCAAAAAAGGGGGAAGTCCAGGATTTCATTTCCGCTTCTTGCATCAGTCTATAATCATTCCACAGTGTTGAGCTGCAGTGACTCGCATGTAGATCTTGAACCACAAGATGGTTTGCTATACTGTACAATGAAACATACAGTATATACTGTTTGCAAACACAGTTTGCTATACTGTACAATGAAACGTTTCGCCCACAAAATATATAGTCAATTCACTTTCAGTATATTCTGTGAAGCGCTTTGAGACGTCTCAGACGTGATAAGATGCTATATCAAATGCAAGTATTATTATAATGAAACACAATTTATCTGGCTTTACAGAGACCCGATCTGCTGGTCATTTTAATGGTCAATACCATCTGTTATCTTTCTCTCCCTCACCCCTCAAAAAAGAAATTTTTCGGCAGCACCTTGGGACAGCCTTCCGACGTGAAAGGTACTATATAAATGTAATTTGTTGTTGAAAATGCATAACCAGAGAGTTGATCATAGTTGCAATTTAAACTGGTTTACACTGAGATGAGTTTCCTTTTAATTGGTTACTACATCTGAGCAAACGCTCATTAACTTATAAGTATGTTTGAAAAACCTTTCGCTATGACTTCAGCTGTTCTCTGAAATTTGGTGTTCTTCATTCAGGATTTGCTCCCTACCTTCACCCACAAAGTATGCAGTCAATTCACTTTACAGTATATTCTGTGAAGCGCTTTGAGACGTCCCAAAGACGTGATAAAGCACTTTATCAAATGCAAGCATTATTATTATTACCGTATTATTACTCGACTCCGATTCTAGTTTCTCTTTTTCTCAGACAAGCTCACTCTCAGTTTTCTTGATATATATATATATATACACCCAAACTTAACACATGAAAGAAAATTGTAGGTTATTCACTATATTACATCCCTGCCTTCCCCTTTTTGCTGTTCTTGTGTCTTACCTCCAGCTTCATGGTTTCTCTCTCTCTCTGTCCTGCCTTGTGTCCATATACTGCACTTCCTCAATCCCCAACCTAGGGTTAGCTCCCCCTTCCCCTCTCCTTTGCTTGGGGCCTGACCCCATCTTTTTCAAGTACTCTGAGACGTTATCCTATATAAATGCTTGTTATTGTTAGTGTTGCTGTTGTTATCTTTGTTTTTCCAGTCTCTTTGTGAGGTTTGAATTATTCCTGCTTCCCACACACAGATGACCTCTCTGATAAAAACAACTTCTCTCAGTCCAGATAACATATTTGGCATTGTACAACATTGTACAACAGCAGGGCGAATCATTAGGCAAATTTCCTTACTTCACATGCCTCTGCTTAGCAAGCAGAAGTAGGAACCCGGCTATTAGTCGATTGACAGATCGCTTTTCCGGTGGTAATAACCTCTTCAAAAAAATAAACAACAACAATTTGGTCATTCAATCTACAACTGTTTGTGGGAGACTGCTGTGAGCAATTGTCTGCTGCGTTTCGCCCACAAAATACACAATCCATTCACTTTACAGTATATTCTGTGAAGCCCTTTGAGACGTCTCGAAGACATGATAAGACGCTGTATCAAATGCGAGGATTATTATTATTATCCCTGATATTTGTGGGGGGGGGCGGGGGGTAGGTGGAGCTAGAAGTAAACGAGACAACTTATTGTTCACGTGCGTTCGGTCTCTTTTGCTTCAGAGTTTATTTTCTGTTGTACAACAGCGGGGCGAAATGTTAGACCAGTTTCCTTACTCCACATGCCTCTGTTTACCGAGCCGTAAGCAGGACAGCATTCATCGGTTTTGACATTAAAATTCCCCTCGAGTTGCAGGAACTTCCTGAAAAGCTTAAACCTGTCAATAATCATCCTCTTGATGACATGTCCTCATGCGTCCCCGCACAGCTCCGACTGTGGTCACAGGATGTAAATTTTTTGGCAGATTTCACTGTTATTCCGCGAGAGGGGAATTTCCCGGCGCTGCCCTATCACAAGCCTGCCATCTGATTCCTTGTCAGCAGACTTCACTTTTTGGGTCAAATTTATTTGCTCACAGTTTAGCAAGCTGGGCTTGGAGGAGAGTTATAGCGAAGAGTACACTTTGTGTGATGAATTCTACCCCTTCTGAAACAGCAGGTATGTAAGACGAGTTATGGAAATTAACTTTCAAACAGCTAATTAAGGACAAGCCAGTGCACATTAACTTGTACTTACAGTAAATGGCAGTGAAGTGGGTTAATAAAAATCCTTCATTTGATACAGTGCCTTAACATGTCATTGAGATGACTCAAATAATCTCACAATGAATTGACTGTGTATTTTATGGCTGAAACCCAGCAGCCAATTGTACACAGAAGTGTCACTCAGAGTGACCAAATGTTGAATTGTTAGGGTTAAAGCTGGTCTGCAAAAAGAAAGAACAAAGGTATTTTGCTGGAACAAGCAGCAAATTAACAAGTTCAACTTATTCATAGTAACTTGGAGTACAGTCTCTTTACATGCAATGTTTTTATATTGTTTTTATATTGTGTCAGCCTGGCTCACGTTGGTAACACTCTCGAGTCAGAAGATTTGGGGTTCAAGCCCCAGGTCAGGACTTGTCTTTGACACTCCAGTTTTGGAGCCCTCCTTTGGATGTGACATTAAACTGAGGTCATGTCCTGTCAGTCTGTTCAGGTGGATGTTAAAGATACCTTGGCACTGTTCAAAAACAGGAGGGATTCTTGTCTAACAGTCTCAAAATAAAATTGGTCATTCATTTCACAGCTGTTTGTGGGATATTGCTGTGCGTAAATTGGCTGACGCGCTCACCTACAAATACAGTCACTACACTTCGCAGTAAAATCCTGCGAAGAGCTTTATCAAATTCAAAGATTATTATAATAATCCTAAATGAAACAAATTTCTTTACCAGAAGCAAGAGGCATACAAATAACATGTGAAGGACAATTTAAGGACAGGCATCAGAAAGTTGTTCGTGACATATAATAATATTGCTTTTAATATAGAGCCTTATCACGTCTTTGAGATTTAATTGTATATTTTATGAGCGAAACACAGCAACCAGTTGTGGACAGGAGCGTGTCCCAAACAGTCATGGATTGAGCGATCAAATTAGTATTTTTTTAAAAAAGAGATTATTATCCCCAGAAACCGATACGACAATCAACTAACTGAGTTCCTACTTACTGCTAGCTAAACAGAGGCGTGCGGAGTCAGGAAACGTGGATCAGCTAACTCGCTGCCCTGGGAATCTACTCCGGGTCCTCTCGCTTGCCAGGCGAGCGCTCTAACCACTAAGCTACAGGACTCCATAGCATAATTAGCAGCTATGCCAGACAGGAGAACACTTAAAGGAGCTGTGCAGCAAAAGCTTTGTCCAAACTCTAAACTGTGCTGTAAATGGCTGGTGGTGGGGGGGGGGGGCGGGCTCGATTTTCTGGCAATTGCATTACCCAGCACTGACCTACTACACCTAATGGGCACAAGAGAACAAACCTGTTAGCCCTGCTTTTCATCTCCACAGACCTAACCAACAGGAAAACAAACTGAGGCACTACTTTGTGAAGTGTCACATTTTCCAGTTGGTGATAGGTTGTGTGTGTGTGTGTGTTATGGTGGCGTTCCACTGAGTTTACTCAATATTTTCACTGGTGACAAATACAGAGGAAATGAATCATAACAAAAAAGGTAGTGAAACCAAATGATATGGTAAGGTGATTAAGATGAGATGACTGATAATATTCAAAGGCTTGTGGGTAGATTAAGATGGGATAAAGATATTGGAGATTAATTTAAGTTGGAAACATTTCTTTTCTCAAAACAGCTGAACTTTTCCATTTAGTCTATACCTCACATGGCTATTAAACTAATACACAATAGTAAATCAATAATGGGTACATTCATTTCTGGTTATTAAAGGGAAACATAGCCGTATTCTGCCCACAAAATATAGAGTCAATTCACTTTACAATATATTCTGTAAAGCGCTTTGAGACTCCAACAATATAATAAGGCGCTATATCAAGGATTATTATTAATATTGGGTTAAAAATGTGAATATAGAGTGGTTACAGTCTGGAATGCACTGCTTGAAAGGGTGGTGGAAACAGATTCACTGACAACTTTCAAAAGGGAATTAGATAGGTACTTGAAAAGGGAAAATTTGCAGGAGTATGGGGAAAGAATGGGCGAGTGGGCTCCTTCTGTGCTGTAATATTCTATGATTCTAGAATATTGCATTAAATCTGTTATGAAACATTTGCAGTTTTCATCCCTGGTGGATATGGGGGGAAAAAGTAAAATCAGATTAAATTATGAATCTCGCTCTTTCCACCACTCTCTTCCATTATTATTTTTTATTTATTAAGTTAATTTGGAGAGAAAATGTTGTTGAAGGTTAGAAGGATAATAGACAACTGTTCAAATACTCCAAGGACCTTTCTGCTTCCTTACAGTCTTAAAACAATCCATTTAATCTCCAGGTCTTTTCCAAATGTCTGCTCCACATTCCGTTCCAATAATCCCAAAGGGAGATTTGGAGAATCTTGCCTTGTTCCAGATGAGAAACGGATTGATAATAAAGGCAAGACATAAACACAGAAACATCGATGTGTCTGTCAAGTTCCTGACCAACCAAAGTGTACGAGACAGGTGGGTGAATATTTCCCCAATCGTTTACAGGTTCCATTTCTGGTTTTCAACTAATCAAATTGTTGCTCCTACAATCGCATGACTCAAGCAAGTGTACCAGAAACAATACCATCTCTTCAGGGATAAACCGGCAAACCGACGTGAAAGGCGCTGTGTAAATGTCATTTGTTGTTGTTGTTCAGCAAGACATTTTCCGCTAACATGGATGGAATAAGGAGGAAATTACTGATATCATATTGTTACACTCAACTCATTGGCAACAGAGAATAAAAATTAATCGTCAGAAAAAACACACACAGGGAGTTAACGGGACCTTGTGAACACCCTGTTGATGTGTCAGAGAGAGCAGGGAATGATGGAGAGAGGGTGCCCTCAATTAATAAATAAAATAATAATAATTTGGTCAATCAATCCACGACTGTTTGTAGGACACTGCTTTGCGCAATTGACTGCCACGTTTTGCCCACAAAAATTCAATTAATTCACTTTGCAGTATATTTTGCTAAGTGCTTTGAGATGTCTCGAAGACGCAATAAGGTTCTATATCAAATGCAAGGTTTATTATTATAATTATAAAGTCTTCTGTATAGTGCTAGAAGTGGAAAAAGGATGCCATAGATAGGTTAAGGTTGAAAAGAAAGTTTGGAGGAGCAATGCCCTTTGTAGGGTCAATAAAATAGAGAACGATTGTTCACAAAGCAGGAAATCCAAGGTCAAAAGAGAATCACCAAATAAATGATGAGTCTTTTTCTGCATTCTACCCAGAAGTGTGACAAAGTTATTCAAAAAGGCTACCCATAAACACCCCGACGGAGATATATCCTCACTCTGCAGAATAATAATAAAAGTAATCCTAAATAATAAGCAATTATTTATTATTCTTTATTACCATATAAATTTATTATTATACAAATAATTTTTTTATTAATAATACATCATCATAAATTAGCACCTAATGTACACATAAATGTACTGCAACTGAGCCTGACTTCACTGAGGCTAACTTGTTATTCTGAGGCTTTTGGACTTATTTGGGGTAATATGATGAAAAACACTATAGGTGAATATAATAATCCTTACATTTGATATTACACTTCTCACATCTTAGACGTTTCACATTTTCTAGATGTCTCAAAGCTTCTAGACGTCTCAATTGTGAATGTTTTTGCTGCAATAGAAATTTCCTGTCATGACTTGTATCACACTTTACACAGAAAGGTTATGGAACTTCTGAAGGAAGTAACAAATACCGGATGTATCCAGGCTAAACAAATCGTTCCGCTGATGGGGGTTTATTCCTGTCCTCAGTTCCTCGGACTGGTTACAGAATGGATGTGCAATGGATCCCTGGATTCTCTCATACACGAGGTCAGTACAATGTGCTTCACTGGAGCTTCAACAACAACAAGAAGATTAAATGAACCTAATGGAAACTTTCAGTGGATTGATTTTTAAAAAAAAGAGATTTCTGAATTAAGTTCATAATTGAGAAGTGTCAGTGCTAGACAATGGACCATCTTTTTACATTGATACTGATGATAATAATAATACTTGCATTTGATATAGCGCCCTAACATGTCTTCGAGACATCTCAAATTGCTTCAGAGTACACTGCAAAGTGAACTGACTGTATATTTTGTGGACTGTATATTTTGTGAGATCAGTACTAAGCACTGACAGGGCAGTGTACTGCAAAAGCGATGAGGCAAAGTTCCCTCGACTGGGTCCAAAGTATTCTCAAATTAAGTGCAGGGTACATTTATATTCAAGGGTAATGTTTCAACTCTGTTTTAACAGTCAGATGCTGAGATGTGTACAGGAACATTAGTCTTACCATTTGTAATAACTCCAAACCTCCATGAATTGTGTTGCCAGCACTAATTCATTACATTACTTTATTTACATGGTAATGTAAATATTACTATTAATTGATTTCAGGGTGATTTCTATTCAAATTTACCAGTCCCTCTCAGACTGAGGATTCTATTGGATGTTGCTGAAGGGATGAGTCACCTCCATGGGATGGAACCTCCTGTTATCCACCAGGCACTGAAACTCAGCAACGTCCTCCTGGATAAAGACTACAGAGCTAAGGTAAGCAACTGCACCAATACTAGAAACAGGTACCAGGGAGATTGGATACTCCTACGCCAATCCTGAGGCCAAACATGTCCATATACTGATCGTGTAGCTGAGCACAGGTATTAAATATGATGCAGAATTGATGTTATGTGCATCCACACTGACATGCTCTCGTTACCAGATGGCTGATGGATTAACAGGTCTGTCTGTTCGTCACAGCTTTCAGATTACAGCATGTGCAAATGGAGGAAGTGGACCTCATCTTCAACCCTTGCGATCCCATCCAATCCTAAAGACATTGTCTATATGGCACCGGAGTGTCTCCAGGGAAAGCCACCATCCACAAAGGGAGATGTATACAGGTGATGTATACCAATTGTCATATCAGCCTGTTGCAGTAAGCAATGAACTCAAACTAAATAGAGGGGATCACACTCCATACAACTGTATTCCTGCAAGTTTACATTTAGTGATTGTCTGTAAAAGAAAAAAATTCACCAATAACATATCAATATGCAGAAGGGATCTGAAATACCTTGCTGTAGCATGGCCACATGATATGCACGCTTGGAAAAGCAAAAGTGCTTACTTTGTGACAGACAGAGAATTGCCACAACAAGCATCAAGTAACAGAAACCGCTGATGTTATTTAAGATGACTTCACCCTTTTCAAGTTGACCTCCTAATTTTGTGGTGTGGAGTTTTACCATTAAATGACTGGATCTATATTTAATCACACTGACCACCTCCGATGGAAATAATATGTTTTAACTATTACTGCAACAGAAGCTCATTTACTCACAATGCAAGCTTTGTGGCTTACTTAATGTATCACTTTAAGTTATTCATACATCATTGATACTTGGTCAGATACTAAAACACAAAAACTCATATTTCACCCACAAACTTAAAATCAATTCACTTTACAGCATCAGTGAAGCGCTTTGAGATGTCTCGAAGATGTGATGAGGCACTATATCAAAAGCAAGGATTATTATATTATTAAAACAGCAGTTAGACCAACACCTATAGAGGTCAAAAAAAACTAGATAGAGTAAGAAATGGGGTGGTAAGATTGCTCTTAAGTTCTGAGGTTTCGAATTTAAATTGATTGAATACATCAATATCTAAAGCCTCCACATCATGAGAAACGAATACGAGGAAACATTTGATGCTTATGCTAAAAAAAAACTGAAATTTCCAGTGGCTAAAAATACTGTCAAAATACAAAACAGATTGATGACGACTCTGACTAAAAATATTAGGGTGTGCAGCAAACTCTTTTTCTCCATTAGGTTACCCTGGCTTTTTCACAGAAACTAATATTGTTTCATCTTTCTTTCCCCTCTAGTTATGGCATGTTGGCATATGAAGTGCTCACCGGTAGGAGGCCTCATGAAGGTAAGATAATAATATTCCTTGCATTTGATATAGCGCCTTATCACATCTTTGCAATGTCTCAAAGCACTTCACGAATACACTGTAAAGTGAATTGGCTGTATATTTTATGGGCGAAGATGTAAAGCACACCTCACGGGCACTACAGTAGTCCTCTCCTTCATAAAAATCCACTTGGATGAAGGCCCTTCAGTCCATTTGATTTTATCCTTCCAGAATACTCATGCAACCAAGTTCCCAACACAGCATCAAGCTGTTTTTTAAATAAGGCAGAGCCATCATTTTTCCTTATCACAGGAATCCTCCCTTAGAGGTGGAACTCAATCACACAATCTGATTTCGCTGTGATTCTAATCTATTTATATTTAACCATTGGTCTTTGAGTATTAATAGTGTTTCCAGTAAACAAAGATTACTTTGGAATGACTTAATTCCTTTATTGGGAGCACTGCATGTTCATGTGGTGTAGGCATTTGAGTGATTGTTATCACAACAACAACAACAACTTGCATTTAAACAGCACCCCTCATGCGGGGTAGCGTCCCAGAGCTCTATCGTAGAGTTGGTGCGCTTTTTATTTGAGTAAATTTCACTAATTTTAATGCACATCACTCATTTCCCCAGATAAGCAAAACCTGCAGGATATAATACTAGCGATCAACAATGGAGCCAGACCTAATTGCACAACCGAGGCCTTTCCAGCCAGTCTTCCTCACCGAGATACTCTGATCCATCTCATCACTAGTTGCTGGAATGAGGAACCGCAGAAGAGGCCACAGTTCAGAGGTAAATGTTTTGTATCACTCAAAGCAATGATCTTCAAGAGACACATGATGAAATTCCCTTTAGACCAGGCTACACTGCAATAAGTATTTCATTCCATATCCTTTCCTTCAAAAGAGAGGGAGATCAATCAAGATGACGGTAAGATAATATTGAATGAGAAAAGGATATTTTAGCCCAAGTTTATAACAGTAATAATATTTGCATTTGATATAGCACTTTATCACGTCTTTTGAGACATCTCAAAGCACTCCACAGAATATACTGTAAAGGGAATCGACTGTATATGTTGTAGGTGAAACGTAGCAGATAATTGTACACAGCAGTGTCACACAAACAGTTGTGGATTAAGTGACCAAATTATTATTTTTATCTATTCCATGCACACACTAAAATCTTCCACTCTTCCTCACCCAAATCCAATTTAAAGTTAAAACTGTTTTATCTGGTAGAATGTACTTTAATTTATCGTGGTATGTTCCAACCTACTTCTATCGGCCAAGTGTTAGGAGAGGCTCTATAGTGAATCCCATGGAAATCGATATAATAGCATCCAAGATACCGATTGAGAAATTATTTTAAGAGTTGTGTTCTTTTCTACCTGTGATATAAATAAACATGTTTCTCCTCCAGATTGCAAAAATCTCCTGAAGAGCGTTTTTGAAACTTTTGACTCCTCAATGGTGTCGAATGCAGTTCACAGTCTGGCACTAACAAAGGTAACATATCAAGATACTACATAGAGAGTAAATAAAATGTTACTATATCCATCCTCGATAGTTCACATTGTCATGTCTCATTCAGGAGAACGAGAGGTAGACAAAAGTCTCTCGCAATCGTCTGGATGTCTATCAGTAATACAAACAGACAGGAGTTTTATTTCTCAGCAGTTGCTTTTCCCAAACAGTTGAGTAGGACAGGGTTAAATAGAGAAATAGCAAAAGAGCTTCCGATCAGAAATTCGGCAAGATACAATTTATATTCTGTCTGGAATGTGAAATGACATGTGCATAACTGTTGTTTGAAACAATAGGAATATTACGAAGGCCTAGGACCAAGTTTCCAGTTAGCGTCTCTTGGATTGGTTCACACAAACCCAAACGCCTGAACTGCAGTCAGTTCCACCCTCCTTGTGAAACAGCAATTGAATATCATTACAACAGTAAATACGGTACTCTGGTTTTCCAACCAATACTGTTCACTCAACAATTCGCTCTTACATTAGAATTGCTGAGCATTAACTTTGATACAAGTCTTTGATACAACTCGAGAATAGATATTTAGCATTGCAGAGCCACAAAACAAATGAAAATGCAATAGAAAGTGAAAATATTAAATTATATTATTATAACAGGAGCTGAACCCTGTGAATGTTTTTTTAATGCAACATTCGGTTAGCATTGAATTTGCACCTGCCACTTAATTCTTTAAACACAATTTTGTTTCAGGGGAGAATGTTGGAAGATGCTCACCATACCCAATTATTTTGCATTGATGTGAAAAACCTGGAGGTAAGAGCACGGAAAGAGAAAATTTGCAGCGACAGGTTAAGCTAACTTCAAGAGTTTGGCAAGCTCACAGTAAAATTGTAGCACTGAACAGCTTTAGAGTTTATTAAATTAAACATGCAATATACCTAGCCATTGACCGTGTGTTCTGTAATACATTACTATGTATAGAATTATTAACTGCCCAGTATTATTACCAGGGTGCCTCCCGATGTGAAAGCCGCTTTACAAATGCAATCGGTTGTTGTTGTTGAGTTGCTCCTTCCTTCCCTCTTTCAAGGCAAGTCCTAAAACTTACCTTTTTGACCGTGCTTTCATCTTCCTCACCCCTCTCCCGCCTCAGATCCCACCTTCAGCTGTGGTGCCCAGGCCTTTGGGACATTCTCCTGACATGAAAGGTGCTATCCAAGCGTAAATTGTATTGTACTGGTATAAATAAGCTGTCAAAAGGCCTATAATACTGCAACAATCTTCTGGATATTTTAGTATTAGACACCATACCTTGAACCGTTCTTACTGTGATTCCCTCAGTTGCCTTGTGATGAAATTCCCTCCAAATTGCCTCCAACGAAGAACATGCATCTGGAGAGAAATAACATTGTGTGTGTCGAGAATCCAACTCCAGGACGTCTCAACAGTGAACATTCCCCAAATCCTTAAACATCCCAGAGAACCAGAGACCACCAACACAAAGTCCACAAAAAAAAGGTACAATAGGACATTGTTCTATATCGAAACTGTGGGAACCTGGTGTAGTACTCAGCTCATGTATCAGATCATGACAGCGGATCCAGTATACAAAATTTACACATACATTAGGCTTGGAAACTGCCACATTAAAGAAGATAGATACAATATATGTGTACCCGTAAATGGCTAAAGGCAACTTGAACATTATGTTGTAAAAAGTACAACAATGCTCTATAAATGTATATTGCAAACAAATTTGCACAAAACTATTCACTAAAGAATTAATAATGGATACCTTTCAGAGAGTTAGACTGATATATACAACAAGGGATTTAGATGGCATCTTAAATAAGGGATTTGTGATAGCTTTGTGATTTCCTAAATTAGATGTAGCCTTTTCTCTGGTCTCCTTGTTATAACATTTTAGAGATTGTATTACCTTTGACTCTGTCCTGTGGTACTGTGCAGTAGGTGAAGAGGTGCTGTTTAAACATCTCCTGGGTTTCTAGTATAAGACAATAGGCATCAAGAGAGACATACCCATAGCATTTACTAGCCTGTAGATTCACTACTTTTTTTTAAAAAAATCATGTATTCGATTGCTTAAAGACTAAATAGAAAATAGAATCATTAATGTAACACAGAACTATTATTTTAGCAATTTAGATGGCTTCCTTCACACCAAAGAAATATTACAAAGCACCTTACGCTCTACTATAATCGTACCTTATGTGTCTTGGTTTCATAGATACAGCTTCCTCGCCTCAGTTGGCATCAACCCTATGCACCCAGATCTCATGCTGTTGTTCTTCCATGCCTCCATCTATACAACACTGTAAAATGATGAAAGAGATTCAACCAACATTGCAACAAACTCCCAGGATGAAAGTCAGTCAGTCAGAACACAGCCTATCAGGTACGAAAATAGGTTTCGAAACAGCTTGTTCAAGGATGCAGTGCTGGTATCATCAATTCAATTGAATCCTAACCACCACCATCTCAGTGATAGAAAGGTTATCACAGAATTGACATTAAGCACTCATTGCTAGCAATGTTAATGTGTAGTACACACATTTTGAAAGTCTTTATACATACACACACATACATATATATATACACACACATACAGTATATTTCATACTCTCATTGCGCCACATCAGAGACTACATAAAAAGGGTCTGACAAATAATGTGCAACATGATAGATAACATGATGTAATAAAGTAAATCTTATTCAGAAAGAAAATATTGAAAATGTAACAGCTAGATGGCTCAGTAATAGAAACTCTGACAAGGTTGATGCTGAGGAGTTTTACCCTACAATCAATTGCACAATAACTGCACTGGAAGCGCTTGTTCAGATTGTGATGTTTAGCCTGCAACTCACCCATACTACAAATAGAACAAAGAGGAAAATCATTTGAATGTCAAGCAGTATCATCCTTCCCATTAATGATCTGAAGGAAGGTGTGGGTCGTGCCCAGAAAGCAAAACTTGCACCACAGGTTTTAACCAAAAAATACTTTATTTTTAAGACTCAAACCTTAAAAGGTTTAATTTGATAAGGAAGCAATTCCTTTTTTGCAGCCATATTCTTCAGACACTCTTTGTAACACTCAGCTATATATTGGTGTTCAATCATTAACCAGTTGCTGGTGCCCAATTAGAACTTAGGGCCAGAACTTCAAACAAGCCTGATTCGAGTCCAGCCCTTGTTAGCTCCCTTGATTCCTCGGAACACTACTGTGCGCAATTGGCTGCCGCGTTTTGCCCCAAAATATAACAGCAACATTACATTTCACGTCGGGAGGACGTCCCAAGGCGCTGGACAATCAGTGTTTGGACAATATACAGTCAATTCACTTTACAGTATTTTCTGTGAAGCGCTTTGAGATGCCTCGAAGATGTGATAAGGTGCTATATCAAATGCAAGGATTATTATTTATTATTATTGATTGAGACACCTTTGTTTAAATGAGTCACAAAAAGAAACACACTGCTTTACACATCAGTGGAACGCCAATAACCATAGATTACAGGAAGAGGATTTATCCCCGTCACATGAACACACAGAAAATTAATTTTTGTGCATTCTGATGTTAATTCCATATACTGAGTGCCATCTGATCTTCCTTTACTGTAGATTTTCAGTTGGAGGAAAGTCAAACTCCATGCACTCGGATTTTGAAACAGTGTCGGGAGTTCCTTATAAATTATATGACGGAAGGACGCCTCAACCACATCCTTGATGTGCTCCGATCCCAAAAGCTGCTGACAAAGGCCAGCTATGAAACTATCGCAGCACTAAACACACAGACCAGCCGAACACGAGCACTCTTGGATATTTGTCTCTGTCTCGGGGAAGGAGCAGCAAGGGTCGTTGTCGGCCTGTTACCAGAAGACAAGAAAGTCCAGGTCGCAGGGAGAAGTACTTGTCTGCAATGCCTCGTGAATCAAAGCTAAAAGCACTGAGGATCAGAGATCACTACTGGTGTTAAGACATCTTGGAACTGTTATGAAATGATTGAGTCCAGGTGTACAAACAGTGTACAGTATACATCAAACCACATTGACTGATCAGTTACCTTCAGCGCTAAACAATTATTGGTTTTAAAAAAATTACATTTATACAACTGAGTCGATCTATTTTGTCTGAATTATCCTGAAGATTAATTGTGAAAGTTTATTTATTATTTATTTACATGCAATCCTTAATTTTTATATAAAACTTATGGCACATTGGAACATCTACAACACCACTAATGCTACTAACTTACTTACTTACGGATATGTTCCGGGCATCCAAATATTGGCTCTACTGACTTTTAGCAGTCGAATATTTAACAGTGTTCTTTTGTGAGGCGAGATACAGGAGCAGTCATTATTCTGGGACGTCCTCCCGATGTGAAAGGTGCTCTCCAAATGTAATTTTGTTGTTGTTGGTGGAAGAATGTTTAAGGAAGTATTTTTCAACTATTTACTTCTCAGTTCCTCTTCATTTTTGTACCACGGGATACTTTTCCTTTGTATTGTCAAATGAATAAACACAGCCTGAAAATCATGGAAACTTTGCACTTTAGCACTATTCTTTAAAGTATTTCCGAGCTGGTTAATATCAAGTTATTGTACTGATAAAACTCCAGACCATTAGTGCCCCATTGCTCACAAGTGCCTGCAACTGGTGAGAAAGAATAGATTTAAGCTATAAACTCTAAAGTTTATAGTCCTGTAGGAGTCCCGTGGAGTCCTGTAGCTCAGTGGTTAGAGCACTCGCTTTGCAAGTGAGAGACCTGAGTTCAATTCCAGGCAGAGGGCGAAACCTTGGGCAAATTTCCTTACTCCACACACAGAGCCTAATAATCCCTCCAAAACCACAAACAATAATAAATTGGTCATCTTCAATCTACGACTGTTTGTGGGACATTGCTGTGCGCAATTGGCTGCCGCGTTCACCCACAAATATAGTCAATTCACTTTACAGTGTGTTCTGTGAAGCACTTTGGGACGTCCTCCCAACGTGAAAAGCGCTATATCAAATGCAAGGATTATTATTATAAAGGATAAAGCAAATCGAGGATGAATTGAACACAATTTCAATCAAGTACACAAAGGTGGAGGGATTGAGGCCGGGGATTCCAGAGGTTAGGGGAGTTGTGGTTGAAGGCAGAGTATATGCATACAAAATACATCACTGTACTCTACAGAAAATATTATGACTGTTTTCCTCTCTCACACACTCGCTCAGTAAAAGAAAATACTCGCTTCACAACAACAACAACTTGTTCGGCACGGTGGCGGGGTTGAACGCCGGCCGAGCAAGGACGATGGGGAAGACGTAGATCTTAAGGTGCGAATTAAAGATAGATAAGCGGGGGACACGCGGAGGGATTGAGCCAGAGGTGAGGGGAGCTGCGAAAATATAATGAAAATTTAAGTGCTTTGAGACGTCTTCTCACCACGAAAGGAGCTCTATCAAATGTAAAGTTCATTTCTCTGTCCCTTCACTCCCTCTTTCCCCTCACACTCGCTCACTCTTACTCTCTCCCCTCTTTATCACTCTATCGCACACTCTCTCACACTCACTCACTCTTACTCTCTCCCCTCTTTATCACTCTATCGCACACTCTCTCACACTCACTCACTCTTACTCTCTCTCCTCTTTATCACTCTATCGCACACTCACTCACTCTTACTCTCTCCCTTCTTTATCACTCTATCGCACACTCTTTCACACTCACTCACTCACTCTTATTCTCTCCCCTCTTTATCACTCTATCGCACACTCTCTCACACTCACTCTTACTCTCTCCCCTCTTTATCACTCTATCGCACACTCACTCACTCACTCTTACTCTCTCCCCTCTTTATCACTCTCTCACACACTCTCACACTCACTCACTCCCTCTTACTCTCTCCCTTCTTTATCACTCTATCGCACACTCTCTCACACTCACTCACTCTTACTCTCTCCCCTCTTTATCACTCTGTCGCACTCTCTCACACTCACTCACTCCCTCTTACTCTCTCCCCTCTTTATCACTCTCATACTCACTCACTCTTACTCTCTCCTCTTTATCACTCTGTCGCACTCTCTCACACTCACTCACTCACTCACTCTAACTCTCTCCCCTCTTTATCACTGTCTCTCACCTCTCTCACACTCACTCACTCTTACTCTCTCCCCTCTTTATCACTCTAGTGCACACTCTCTCACACTCACTCACTCTTACTCTCTCCCCTCTTTATCACTCTGTCACACTCTCTCCCTCACTCCTCCCTCTTACTCTCTCCACACTCTCACACTCACTCACTCTTGCTCTCTCCCCTCATCCACACTCTCTCACACTCACTCACTCACCCTTACTCTCTCCCCTCTTTATCATCTATCGCACACTCTCTCACACTCACTCACTCTTGCTCTCTCCCCTCTTTATCACTCTATCGCACACTCTCTCACACTCACTCACTCACTCTTACTCTCTCCCCTCTTTATCACTCTATCGCACACTCTCTCACACTCACTACTCCCTCTTACTCTCTCCCTTTTTATCACTCTATCGCACACTCACTCACTCTTACTCTCTCATCTTTATCACTCTATCGCACACTCTCTCACACTCACTCCCTCTTACTCTCTCCCCTCTTTATCACTCTCTCTCACACTCTCTCACACTCACTCACTCCCTCTTTATCACTCTCCCTCACACTCTCTCACACTCACTCACTCCCTCTTACTCTCTCCCCTCTCTCTCACACTCCCTCCCACCCCCTCACTCCCCCCCTCTCTAACGGTCCTGTCCTGGCGGTTGCCGGTTGCTAGGAGACGGTGCTGGAGGTGCGGGTAAGATGGCGGCCGCGCGGTGGGGGGGAGGGGGGCGTTGTGTGTGGTGTGTGTGGTGTGTGCGAGGGAGGGAGGGAGGGAGGGGGGAGGGGAGGTTACCCCCGGGCCCCAGAGCCCACAGCCTCCCCTCAAACAGGGCTGTGGGGGGGGGGGGGGGGGTGATCACACTGAGGGGAGGGGAGGGGCTAAAATGGTCGCAGGCCAACCCCCGCCCCCGCCCCCGCCCCCGGGGGTCCATCAATCCCCCCAAAGCCCTTCAGGTCCCTCCTGTTCCGTTGCGTGGGTCGGTCTGCGCGAAACCAGGAGAAGACGGTCACTACACGTCGGGCCCGACCAAAGCACACAGTCGCCGCAACTTTTGCGGTCAACCCTTTCGAAACGATCGCGGGTCACGTTTGCGGGCGGCGCCTCTCGCGTCGGGAGGAGGACGCCCACCCACCCACCCCCCCACCCCACCCACCCCCCACCCCACCCCCACCCACGGAGCCCGCTGAGCGGAGGGGAGCAGACGGGTTGATGTGGGAAAGTAAAGCGCTTTGAGACGTGCCTTCAGGTCCCCTCTCGACTCTCTACCCCCTCCTCGCTCCCTCCCTCCCTCCCCTCCCCTCCCCTCACCCTGACCATTGCCCCCCAATGCTCGGGTCCCGACCCGACTGTCCAGCGCCTCGGGACGTCCTCCCGACGTGAAAGGCGCTCTATAAATGCAACCTTGTTGTTGTTGTCCTCCCGATGTGATTATTGTCGCTCCACCAAATGTAAGGATTATTATTATTATTATTGCGTTCAGTTGCTGTAGGTATTCCACACCACCTTCAGAGGCGGTACGGTATGTTGTGGTCGGTGCCGCGCTGACCCAAAGTACGGCATTGGCGTGCGCTTTGAGACATCTCAACAACATGAAAAGGTGTTATATCAAATGCAAGGATTATCTTAAATAGCGGAAAAGGAACACAGATCAGGTCTTGGGTTCAGGTGAGAAACAAACAGATTTTGCCGATCCAGGCAAACTTTAAAATTGAATTGAAGTAAAACCGTTTGTTTTGAATTCCTCTTTTCCTTCCATCGTGGCTGCCAATCAGGCTCTGACGTTTTCACGATTTTCACTTCTGATCCTAAGGATCTCTGTGTGTTCTGTGAATCCATTCAGAACAGCAGTGTGTTCCGTGAAGCTTCTCAGGACTCAATAGGGTAGTGCGTTGTGTATTTTCTTCCAACTGAGAAACCGAGGTGACAGACCAAAGACATGGAGCAGGACATCACCAAGGTGGAAAAGAATAGAAGAGATAAGATACATCACAACAACAGGTCAAATTTGTGATTTAAGAGTCCGATGATTTAGAATGAAGGGAATCTTCCGCAATTGTGATTGCCTGGAGGGAATTTGAACAGGAGACGACAATTAATCTTGATTTCAACAGTAAGAGGAGTAAGGAAACTTGCCTAAGGTTTCGCCCTACCCGGGAATCGAACCTGGGTCCTCTTGCTTGCGAGGCGAGTGCGCTGACCACTACTCTATAATAATAATAATAATAATAATCCTTGCATTTGATGTAGCGCTTTTCACGTCGGGAGGACGTCCCAAAGCGCTTCACAGAACACACTGTAAAGTGAATTGACTGTATATTTGTGGGCGAACGCGGCAGCCAATTGCGCACAGCAATGTCCCACAAACAGTCGTAGATTGAAAATGACCAATTTATTATTGTTTTTGGTTTTGGAGGGATTATTATTAGGCTCTGTGTGGAGTAAGGAAACTTGCCCAAGGTTTCACCCTCTGCCTGGAATTGAACTCAGGTCTCTCGCTTGCAAAGCGAGTGCTCTAACCACTGAGCTACAGGACTCCAGTGGGTGAGAAAGAGAGGACGAGAGCGTGAGAGATGGTGTGCGTGTGTGTGTGTGTACGTGACAGGCTGCGTGTGAGAAATAGTGTGTGTGAGAGTGTGAGCGTGTGTGTGAGAGTGTGAGCGTGTGAGAGAGAGTGTGAGCGTGTGAGAGAGAGAGAGAGAGAGGGAGGGAGGGATAGGAATTGGGGTGTAATGCCTCTCAAACTCCAACGCTGTCACACAGCTTCAGTGCAGTAAATCCGCGCCCACACGTACACACGTCCGCGCCCGTAGTGTCAGATCCAGGCTGTGCTGGGGGGGTTTGTGGGGCGTGGTGGGGGGGGGTGGGGGAGGGGGGGGAAGAGGAGGGGGGTTCCGACAAGGATCACTTTAAACAACAACAACTTGCATTCATATAGCGCCCTTCTTGTGCTTGGTGTGTCTTCATAACTTTCAGGAATATTCCGAAAGCAAATCTGAATGTGTTATCAGAGTGAAAATTATACACTAAAAATCTCCTTCCTTTGCTTTGTGTTCCCAGATAATTGCTTCCTGGGTAGGAACGTTATACTCCAAGAAGATGAAAAATCCGAATTCCACAAATTTCCTTAATCTGAGTAATGTCAATAATGTCTACTCACGTACAAGTCACTTCATTCAGAAGAGAAAGCCAACAAAAGAGGTTTCTTTAATGAAAGGTGTCATCCTTATAATAGGTCATGTGATTGGGGCAGGGATATTTATTTCTCCTGTAGGAGTCCTGAAGTACACAGGCTCTTATGGGCTCTCCTTGATCTTATGGTCATTCGGAGGACTATTCTCAATTATTGGAGCCATGTGCTTTGCTGAACTTGGGACAACTATCACCAAATCTGGTGCAAGTTATATATACATTATGGAAATATTTGGTCGATGTGCTGCATTCATTAAACTATGGGCATCACTACTTCTTATTGAGCCTTCCTTGCAGGCTATTACTGCCCTCACCTTTGCTAACTATCTAGTGCAGCCCATCTTTTCAAGCTGTGATCCGCCATTTTTAGCAGTTCAGCTGCTTGCGGCTGCTTCCATCAGTAAGTATAATAAAGCATATTTTCCTGACGGATGTGACATTTTGATTGGTTTAAAACAATGCTGAAAGATATCACTAGTGATTATACTATATACTAAAATGAATACTGGTTAATTAAGTGGCATGGAGTCAGATTGCTGCACCGCCCACCCCCTAACTAAGTCAGTGATGGGGATGTTCCTCATGTTGGAGGTGCCCTCTTACTCTCCCAGTGTACTGGCCAACAATCCCTCAAATTAAAAAATGATTCATTCACTCATGACTGTTTGTGGATATTGCTGCGTTTTCCTACAAAACTATACTTCACAGTAATTCCCGTGAAGCGCATTGAGACATCTCGACAACGGGCTAAGGCACTATATCAAATGCAAGGATTATTAATTTTGTTTTGTATGTTAAAACATTTGTAGTTATTCATGTCTAAATAATTAAAATGGTTATGTCAGTTAGGGCACTGAATCTGTACCATACATTGAATGTAAGAACTGTATTGTTTGCTGCAGTCATTCTGTCTGTTCTGCTATATATCCAGGTCTAATTACTTTTACAAATTGTGCCTATATGAAATGGGGCAGCAGAGTAGAAATACTGTTGACGTATGCCAAAATGATTTCCCTCATCATCATTATTATTGCAGGAATTATTAAACTCATTCAAGGTAAGAGATTATCCCATTCTTCTCCAGTCACGCAACACTCTTACCTTCTGCGGTCCTTTCCTAAACCTAATCTTTTCTCTTCAGAGTTCTTTGTTTCTTCTCTTGCTGAAGTAAATGTTGTTTTTGCTCAATCCCATTTAAAATGAGGGCAATTCAATTGATATTCTGTCCCACTGTGAACACTTTGTCTCTTTCCCTTCGAATTGTCATTTTAAAATAAAACATGACTTCAAGGCTCTAAGCCAGTTTGAAAGGCGACCAACCCAAACCACTGGTCACAAATCACTGCTTAAACACAAAGTTTGGGACATGACATGTGCTTGCGGCTGCCAAGCCGGCTAAAGGCGAACTGGAAAGACCTTGGTCTTCTTTCGTCTAGCAAATGTTATGTTCTTAAGTAAAATAATATTTTGCTGGTTAATCAAAGAGGGATTTCAAAAAATGCAGAAAAAGTTCAAGTTAGAATGAAACCTCTGACAGAGTTCAGTATTTCCAACCAAACATGTCTTTTCTTATTGAGTATGACATTTTTGTTTCCTTCAGAAAAGCACACTGACTTGATTTCTGCTTTTGATGGTTCTTCGTGGAAAGTCGACAGCATTGTTGTGTCCCTATATTTCACATTGTTCTCCTATTCAGGCTGGGACATTCTTAACTACATGATAAAAGAAATTAAAAACCCGGGCAGGTAAAAGTACCTATCAGTCATGTCGTGCCTTTTATCACCCACAACTTACATTAAATTCACTTTCCAGTATATTCTGTGAAGCGCTTTCAGATGTCTCAATGAAGTGATAAGGCACAATATCAAATGCAAGGATTCTAATTATTATTATGAGCATCTCCTTCACAATCATGAAAGGGATCAAAGGGTGTGGGGGGTTGGGATGTTGATCAAAAGGTGCAGTGAAAGAGTTTTTTATAAAGGTTTTAAAGGTGTGAAGCTTCAGTTCAAGTTAAAACAAAAGAAACTGTACAGTAAATCTTGAGTGAACTTGGCAATATAGCAAGCAGTCTATTATTTTCTCTAGGGCAGCTTATAGAAGGAAGACTATTTTTCTTTTCTGGGCATATTGGGCATCTGTGCCTTGCTATATTGTTTTTCATTTTTCCTGTTTTATTTTGGGTTGTGCACATATCTTTTGATTCAATTTATGGCCTTTTAGAAGTCGCTGGGAACACGCAGCAGGTCAGGCAGTGGAGTCATGTAATTCAGTAGTTAGAGCATTCGTCTCGCAAGTGAGAGACCTGGGTTCGATTCCCAGTAGGGCAGAACCATAGGCAAGTATCCTTACTCCACACACCTCTGTTTACATAGCAGTAAGTAGGAACCCAGTTGTTAGTCGATTGGCAGATTGCTTTTCTAGAGGTAATAATCCCTTCAAAAAAAAATAAGAATAATTTGGTCATTCAATCCATGATTGAGTGGGACACTGCTGTGCGCAATTGGCTGCTGCGTTTTGCCCACAAAATATACAGTCAGTTAACTTTACAGTATATTCTATGAAGCACTTTGAGACGTCTCAAAAATGTGATAAGGCACAATGCAAGGATTATTATTATTTTGATAATGTATTTTTTTCTTTATTCACTTCTGAGCCAGAAGGCTGTCGGCTCTGACTCCACGTCAGGACTTTGAGTTTACAATCTACATTNAAAAAAAGAGATTCTCCAATCCTCCATATTAAAAAAACATTCACTGCATATCTGTTTTTAGGACAATGCTGTGTGCAAACATAGCATAGTTTTATTTATACATTGTTTTACTTTCTAACACTCACAATCAGTACGCAGCCTGCACAGGAACACTTCAAATTCAAAGTGAATCCACACAAGTACCTTTCAATCACATTTACTTATATACTGTAGTGCATTGGCTGTTGTCGAATGCAATTTACACAGGAGTTCAATAGTGTTATTAAGGAACGTCTTTATATTTAACAGAATTTAAAAAATAACTTTTGCATTGTATCGTGGGTGCCTTTGAGCCACTACTAACTCCATTATATGGTATGGTATGTCGTACTCCGCCACTCAAGTGCTCTGGGCGAAAGGGAGCTATCTACATACCCTGCGTGAGTGAGCAAGTTATTGTTGTTGTTCTATGTTCACTTTAGCAGTGAAATGTTAGGATTGGTTTTCATTAAAATGTTCACACGTCACTGTTGCTGCTTATTCTTCAGGAATCTCCCCCTTGCCATTGTCATTTCCTTGCCTCTGGTGACAATCCTATACGTTCTCACAATTTTGGCTTTCTATGCTGTGCTACAACCAAATATTATCCTCAAAAGTGGGGCAGTGGCGGTGGTAAGTACATTGTAATAACATGGATTTTATGTGTTAATCTGTGGATTTTATGTGTTATGTGTTCATCCGATATGTCTGATTTATGCGTGAGTCTGACATTTCACCCTCAAAATACACTGTCATAACTGCACTCCACAATAATTTCTTTGAAGTACTTTGAAACACCCTCCCAAAATGAAAGGCACTATATATTGAATGCATTATGGTTCCAACAACCATTTGTATTGTTTATTTATGCCCCGAGGCTCTGGAACTGCCTTCCTCACTCCCTTCGCCTTGCTCCCTCCCTTCCCATTTTCAGGTCTCTGCTGAAGACCTTTTTTTTCGACCGCGCTGTTGGTCACCTTCCTCCCCGGTCCTGGAATCTGTTACTGTAAAGCGCTCTGAGATGCTGTCCGGCGTGGAGGGCACTATATAAATCGAAGTTGTTGTTGTTTGATAGATTTGTCCAAAACAGTTTATAATTTTAAGTGTTGAAAAACACTTTGATAAAAGAGGTGCAATTTATACTGGAAAATTGCAAATTTTCCCAATTCTATCCAAATACCCCTTCCAATAAATAAAGCGGATTAAGATGAATTGTATTAATTTCATAAAATCTAATATAAGCTATGTATGAAAAATGTTGAAATCTTTGCTTTTCAGGCATTTGCGGAAGAAAGCCTAGGAATAATGCGATGGATCATCCCAACAGCAGTGGCCATCACATGTTTCGAGAACCTTAATGCAGCCATAAGATTAACCTCAAGGTAGGAATCTGCGGTGTGCAAATTGGCTGCCGCGTTTCACCCACAAAATATACAGTCAATTCACTTTACGGTATATTCTGTGAAGCGCATTGAGATGTCTCAAAGATATAAGGCACTGTATCAAATTCAAGGATTATTATTATAATATAAAATATTAGTGTATTAAAATATTAAGTCAAAACCTTCCTCTTCGACCGTGCCTCCAGTCACCTCCTACCCCCACTCTCTCTGCCCTCTTCAGCACACTTTGTCTTATGGGTATCTCTCTATTACTACTATGACCATTGCTCCAAAACATTTGTCATTTCCTTCAAAGCTTCCATAGACATACATTTTATGGAAGCTTTGAAGGAATAGATAATGATCACATTCTCCAACTCATTTTTTCCCAGGATCTCAAGACTCCATACCTCCTTTTTTCTGTTTCCTTTTCCAATTTCCATGTTTTTGAAGACAAACTTAACAATTTGTCTCAGACTTCTCCTGTTCCTTTGGTACTTCCTTCAAGCTTGGTAGTTAACTGTATCGCGTGCTTTAACCCTTCGCCTAGGTGCTCAGTAAAACAACAACAAATTTATATTTATATGGCGTCTTTCACGTCAGGAAGATGTCCCCACAAATGGTAGTTGACTGAGCAAATGGGGAAGTGTAAGGAAATTATACTTCACCAGGCTATGGGAAATAGATGGTACTTTTAAAATAAGTTTTTGTCCGTTCTTTAACCAGTACTTTTTTTCCTTCTGTCAGGATGTACCTTGTTGGGGGCAGGGAAGGTCAGCTCCCTGCTCTCCTGACCTTGACCCATATAAATCGGCTCACACCAATTCCAGCCCTAATCACAAATGTAAGAATTCAGTGCTGTTATTGTCCAACAATTTATTTTTCTCGTGTTGTCTGACCTGTAATCACAATGGAACACCCCTAACAGTCTGGTAACTACAGAATGACAATCCTTCTAATTCTTTCCGAAATTGAGCAACTAGATTCAGTTAGGTTCTTGATGTAAGTCAGGCAATTTGCCAACAATTCTTCACCGAAAAGATTCTCAGTCTTAAGTATGCCATCAAATGATGAAGACCAAACAATCTTCAACATAATATATAGAATATTTTGCTCACAAAAATATACAGTCAATTCACTTTACAATATATTCTGTGAAGTGCTTTGAGATGTCTAGAAGATACGATAAGGCACCATATCAAATGCAAGGTTTATTATTATTTATTATTATAACATGGGAGGTAAACATTGGGCCAGGGGAGAAAGAGGGAGGCACTATTGACTGCTCTTGAACTTCTGGTTGCCAGTTGAAATGCATGACACTGAGAATCCTTTAGTTGGAAATGGATGATAAACGAAGGGGAGCAAATTAATTTGAAAATAATCTGGCCTAAATTTGCTTTACTTATTCTCTTGGTAGTTATTCTATGTCTAAGTCGGTAGTCCAATAACCATTCCTGTTGCTGATGGTAATCTTCTCATTGGCAGGCTTCGATAGCACTCGTTTACCTATCTGTCGGTGATGTGTTTAAGCTCATTTTCTACTACAGCTTCAGTTACTGGTTCTTTGTGGGAGTGACTGTATGTGCCCAGCTCTACCTACGTTGGCAGCAGCCAAACAAGGTCCGAACTCTCAAGGTAGGTTCTAAATGCACAGTCCTAAAATGTGCTTCACACGTTCATCAACTTCAGTTTGACAAGCTCTCTGATCAGCAAAATCTTTTGAAATTATTATTGTCGTTGAGTGTGTTTTTTGTATAAACATAACTTGTTACCAGCAACCAAAATGGCCTATTGAGTAAGAGCAGCTCCTGTATCAAACACCCAAGTCATACAGACTGGAAAGTCTCAGCTTTGAATATCATTCTATCTGATTTCGCTAATCTCGTACTACTCCCTTCAACAACAAGAACTTTTATATAGTGCCCTTCATGCAGGATAGAGTCCCGGAGCCTTTCAAGCAGTTTAAGATATTATCTTCCATGAAAAATACTATATAAATGCAAGTCGTTACAGTACGTCTGTGAAGGAAAAAGAAAAACTGATTTTAGGCCTAAATATTTTCGAAATGTAATGTTCCCCAACAAAATACAATCACTAGGTCGTAAATCCTGTGAAGTCTTTAGAAGTCCTCCCGACGTGAACTGCGCTATATCAAATGCAAGGATTATCACTATAAGAGCCTAATTCATTTATTTGTACCAATACCTGCATTCTTCAATGACAAGCTTATTATTGATCAAGTTAATTTTCATGCCTATCTTAATCACTTTATAATTGTGTCAGGCTGGCGCAGTGATACCACTCTCGCCTCTGAGTTCAGTTGTGGGTTCAAGCCCCACATCGAGACTTGGAATCACTGACCAAGTAGTCTAACCTGACAGCGTGTGGGGTAGGAGGGGGGTGGTGGTTGCATTGTCGGAGGTGCCGTCCTTCAGATGAGATGTTAAACCAAGGCCCTGTCTGCTTGTTCAGGTGGACTTTGAAGATCCCATGGCACTATTCAAAAAGAGAAGGGAGTTTCTCCCTGTGCCTTGTCCAACAATCCCCCAAATAAAATTGGTCATTCACTCCATGGTTGTTTATGGGACAGTGCTGTGCGCAACTGGCTGCTGCATTTCAATGATGTGATATGGTGCGATAACAAATGCAAGGACTAGTATTATTATTAAGTGATGGAAATGTGTGGTGCAGTCTATGCATGAACTGCAGTGTTAATGGAAAGAAATAACATATCACTCAAGGTTCATCTAAGCAGAATCCTTGAAACTATGGTTGACTAAATCTCCTTGTAGCTGTTTAAACTGTTGATTAAAAAGTTGTTATCCTGTTTTCATAGTTGGAATTTAGCCTCATTTCATACTTTCCCATCAGCTCAGCCTGATTTACCCAATTACCTTCTGTGTCGGCATGCTGTTCCTGATAATCGTACCTACCTACAGCTTCACTTCTGAAGCCATGGTTGGGATTTCAGTCATGTTATCTGGAATCCCAGTCTATTTAATTGGGTCTGCTTTCATACAAGTAGAATGGTACAGCCCTTTCATCATGTTACTAGGTACGTATGTGCTGTTTCTTGTGCACCTGTTATTGCGAAGCATTTGCAGATGGTGATAGGAAAGGAGAGGTGACTGTGGAGAACTGTAAATGACTCCACGTTTGCCTAAAAAATAGTCACTACACTTTATAGTAACTGCTGTTGAACACTTTGAGATGTCCTCCTGACACAAAAGGCGCTACATCAAAAGGAATGATTAAGGGTTATTTTAAAATCTTTTCACGTACCCCAAAAGATCTGTCCATAGGTGGGGTAGATCAGGGGGGAGGCACACAAATAGGCTAGTGCTCTCCCCAAGCGTTGGTGGGGTTAAAGGCTGTTGAAGAGGTCGGGTGGGAGTGACACTTTTGAGAAATTTAAAGGTGGGAACGAGGGCCTTGGGCAATAGGATCTAATTAATATAATTCCTGTAATGACTGAGCTGAATTGGAAACAATAGAATCTCCTTCAAATCCTATGAATTTGAATGATATATTGTTTCCAAAGGAATGGATGTATTAACTGACTCAAGAGGAAGGAGTGGGTTTACGAATTTTCTCAGTTTAAAAACCAAGAAAACCAGAGTGACGGGTGTCTATTTTCCTCCACAGCTAAAGTCACTAAATTCACACAGTTACTCTTTTATTGTGTTCATGCTGACTTTGAGGACAACTGAGGAGCTGTCTGGTAAACCTGAATCCAGAAAATCAGTGACGAGGTATTTTGAAGACACCTACACTATGCCAGTGTAATGACATCAGGCTTAAGGACTTGATTAGTTTGTGCCAAGTTTGTGAATTACTGCAATGCTCCGATTTTCTGTTAGGACTAGATATATTTGGTGTCAGCCTGGCTCGGTTGCCGCCGAGTCAGAAGATTGTGGGCGAGTTCAAACCACACTCTGAGCTCACATTCGCTTAATGGGGGGTTGGATGGGGGGTGCTGCATTTGTGGAGGTGCCATCTTTCCAATTCCAATGAGGTTTCAAACCAGTGACGTCTACTTGTTCAGGTGGACATTAAAAATCCCAACGGAGTATCTCCCGGTGTCTTGGCCAACAATCCCCCAAATAAAATTGGTCACTCACTTCACAGCTGTTGGTGGAACTATGTGTAGATTGGCTGCAGTAAATGCTGTGAAGTGATTTATGAAATCCTCTTGACTTCCTTGATGCTATATCGAATGAAAGGATTATGATTGTTGGGATTATTATTTGACAAGTGGTTTTGTGTGCAGTATTTGTTAAGAATGTTTTTTGAATCAGAAATCCAAGACTTACAAATAGGGATTCCTTCCAGTCACCTGTAAGTATGTGAACCAACCCCTGGGTATTCCATTCTGTATGGGACCAATCTTCAGAGCAGAGATCTTTGCATCAACAGGATTCCTTACAACAACAACTTGCATTTATATAGCGCCCTTTACGAGGGGTAGCATGTCATTCCAAAAAACAATCTATTTTGAGATTTACAAAACCCTTTTTCCTTACACCTTATACTGTTGAGTGATATTACTCAGAACACTGTGTTGAATATATATATCTAAACAAAAAGATCAAATAGTTGCTCTAGATACTGTATTGGGTCTTTCCACAGTCCTGGTGTGCACTCTTTCAACTGCATACAGCAGCAACCAAGCATTGTATGCATGGAGCGGGTTACAAAACTCACAGCTCCCCATAATGGCCTTACTAGCCAAGCCTTGACACATGGTCAACCAAGATCATTGCCCCCCTGGATCACTTCAAAAAAATTATAATTTGGTCAGTCATTGAATGACTATTTGTGGGACACTGCTATGTGGAATTGGCTGCTATGTTTCACCCACAAAATGCAGTCATTACATTTTACAGTATATTCTGTGAAGTGTTTTGAGATGTCTCGAAGACGTGATAAGGCGCTATATCAAATGCAAGGATTATTATTATTAGATGTTGATGATTTTCCCAGCCTCATAGTTTTAGTGAGGTACACGTTAGAATTACTTTGTTTCTTCAGTACATCATTTGTGAAGAGTGGGCCTTTAGTTCTACTTGTATTTAAGTTCCCAAACAATATTTGTTCTCCATACCAAAAGTGCTGTTGCATTAAACAAGTTGGAATGTTGTACTGAGCTCTGGTGTTCTGTTCTGATCTGAAAGGATAATGTTAAAAAAACAGTGGTTGGATTGACTGATAAATTGGATGCCGTGTTTCACCTACAAAATTTTTTGCTGGATCTGTCCTGTAAGCAGTACTGTGTATCACGTTAACAGGAGAAGCCTATTCAGCATTAACTCTGGAAGTTCTCGTCATTTTTAATGGTCATTCATTTATAAAAAATACTGTGCACGATATTGTTCTGGTTTCAGTCACAGTGAATTGGGCAGTAACAGAAAAAGCAGTTAATTGTTCATTCCTTGAGAAGTTGAGGTAAACATGACATTAAAAGTATCATCTTCAGATGTTATACGAGAAGCAAACAAGCTGTTATTGGAACACATTTTAAACCCCCTTATAACTCACTGATAAATAAAGTGAAGATGCCAGAATTATCCAAACTAGTGCGAGGATCAAAGCTGGATCCTCCCGAAGTGCGACCCTTGTCAAACCTTTTCTGTCTGGAGGTGACGACCTGACACAGCCTATTTCATATCATTAACAAGAAGATCTTCTCTCCCAATCATCCCCTTCCTATTCCTTACACAAGGTGTGAGATCCTCATTTCTGAAACGCACGGCGGCAGAATGTGTCATTTTTACCGCAAAAGATCGTTAATATTCTTAATGAAGTGAGAATCTCACAAAACATTTCATAAACAGAATCCGGTCAATTCATCTGAGCGGCAACATCCAACTCGCAGTCATCTTCTCCCTCCTCGTCCTTTTCACTGTCCCAATAATCTTCATTGTCAAACTCATCTTCGTCGGGGTAATCATTCCGCCAATTGCTCTCCTCATTCTCATCATCTTCATCATCATAGGCTTCATCTTGAACCATCTCCTCACCCACCTGCAACACAAAGAACGTCAATATTGGGATCCGAGGCTCTGTGATGTGCAGTGTGAATGAACATGCACCGCTTTCTGGAGCAGGAACACAATTACCAGCCCTCAGCACCAAGACCGTAGCCCATCAGCCTCGTTACAACCTGGTGTCCTCAGCAAACCTGATAAAATTAGTTTTTAAATTTTCATTGACTGATTTCCACTACGTCCACAGCTTGTAAACCTTGATTAACCACAAACTAAGACGACATAAAATTAATTTTGCCCACAAAATACGCAGTCAATTCACTTGACAGTATATTCTGAGAAGCGAGTTGAGCTATCCCGAGGACCTGATAAAGCGCTATATCAATTGCAAGGATTATTATTTTATAATGGAGTTTTAACGGTTGTTGAATTTCCAAAGTTTGTGCTCACTTACCAGCTCATTCTCCTCGTAATAAGGCACCAGTGAGATGATACTCTGCATGCATTCTCCAATGACAAAACTGTCAGTGTAATATATGTCGTAAACGTACTCCTCTGCGCTCTCACGGTGGTCTGCCCCTTCACCAGAATCTGACACTGTAAGCTTTTCCCGAATCATCTTCACCGAGTTACATAAAATCACATCAATATCGTCCAGTCCTGGCTCAGGATCCTAGAATGCAACAAATTATTATAAAGGTGAAATCCTGGCAATATCGTAGGTGCCAGCTGAGAGCAGGAGGGAGAACAGGGCATCAGACTAACAAAGCACCTGATGGACAAGAGCAATGTCAGGACAGACGCACAAAGCATTTGTGAGAAAAGGAGCTTCCTACCGATTCCCAGTACAAGGACACACAATGATACACACCCAGGCTGTTAATCTAAACACAAGTGGATCACCTATACTAAACTGGCTTAAGTTTAAGAGGAAAGCTTTACGATAGTTATTTTATTTATATTATCTATAATATTTTGTTTCGCCCACAAAATACAGTCAATCCACTTTACAATATAATCTATGAAGCGCTTTGAGACATACCAACAATGTGATAAGGTGCTTTACTAAATGCAAGGATTATTATTATTATATCCTGCTTGAACTGAACACAGGAGCTATTTATTAATGTGACCTTATAGTATCAGATTGTCGACCTCCAAAAAGATTGCTAATCACTTACACCGGTTCCCGTGTCCCTTCACACTGTCTGAACTTCCAAAGGTAGAGAATTTGGGTGTAAAATGGATCTGTTACAATCATAACCATCAGAGCCACAACCATTATATTTTTCTGCGTGAAATGAACCAAAACAGATCGATTGTTTTCACAACTGTTCAAGTTAGTTCTGCAGCTTTACCTTGGAGCTGGTGTTTTCTGGATCTCCTGCTGCTTTTTCAAGCTGCTCATCATCCTTGATCACGTCAAATACCTGGATATCTTCCACACGCTCATTGCCACCCTTACTGTCTCCAGCAACTGCATCTCCTTCCTTTAAAGAGTACAAAATATTTACCAATTCCAAATAAGACAGAAAATTCATCAACTTACACAGTATACACATAACAGGCTTGATGTGAAAAACAGGCTTTCTGTTATAGCCGGATCAGAAAGATATGGACAATCCTGTTCTTCTCCCTCCCTCGGTCCTTCTCTATCTACTAATAGTCGGTTCCAGCAATAGGAAATTAGACTGATATTAGAAGAGGTGTCAAGCGATTTTGTTTTTGGTCAGCCGAGTGTCTGACACCCGTGGAAACCTATCACCTTGCTTAATAGTATCCAAACCAAACTGAGAATTCCATGCATCCCAAGTTTCGCTCACAATATATACAGTTAATTCACTTTACAATATATTCTGTGAAGCACTTTGAGACGTCTCAAAGACGTGATCAGGCGCTGTATCAAATGCAAAGATTATTATTATTATCTCTCTCCATAAGTGCCACTCTGATGTTAACATTACAAACAGGCTTTCCCTCTATAAATCTAACTTGAAAGTTATGTGCACCATTGGGCTTTAGTGGAGACAGTCACGTTACCTTGCACTTGTCTGTTGGTTCTTTCTCCGATTCAGTCGGGGTTGTGGAAGATTCTGTTGCTGGATGGTGAGTGTCCTTCGTGTCTCCTGATTGAGGTTCGAACGTCTCTCCTTCTGTGGAAATGTTTTTTCGGTGTCTCGCTATGACTTTGTAGCGACTGTCCTGGCTGGCTGCCCGGTGAGATGATCGCACATCTGTCTGAATACGCTGTCCACTGGTCGCAGAAGGTTTGAGGGACTGTAAGGCCCTGTCTTTAGAGAGAGCCTCTCTCACGTGCTTCTGAACAGGATCATCCTACATACACAACAAATTTGCACTTATACCAGCCCTTGTGTAATATTTGAATGTCTTATACTTTAATTCATCCCATAACTCACATTTCAGAACTCGTTTAATGTGTCTACCCTGGGTCTCACAGGGACAGCAGTAGGTCATTTAGCCCCTCAAGCCTGTTCCGCTATTCCGTTCGCTGTTATCTTCCCACGTCTTATGTCTCATCATCCCACCCACTCTGTATGCAACCAGTAAAACCAGCAAAGTAGTTCTGAGACATTTTGATGATGTGACAAGGCATATCACTATATCAAATGCAAGAATTATTATCCAAGCTCACTTGTGAAGATCAGCCAGTTGGGCATGACCTGAGGACAGACTTTGCTTGAGCTACATAATAATCTCTACACTTGATATGGCACCTTTCACTTCAGGAAGCTATCTCAAGGCCCTTCACAGGTTCACGTGTAATGACCATGTATTTTGTGGACAAACGTGGCAGCCAATTTGTGCACAGCAATGTGCCACAAATACCCTCGAAGTCAATGACCAATTTAATATTGGGGGATTGTTGGTCAGGACACCGAGAGAAACTCCCTTCTCTTTTTCGAACAGAGCCACGGGATCGTGAATGTCCGCCTGAACAGGCAGACGTGACCTCGGTTTAACATCTCATCCGAAGAGCAGAACCTTCAACAACGCGAGACACCCCCAGCGCTGCATTGGGGGGTTTGTCAGCTTAAGACTACGTGGGTTCCGAGTCCCACTGTGGAGCTGAGCCCACAGCCCAGGTCTGCAAATATATCCTGAAACAAACAGAGAACCGCGGGCGTTAGCCCCGGGAAACAATAGCCATCTCAGCGAGAGTACGGTTTGAGGCGCGGGGGCTGCCGGCCGTCAGCTGCGATGATGGGAGTGTACCGGTATTATTACTCCCATACACCGCGGTACACTCCCATCATACTCCTATGGGAGTATTATTACCTTATTACCACCCAGAGAGGTGACCGCATGGCCCCGATTAATGACTTCCCCGATGAAATATCGTGCGTCCCTGGGGCCAAATTTCCACTCGTCTTGAATTCGGCCACAAACGGAGAGCGCAAAGAATACAATTCTAAACCAAATGATAATAATAATAATAATAATAATAATAATGATAATAATAATTCTTGCGGTGGATCACAGCGCCTTGTCACCGCGGGCGCGACGTCTCCCGAGCGCTTCGCAGGGCCGACCGTCAAGCGGAGTGACTGTGCGTTACGCGGGCGGCTCCGCGCGGGCAGCGCCTCTCCCGAGGGGGCGGCGGACGGAGACGCGATGCCTTTCGCCTCACGGGCTGCGGCGGTCACTCCACCTCACGGCGAGTCCTGGGAAGCGCTTTGAGACGTCTGGAGGCACCGCGTCACACACCGCGATAATTACTGTGACCACAGTCACTCCTGTAACTGGGGGGAGGGGGGCAGGAGGGAGGGGGGGAGCAGGGCCGGGGTTGGGGGGCCCGGGGGGGAGGGGCCGGGCCGGGGGGGGGAGAGAGCCCGGGCGGGGAGGCCCGGGCCCGGGGGGGGGGCAGGGCCCGGGGGGGGGGGGAGGCAGGGCCCGGGGGGGGGAGAGAGCCCGGGGGGGAGGCCCGGGCCCGGGGGCTGGTGACCAGGCGCTGCCGCTGTCTCTCCCTCTCCCCCCGGGGCCTTACCTGGGAGCTGACGGTGGCCGCCAGTTTGAAGAGCGCCCGCTGGACCTGCTCCCGGGCCCCGGGGCTGTGGGGGCCGTCCCCGGCCTCGCCCCCCCCGCCCCCCCGGGCCGCAGCCGCTTACAGGCCAAGAGCAGCGCCTCGGCCGGTTCCGCACCGCGCTTCCGCTTCACCCGCAACACCGTGGCCGCCATGGCCGCCACACACCGCCCCCGCGCCCCGCGCCCCGCCCCGGCCTCAGGCCCGCGATCCCCGGCCTCAGGCTGTCCCCCCGCCCCGGCCTCTCCCCCTCTCCGCGGCCTCAGCGAAACTCCCTGACGTTTGTAGCCCAAAGTGCCCCAAACCCGAGCCCAAAAGTAGCCCAATGTCAACCGGTCGCCTCCTGGTGGTGGGGGGAGGGGAGGGGGTGAGGGGGGGGGGGGGGGGGTGAGGGGGGGAGGGGGTCAGACACAGAGAGAGAGAGAGAGAAACTGTCAGAAAAAAGAGCTTCAAAAAGAGAGAGAGAGAGAGAAAAATCAGGTTTTTACAGGTTTCAGTTTATTTTATTTAAAAAAAATGTAAGGTCCAGATTTGTGTTGGGGTCGGGATGGGGATCGCCGGGCGGTGGGGTATTGGTTTAAAAGTCGCCTTATCACGTCTTCGAGACGCCCCGAAGCGCTTCACAGGATACACCGTAAATGAATGAAGGAATGGGCTGTATTTCCGAGGGCGAAGCGCGGCGGCCAACTAACTGCGCGCGGTTTAACTCTGCGGCTGCACTCCCGTCGGGGCGGAAGCCGTACTCTTTTGCCTCCCGTCAACCTCTTCTTTCCCGCGGCTCCGAACTCCCCCACCTTCCCCGGGGGCTCTCCCTCAGGCTCACCAAACCCGTGCGGGGTCCAGGCGTCGGGTTCGAACCCCAGCTTTCCTGGCTCCCCCCCCGCCCCCCGCCCACCCACACATCGGTTCGCTGACCAGGACCGCTTTTTTTCCCCACTCTCCGCCACGTTGCCCATCTGCGTCCGTGCCTCACGCCCACAGCAGCCGAAACCCTCGTCCGCGCCACTGTCGCTTCCCGGCCGGACGTTTGGAAGCTGCCGGTTGACCTCCCCAGTTCCACCGTATGTAAAATACGATTAATTCAGAACTCCGCGCCCACATACTAACCCGTACAAAGCTCCAGACCCCCATCACACCGGTCCCTGCCCGGCTGCACTGGCTCCCAATTTCTGAACTTAAAGATCCTCACTCGTTTTCAAATCCCTCCGTGCCCTCGCACCCCCCTACGTTTCCAACTCGCGTACCCCCTCCCCCCTCCCGCTCCGCCACCCGCTGTCTCCACCGGGTCGGCTCCGGCCTCCTGTTCATCCCTCGCGCCCTCCGTTGCAACATCGGCGGCTGTGCTTTCGGTCACTGTGCCCCGAAACCCTGGAACTCTCCCCTAATCCTTCCGCCCTGCCCATTCCCTCCCCACTTTCAAATCCCGCCTAACGAACTTCCTTTTTGATCCTGCTCCCGGTCACCTCTCCCCCCCCCCCAGCTCGCAGTCAGACTCCGCCACTGTTAAGCGCTCCGGGACGCTAACCCACATGAAGGGCGCTATATAAATGCAAGTTGTTGTTGTTGTTAGCGGGGTGGATGGGGAAACAACAACAACAAAATTATATTTATAGAGCACCTTTCACGTCGGGAGGTCGTCCCAAAGCGCTGATAACGCTACTCGCACACACAAAAAAAACAAAAGGAGGTGAATAGACAAGAATATGTCAATCAACGGTATGAATCCTAAAGGATTAATATCAACATGTGTGAATACTGGACTTGTGGACTTTGCCAAAGTAGGTGTTTCACTGCACCACCTACATATGAAGTTAAAACTAAAGATCACATTTTGATAAAATACAAAACAAAGGGGGGAGGGATGATGAACATTTTCAGGGCAGCCACACCTCACCTAATAAATCGGTTTAAAGAGGCATTGATAACAGAATTGATGCCTAACTGAGGTTAAGACAAGCCAAGAGGGCGGTGACACTGAGGAAAAACATCCTAGGTCTCTCATCAAATAATCTAAGTTTGCCCACAAAACACAGTCACTATGCTTTACAGTATATCTAGGAGTCCTGTAGCTCAGTGGTTAGAGCACTCACCTCGCAAGCGAGAGACCTGGGTTCGATTCCCGGCAGGGCAAAACCTTGGGCAAGCTTCCTTACTCCACACACCTAATAATAATCCCTCAAGAAAAAAACACCCAATAATAAATTCACTTCAATCCACAACTGTTTATGGGACACTGTGTAATTGGCTGCTATGTTTCGCTCACAAATGTACAATCAATTCACTTTACAGTCTTATTCTGTGAAGCGCTTTGAGACGTCCAGAAGACGTGAAAAGCGCTATATCAAATGCAAGGATTATTACTATTATATCCTGTGAAGTGCTTTAGGGCATCCTCCTGATGTGAAAGGCAAAATACCAAATGTAAGGACTATTACAAAGAGGTTTCAGGAATGCTTTTAGAACCTTCCTACAGCTTACTGTGGGGGAGGAAGAGAGAAAGTAAGCGGTTAGATATTATAGTTTGTTTCTTTTAATAAGTAAGAAATTGTAGAAGCATTTAAAGAGTATGTACAGTCACAGCTTTATACACCATTTACACCTTTAGTTACATAATGTAGTTTTGTTTTGTAAGTTCTGTGGCTCAGTAGTACTCAGATGTACTGACGTGGAGCTACATCTAGGTTTGTACAGTCTGGAAAAGGACACCAGTAACAGTGCATCACAGACACTTCTGCTGCTTGTGGATCAGAGTTTGCAAAGAGAGAGAGAAAGGCTTCCCTTTAGCATGAAGTTTAGATCTAAGAAGTGCAATCGATCTTACTCCGTGGACTACGTACCATTGCATTGAACGAGACACGTACAGTATAAATGAACACAAAAGGATTCTGTAGGTGAGTGCAAGTGTTGAGAGTAACACAGGCTGTATGGGCTGAGGACCCGCAAATTGTTCTGTAACAGACTCTAAACAGAATCAAAATGATCATTGAATATAGAAATTAGCTTAAAAACATAGTTAATGCAGTAACTCCCCTGAAATAGGCCTGCTGCTCACTCAGCCATGCCAGGGCTTCAATGTAATAGAAATCTTGTTCTATAAGCTTCTATATAAATGGTGGGCAAGTTGAATCAAAACAGATGGTCAGTGAATAAACTACAGACACACTTTCTGCCACTACAGTTCAATGACTTAGAGCTGCTACAATCAGAGGAACAAAGAGTAATGAACAAGCGTGGAAAAACACTTCTCATCCTCCCTTCGGTCTCCTCGAGTCCAGGAATTCCCTTTTAGACTTGTGTAATTAATGAAATGAATAGATTTGTTTGCTATCCCCCTTCCTGTACAAAGCAGAGTTAAAAGCAGAGAATATTCTAAAACACAGCTGCCTCCGACTTGAGTCCAAGGTCAATCAGGGACACGATTATTTCGACAAAAATAAAACAGTGATCATTGTCCTGACTGTACTGAGCACACTTCTACTCAGTTCTGTTTTTCTATTGGCAAACCAAATTCGACTCTCTTCCCCTTCCTCATCCAAGAGAAGAAAAAAAATTCCAATGGAAAAATATTGTCTGTGCCAGCAGATGTTTAGTAGTACTGTATTTTTTTTTACCTTATTTTAGTTTAAGTGAGTTTGGTAGAAGTCAGTATGGAACAGGCAAAGAGCAGTAAAACATGGGGGAATGTCAGGGGGAGAGAAGATGAGTGGAGGGGGAAGAAGTGTGATGGTTGCGGGGGGGGGAAGAGCAGTGAGGGGGAGGGCGAAAAAGAAGGAACAAGCTTCTTACATCTGATTCTCTACGTTTCTCTTCCCACGCCATTTGACAGTATAAATAGGCCTGTTATTTTAAACACCATGCAAATCTGAGTTCTTTTTAACCCTCACAGTGCAAGTAATTGTGAACCTGCACTTCCTCCACTCAACCCCACTTGTGCACAGATCTTGACAGCTTCCCCAAAGGGAAGGAGCCAAAAACCCCAGCGTGTTTAAACAGAATGGACACACAGTGTGTGTAAATCTCCAATATTAGGACTATAGAAACTTAACTGCTTAAGTTGATCAGTGCTCCAATGGGGCTGCGTGACCATAGAGTGTTAAAATTGGACACGATGAATGGCCTCAGTCACTACCCCTGTTCAGTCTAATACCGACATTAATGAATGAAATTTAGTGCCATTGTCAGTCACACAGAATGACACCACAGCACAGAAACGGAAGTTCACCAGCCTTGTGGTTAAAGGTGTTAACGCTATTAAAGAATGTAAAAACTCAAATGCGTGACTGCTGTAGTCACTGGTTTTAGTTCGCTGAGAAATTTTTGAGGGTCTTTCTCTAAAACCAGGACTCCCAGCAACAAGCATGAGATACAGATATGAAACATAAATCCTCAGAATCACTGGCTGACACTGCGTTCCTTCCAGGTATGAGGATCTAGTGCAGTGAAAGCCATCACAACCTTTAATCAGAAACTGAAGTTATTGAGACTTTGCACTGCATGAAACACCAAACTCAATCCTAGTAAATAACTAGTAAAGTGGTTAATTCACTGGTTAATTCACAAGAAGGCACTCAGGTAGAAATTCCACCTGGGTTTAGATTTACTCTATTTTCTTAACACTTCAAATTCTTAAATGCAGTTTTAAGTGTGAAGCCAGTTTGCTGCTAAACTTTTAATAATTACAGAAAAACTTAAGTTAAGACTGAATGCAACAATTTGCCAATTACTAGTTGCTCTTAAAATCCTAAGAAAATAAGAGTAAATCCAGAACCAGATGAAACATCTTCCCCTCCAATTCTACATTCAATTAAACCTTAGCTTGTCAAGCAGCCACTAAGCATTCTCAGATTTCCAGCTGAGAGAATGGAAACTTGTTCAAGTTGGCAGCAGTACTATAGACAATGGAGTCGGGACACACTGAATACAGTTAACAGACAATTAAACACCACTGTCGAGTTTCGTTACCTCTCATGGTGGTTGAGTGAGCTGTATCTCAAACAGCTTAGGGAAGGTGTTAGCAGCAAATCATTATCAGTGACTGTGCAAACTGCTGAATAAGTAATATTAGTAAACAAAGACCTCAGTTACTAACTCCAGCACAGCCTTACCCTGGGGGCATGTGGGCTGATCACTTCAAGTTTGTGCTTGCTCTTTATATGAAGAAACATTTTCCTCAGTACACAGCAAATTCATAGAAGCACCATTGCAAATGCAGAGCGACTGCCATTAACACTGCAAAACAAAGCTAGTGATAGTTGATGGTATAAAAACTGCACTTATAAACGTTTTTGCTATTCAATTGGCCATCCTCAATCATTGCATTGTAGGTCAGTACGTGAATAGGTGAACCTGGTTTCCTTCGGCTCTTGAAAGCGGAGCTCAGACGATTCAAAAGTTTTAAAGAATTTTCTTCCCAGTGCACCTCCAAACAGGAGCAAAACTTGTCAAACATCTCCCACTGAGCAGCAATTCCTCACCGTAAGTGGAATAAAGTCAATTCCCACAGGTGAAGAACTAATGGAACATTCCAGATTACCAGCCAGCGCACTTTCAGAAGGTGCTTTCAAGCAGGCAGTGGCAGCCACAGCCCGTGGGGCACACTTCCTGTGTCCTGAACCACTCCATCATGTGGCTGGTGTGACCGCCGTGCCCGCAGGTCAGGCAGAAGTTGCGGATCCCCGCACAGCCACGTGGCAGATGGCACACTGGAAGGTGAAGCCTTTGCAGATGGCACATTGTGTCCCGCGGACCTCACTGCGGCAATGGCAGCAGTACACCCCGAACTCTGTGGGAGAGGCACAAAGGGAAACTAAAGTGCGATCAAAATAATATCTTCTGCCCCCAAAACTCATTAGAGTCTCAATACTTCTGCTGAGATCATTCCTCAGAAGTGTGTTTAACCCCCAAACAGTATGAAATCAATTACTGCAAGTTTCACGTCCGCAAATAATGTAATTTGCACACCAATAACTTTCAGAATCAGTAATACGCCCGTCCCCACTAGCGCCTACTAATATTATTGCTAAAGTCACCCCCGGATCCATGCAACAACAGAAGCCCCTGAGCAGACGACTTACTGATGACAAACTCAATCGTCTAAGGGAAACAGAGTGCCCAATGTGACGGAGATTGGGATCACAAGACCAGATCTCTGGCTTTCACAAAACAACTTTCCAGACAAACGCACTATGATTCAGAGATCTGACCTACCATCAAAATAATCGATTCACTCGAGCAATGTCAGTAAAACACCGGTGACATTGGCACAGTAATATCTTTGGCCGTAGCGCTGTTGCTGGGAAGAGTACCAATGCCACTATTGCATTAATGGATACAAACCCAGAACAAAGCAAAGTTACGGTTATAAAGTCTGCATTTACCAATTCCTTTGTGAGGGTCTGGAGGACAGGAAACAAACTTTAACACCTCTGCTCGCTTCTCTCTCAGACCCCAACGATAGAGAATCTCGCCATAACATTTCTTGAAGTCATCGTATTGCAGCATGTTAGCTGGGTCAAGCAGCCTGGAGACAGGGAGAGAATGGGAGACAAGCAGGTCAACGTCAAAACCTACAGAAGCAACAGCATCAGGGTGAGAAAGGTGCATTAAATACTTCCATACAATGAGCGTGCGCGTGTATATGCTTATTTAGATGTGTTTTTCACATCAGGACGTCTCAAAGCACTTCACGGGATACATGAAGTGGAGTGACTGTATCTTGTTGGCAAACTCGGCCAAATTGGGCACAGTAATGGCCCACAAACAATCATGAAGTGAAACACCAATTTATTTTTGGGGGGGATTGTTAGCCAGGACACCGAGAGAAACTCCCTTCTCTTTTCGAACAGTGCCATGGGATCTTTAACATCCACCTGAACAGGCAGTCGGGACCTCAGTTTAATGTCTGAAAGAGCTTCACGACTGCAGACCGAGGCATTGGGCACCTGAGCTTGGGGGGTGGGAGACGAAGAGGGTGGGGAGGCACGGTAACACACATCACACAAGATCTGCTCACTTTTTGTTCTTTTCATGCTGCTCCTTTTCCCGTTCTCGTGGGTCTGCGTAGCCCAGGTTTCCATAGCGATAGTCGTCTGGCGAGGACTCGCACCACGAGCCGACGTGTTCAGAGTCTCGACTCCCTGAAGAACACAAGAGTAAGATGGATCCATCAGTGGACTGTAGACAGCAGCTGAAATCATGCCCTCTCATTCCCAAGTGGTTTTGAATCCCTTCATTGCATCACAAAGTGTGACTCTCTATATAGAAGATTACAGTGGCTGTATATCACCAAAAATAACATGCTCAAATCCAACAATAATGATTAAGCCAAATCTTTAATTGGTGGTTCGCTTTTCCGGGGCTAATATTTCCTTAAAAAAAGTAAAAAAGGAACTGGTCACTCAATCCACGACCCTCAGCTCATATCCCAAACTCTGTCTGTCCAGCGCCTTGGGACATCCCCCCCAACGTGAAAGTCATTATATAAATTTAATTTTGTTGTTGTTGTTTGTGGGACAATGTTGTGTGCAATTGGCTGCCGCGTTTCGTCCACAAAATATACAGTCAATGCACTTCACAGTATATTCTGTGAAGCATTTTGAAACATCTCGAAGACATGATAAGGATATGAAGGGCAAGGATTTTTTTTTAAAAAACATCTTTGATTGAGAGCACGGCTGCATGTTCTTCAGATGGACCTTCCCTTGGCGCTGGATAAGGGAGTTCCCCAAAGTGTCTCAGATAATAATCTTCCAGATAAATTGGCCATTCACCTCATGGCTGTTCTACACTCACACATGTAACTCAATCCAAAGTTAAGTTCCTTTAATCCTCACAGGTTCAGACAGATTGAAGAAACACCAATGCCTCGGTCAGTATTGTTGAAAATGAGTCTTTCTACCTACAGTCTTCCTCCATCCCAACCCCCATCTCACCCCCATGAGAATTCAAACCTATGTTGCATCCAGTTGAACTAATCATCGTTTCGGAGGTACTTGAATAGGATCCTGAAGACGCATAGCCAGACTGTTAGGGAAGAGAGAACAGTGATTAGAATATTCCTCAAAAAGGCACCTGTCTAAACATCTGCTATAGACACAGTTAGTTTGGTAATAGTCAGTGGGTCACTGGATCAGGCTGAAAAGACCACAGGCAACATTTGGGCAACATAAAACTATAGAATTATACAGCACAGAAGGAGGCCATCGTGTCTGTACCGGCTCTTTGAAAAGAGCTATCCAAATCAATCCCACTTCCCTGCGCTCTTCCCATAGCCCTGCAAACTTGTCTCCCCAAATAATTATCTATTTCTCTCTTAAAAGTTGTTATCGAATCGTCTTCCACCACCCTTTCAGGCAATACATTCCAGATCCGAACAACTCGCTGTGTGAAAAAAATTTCTCCTCCCCTCTGTTTCTTTTAACAATTATTTTAAATCTTTGTCCTCGGGTTACCCGCTAATGGAAATAGTTTCTCCTTGTTCACCCTATTGAATCCCCTCATAATTTTGAAAACTTCTATTAAGTCTCCTCTTGACCTTCTCTGCTCCAAGGAGAATAATCCTCGCTTCTCTAGTTTCTCCTGATAAGTGAAGTCCCTCATTCCTGGTACCATCCTGGTAAATCTCCTTTGCACCCTCTCCAATGCCTTGACATCCTTCCTAAAGTGTGGGGCCCAGAACTGAACACAGTCTCTAACTGAGGCCTAACCAGTGTTTTATAAAGGTTCATCATAACTTCCTGACTTTTGTATTCTATGCGCCTGTTTATAAAGCCTAGTACCCCATATGCTTTTTTAGCTTTATCTACCTGTTCTGCCACTTTCATAGATTTACTTATATGAACCTCCAGGTCTCTCTGTTCCTTCACTCCCTTTAAGATTCTACCATCAGCTTATATTGCCTCTCCATTCTTCCTCTCAAAATGCATCACTTCGCATTTCTCTACATTAAACTTCACCTGCCACGTGTCTGCCCATTTTACCAGTCTGTCTATGTCCTCTTACAGTCTGCTACTATCCTCCTCACTCTTTACTACTTTTCATGAGCTGATCGATGTCCAATTCAACTTTCTCCCATGTAGCATATTGTGAGATTTGAAATGCTCCCAAGCAAAAATGGTTGGATACAACAATTCCAGGTTAGTGAGTTAATAAATTACACCTTTTTTAAAAAACAAAAGGGGAAAATCTTTTCAATTACATGAATTACCACATTTTTAGTCAGTATGGGAAGTTTGCAGTGAAAAAAAATAGCTCTGCAGCTTTCACTTCTATCAAATCAAAACATTCTGATCACAATGTCAACGAGAAATCTGACACAAGAAATGTTACATTCCCATTTGTTTCTGGCCTTGAAACCCTCTGTTTAAAGACCAACACACAATCAGGAATCAGATTGATCTGGCAACATCTGCCACATAAAATGCACTGTCCTGTTTTTGCAACGACTAAAATTTTCAGGGAAATTGCTCGATTGCTCTATGCTTATAGCATTCTTCGGGAGTCTGGGATTCATTCTCCCTTCTGGCTCTGGCTTGCAGGTCCCCAGTTACTTAACTCCATCACGCATGTATCTGAGGGCATGGCCGTGAACTGGAGTTATCGGATAGCCTTGATATAGAAGTAATTATCAATACTGGGGATTAGAAGGTTGACGATAACTATGCACTTGAACAGCAGGGACACGACTCAACTAGGGCAGATGTCATCACAGGCAGTACATACAGTAAATATATACTTACATAGTGCAAGAAGGAAGTGGAGGAAGACGTGCGGGGGTACAGCATCTGACCTGAATTGCTATAGAAGTCCTGAGGCCTAGACTGTGCCTCAAACACACTGCACAGCATGGCTAGTGTCTGAACATCATGCATCGCACTATAGTGGGTCAGGCTGTGGAGCAACACAGAACCAGTTATAGATGCAGCCGAGCCCTTCCTGTTGCAACCATATTAAAAAGAATCATGTATTGCAGTAAGTTTGTAAGTCAAATAATGGACTGCTGGAGTTTTTTAAAGACACTCTGAGTTTGACAAACAAGGTTTACCTCTCTTCCCAAGCACTTAAGACTTCTTTTAACTTCTGCTAGTATATGGGTCCTGGAATCTCACGACTATTCAGTTTGAGGGTATTTGTAGCTTAGCTGAGTTCTCAACTGTATAACCATATACATGCCCAACCAGCAGTGGTCATTGCATAATGATCATGCGACAATGTATTTCATCTCCGCTGATGTGCAAAACCTAGTTTATTTTAAAGGTGTGGATGGTGGCAGGGAAGAGAAAGATAGGATTTTTTTTTGAAAAAGTGGATGAACCAGGGAATCTAAGTGCTTGTTTGGAGTCTGCGGAATTAAGGGATAAACAGCTCATTAAAATAGTAAATATAATTTTCCGTCATTGTCTACGTTGGGTTAACATAAAATCTGTGTTCGCGGACACCTCAAAAAAACTTGATAAATTCTTCAGGCATTTAACAGGTATTGAGGCTCATCTGCTGCAATATAATAATAATCTCTGCATTTGATATCACGCTCAAAGTGCTTCACAGCAATTTATTATGAAGATTAATAAACTATTTTTTCTGACTTAGAGAACTTATTCAACAAGAGTTGGTCCCAATGTGGGTGACTTTCTTCCCGACAGAATCTCGGAGCTGATATAATTGGTCTGGATGGGCTTTGGCTCATTCAAATCAGAAACAACTGTTCCTTTCCTATCCAGCTTGTCACTCCCATAACCACAAGCAGTTACTCAGATAATCTTACAGCGACTCGAGGAGTTGCCGTCCAAAGGGGTGTCGTGCCCATGGCGTCTCTATATCAGGATCCGGATGGGGACTGAGGAAAGAGTCCGTGGCCACAGCAGCCAGAGACCAGACCTGGAATGGAAAGAAACACACAATGACTTGGTATACATCCGGGGCCATGTAAAGTCAAGTTTCTCTCGTTGTCCTGGTCAACAAATCCCCCGAATAAAAATGGTCACTCACTGCATGGCTGTTTGTGGGAGATTGCTGCATGCAATCTGACTGCTGTGTTTCGCCCACAAAACCTAGTCAATGCACTTTACAGCATATCCTGTGAAGCTCTTTGAGGAGTCTCAATGACGAGCCCAGCAGTATAGTGAGTTGGTGCTCCAAAACACTGATGCATTTGTGTAGGTTCCTGACCCTTATTAATGCTATTGCAGAACCCAGGGGTAACGAGAGGTAACTATATTGTTTTATTGAGCCAAAACATCTGAGGGATTTTAAACGTCCCCCTGAACAGGAAGGAGAGACTTGGGTTCAAGAATAGACTTGGGTTTAATGTCTCATCTGCAATACTGGGACGTGCTGCAATGTCGACAATGCAGCACAGCCCAGCACTGGGGTGTCAGCCTGGATCATGCCAGTTCAAGCCCTGATGATAAATACCTGTACAAGGTCTCGTCGTCCAACTGACAACGCTGCTGCTGCGTTCTTGTGACAGGTATCCTGGATATCATTCACATTCAGTCTGCAGAAAAACAAGAAATCCGAAGCTTGAAAACAAATACAATTCACGCTCCTCACTGGCATCCTAGCTCCTCCTTCCATTACCTCCAGTTCATAGAAAACTTTCCAGCCTGTATCCTCTCCCATACCAGCCTTAATGTGCCCATTCTTGCCAACTCCACTTGCTCCCCGTCCTCCATTAGACCATTTCCCCAATGGGCCAACTTCAAGATCCTTGTCCTGACCTTCGAATCCCTTCATGCTTTTGTCCCATCTAATCTCTGCAATCTCCCCCAGCCCCCCTCTCTTGCCTGCACCCTTTACTCACCATTCAGTGGCAGCAGTTATCAGCCACTATGCTCTGGAACTTTCTCCCCAAATCCATTTACCTTACAGTTTTTCCACTTCAAACAGTATCTAAACGCTTCTCTCTATGACCCTGCCTTCGATCAATAACCTGAACCTCTCCCCTCATCAACTTTTCCCCCAACGCTGCTCAGTGATCCACATATTCCCTGAAAAGCACTTTGAGATGTTATTCTGGGTGAAATACATTATATAAGGGCATTTTTTGTTCTGCCCAAATACAGTTCTGACTGCTAGAAGCAGGCAAACACAGCTCACTCTCATCTGAATAGCTTAAAAATATAGCATTGCCAATTTATAAGGAGATACGAATGCTTCAGAGCTGTGGAATTCTCTGGACCAGCTAACTAACACAGGAAAACCACGACACAGCCCCAACATCCAGATGTCCTTACCAAACACTCCAGAATGACACTAAAGGGAATGTAGATGTACTCTGCAATGGCCTGCAATGTTTCAACAATGTCTTGTAAAGGAGGTGCTAGCAACCTGCTAAGCAGTTGGCTTCACGAGAGTGTGTGCTGCCAGCACTTACATGTACATTTCTCCCAGTGACTTGTGCACAGGAAGGAGACAGGAGATGTCCTGGATGATGACCTTTCCTGCAGCTTTGATCGGTCGGTTATTTGAGTCGGTCCCTTCTCTCTTTCCTTTCCACCGTCTTGATTTCTGGAAATAAACAGGGAGAGCTTTTCAGTGATCGCTATCAAACTGCTCTGGTGGGGGCAAGTGGGTCTTTGTAACATTTTTAAAACCACCTATTGGGGAATTTCATCCTCTCTCTATAAACTAAACTCATCAACTACGAGTTTTCAAACTCCATGGTTCCTTGCAGCAGCTTGTGGACAGATTGTAACTTCCTCACCTCCATTGACAGAAGATTGATCTCTTGCTGGTACTATGTACTTTTGTGACTAAAGTTCATCTGAAGCGGGTGACATCTGAGATCAATGATTTCCAGACATTAATGCAGTTAAGAGACCTCTCTCCCCCTAAATAATTCCATGCTCATATAGCTATTGACAAAAGTAATGGCTGTTTTAAGGCAGATGGTAGGTTTACACAGCCTTGGGGATCTAAGAGCTGTTCCCTAGATTTCCATAGCATGCAATCAGCAACCCAAAACACGAGATGCTCTCTGTATCACAGGATACATTTTGCAGTTGTGCATAACCTACAGGACGAGTTCAGAAGGCATCTGTAGCCTGAGAATCCCACAGGAATTCTCAATACATCTGTAACGTTGGGGGAGCAGACCATAGTTTTTAGGTGAAGCCCAGGAAAGCCAACCAAATCACCATAACTAAGGAGACGTCTTTTGATGATCTTTGAATCATGGATCGGAAGTGAACAAGTTATTGCTGAAGAATAATGGGATCTAACTTGTGGTCTAAAATCGGATTCATTAAGTAGGCCATATGTGTTACGAGGATGTATAGGAGGCAGACCACATCCCACACCATTCTCAATACCGACATCCTAAAGCTGTCGCCCACATTAATCTTCTGACTTGTGGATCCTGGCTCGGGTTTAGTAATGCTGTGATCATGGCAACCAGGAGTCAAAAGGCTCTAAACGTCTAGTCAGAAGATGATGAAAATACAAGATTCAGGATTCCAGCATTGAGAATGGGTGTGTGGGGGGGGGGGGGGTGGAAATGGGAGAGGGAGGAAAGGATCAGCCTCTGGCACAAGTGGGTAGTTCATATCTGATCCTTAAGGAATCCAGGTTGCATTTTCGACCACAATATCCATTGAACGGCTACATCAATCGGGAATGGGCGAATTATTAAAACCAAACAGAAAAAGGACATAGAGGATATTAGCAAAGTAATAGTTAAACAGAAGGAAGGTCGAGGGGGATGGACTCTGTTCAACGTGCTCCTCAGCTATCAAAGAAAACAGTAAACATATCGAATATACCTTTACGACAAAATCCTTCAGTTTCAAGGCTGCCTGGGAGCAACTCAACTGCTGGTGACAGCACTGACATTTGCTCTAACTAAGGAAAGTGTTTCAGGCTGAAGCTACTCGGGAGCCACACGGCCCCAGGAAAGCCCAGGAATGCCTCTGTTGCTGTTTTGTTGCCTGTGACTTTACCACCAGGACAACAAAAAGTTGTATTTATATTCTCTTCGCCTCGCTCTCTTCCTTGCATCCTTCAAGGCGCGTCTCAAAACTCGCCTCTTCGACTGAGCCTTGGGCCACCCTCCTACCCTCCAAGATCCCGAACCCTGCTTGGGTTGAAATCCCAGACTATCCAGCGCCTTGAGACGCCCTCCCGACGTGAAAGATGCTAAACAAATGTAATTTTGTATTGTATTGTATATAGTGCCCTTCAAGCGGGATAGTGTCTCGGAGCACGTCACAGTGGCAAAGTCTGACATCTGAAAGCATGCTTCCTGATCAACTTTATGGATTCGAGAAATCCAGAAACTGCCATTGTGGAGAAAAGTAAGTCACTACCCACATGACATATGCAGACATAAACACACACGTATGTTTGCACACAGGCTAGGCATGTACAGGTACACAGGTACACACACACCTCTGCCCAGCGCACATTTAACAACAATTTGCATTTCTATACACTAACCCTCAGGTTAACCAGACTAATAGGGGGAGATCCCAATAGACGAGGCGGATTTTCCAACTACCTGCTGATCCTAATCCCTAACATTTAAAATCAATAAAATAAGTAAAAAATAAATCCTCCCTAACATTTCAAATGAATAAAAATGAATTTTAAATGAATAGAATAACAAAAGAAAACAACAACAGTCCTGTACTCACCACTGACATGATGTAACTCTGTTGACGCCCTCAGCAGTGCCAAGCTGTGGGCATCACCCGGGCGGGCAGGAGTTTGAAAACGCGTTTTTTTTTGGAATTGTAGAATCGCAGAATTTGTTTCGAGACCCTGTTCAACTAATTCCGAATAGCCTGGCGCTTACTGTGCCGCCCTTCAGGCAGAGTAGCGTCTCAGAGCAGACCCAGCCAGGTTCTACCCAGTTGCCCACAATAGTGTTAACCCAGCCCACGTGTACAGTTTGAAGTTGAGGCAGCAGCTGCATTGAGTTCTAGTTACCGCAGCAAATGTAACAGCATTGGGATCTTATAGTACCCGAAACGTGGCAACCTTACAGTGACATCTGTGGAACATGTGCAATCGATTGTCAACTTTGCCCAGCAGCTGATTCCCTTCACTCGTGGCTACGGTCACAGTCGGAGAGAACAGTGAGCAATTTTTACTCTATAGCAGCAAGCTGAATTTTGACAGAGCGTTAGCTGCACTACAAGGACCACATCAATATTGAAACATGTGGTAAATGGCCACAAGTGCCACAGAGAACAGATATTTCCACAAGTCCACGACACGTGGATCATGCAAACCTCGAAATCCACAAGTAGCGCTGCTCATACAGCACCGCAGACAGTGGAGACTGCCTCTGAAACCCAAACTGACCGGTTACCGAGTTACACAGAGTAGCCTGGCCACAGGGGTTAACAGAGTCCAGAAAGCCTCCTCGCATCTGCAAATAGAAACAGCAGGAAATTGCACAGAGTGGCACAAACCCAACCCCCCCCCATTCCAGCTCAGTGAACTGCATGCATGCTGTGCCGAGTTACTCAGCCATTAGTCACTCCCCAGTGAAATAAAGCTACACAGATAGAAAAGGGCAAAATACTGCAAATGCTGGAAATCTGAAATAAAGACAGAAGTCGCTGGGAACACGCAGCAGGTCAGTCAGCATCTATGGAGAGAGGAAAATAAGTTAACTTATTTTCCTCTCTCCATAGATGCTGTCTGACCTGCTGCGTGTTCCCAATGAATTCTACACAGAAAGAGCCTGGACAGCAAGGAGAGCTTTGAACTGTGACAGGAGAGAAATGGGATGGCCAGTTTTTCCTCATCTCGGCCAGATTGAAGCATTTGGAGGGGCACGGTGATGTGGAAGTCCTCTGACAATAAACATTAAGCGAAGTTATGCCATCCACAAAATCTATTTCTTTACAATTGAGAAGCCACAGCTCAGTGTGATGTGATGCTGAGGCTCACACACCAGGAGGGTTTCAGCCCTGTATTGCCAACCTCCAACAGAGATAACTCTGTACAAGGCCCTGAATGTTTACTTCAGCAACCTTTGGCAAGGGAGGAGAGAGAGAGAAAAAGCAGCTAATAGTTCCTCTTGAATTGTATTTTGTGAACCCTTCCTGGAAAGTGAATGTTTGTGTATCAGGCAAGGAGGGTTTGATGCTCCCATTAGCTGATTAACAACTGGTGCTCAGATTGTGGGCTCCCAGCAGTACTTTACAGTAATAATAAATAATAATTCTTGCATTTGATATAGCGCCTTATCACGTCTCCGAGACATCTCAAAGCGCTTCACGGAATATATCGTGAATATGTGTCTTCAGGGCAGATGGGGAAGTGAAAATAACATTTCAATTTTCTGACTGAGTTGTTTGATGTTTTGAGTGGAAAGGCAGAGTCACGAGACGAGGGGTGTCTGGCCATCTCATAGACAAGAGGGGGATGGAACGCGGATGGTAAGATGCACAGTACCGGGAACTCATTAATGGCTTGGATGGACCAACGTCGCCGAACGGAGAGTGGAGACATCTGTAAGTATGAACAACAACACGGAAAGGGGAAAAAACAGCAACAAAACAAACAGACAAACAAAAAAAAAGAATTTAAATCACACCAGAAAAAGAATTAAGCAAACTAAGAAGCATCAATCAAAGAAAAATAAAAATCAAATCGTGCAGAAAGAGTGAGGTTCAGCCACAGACACTCAAGTGAGAAGCTGGTTAAAGAGAGCTGCCTATTAGTTTGGGTTCGTGAAGCACAAGGATGAAAATCAGAACCCGACTTGGTTGTAATTGTAAGATTGAAGCCAATTTGTCAGTGGTATATTAGTGTAACTTAACATTTTAAGTTTAAACACAAAGCTCCAGTCAGCCTGCTACCCCCCCACACTCTCGCCTCCTCTCTGCCAGGGTCAGACACAGCCCCCTTTCATTCCCCCTCAGATCAAATACAGCCCCCACTTCACGTGTTAAATGCAGCCCCTACTCCCTTGTATCGAACATGTCACACCTCTTCCTTCTTCCCCCTTCCTCCACATACATCAGACGCAGCCTCCTGCCAGCATGCGTCAGACACAGTATCTAGTACACACCCCCCCCCACCCACACTGTGCAGCCCCCCCCCCACCCCACGCAGTTAGAACAGGAGACCACAACACAGACATGGAAACAGCTCGGTCTTGTTTCTACTTAGTTCTACCCTCTCTCACAGCTCCAGAACTCGAAGGTTTATTACAAACCTCATTGGACGCACAGCCCATGATGAACACTCTGCTATCTTCACGTCCCAGGAATTGCTTCTGTTCCACGGGAGCTCCCGACTGACTGAGGCATTGCATCCGCTCTCAGCATTACAATCAACCTGAAGCAGGCTGGCTGCACATTTTCACTGTAAGCGTGCACTAAATGCAAGCACTCTGTTCTTCCTCACCCTTACAACAGCTCTGTACTCTTCGAGTTCCCCACTCAATGTGTTCCCGGTATGTTGTTGACATGCACTTTTCTTCCATTCAAGTTACTAATAACGGAGCAGGGAAATCCCAGCATATCTCAGAGGTGCCTGTGGGGAGAGTGTGGCACCTCAGTTTACTTCGGTCCCACCTCTCCCTCCACTCCCTCCTCAAGGCCCTGATGTGTGGTTTTCGCCCTGCCCACAGCAGAGACAGCGCCTGTCCAAGTCACAAACACCATCTCTCTATCTGTGACCAGGGATCCCTCTCCTCCTCATCCTCCTGGATCTCTCTACTGCGTTCAGCACAGTCGACCATGCCATCCTCCTCCGTTGGCTCTCCTCCCTCATCTATCTGAGTGGGACCACACTCGCATGGTTCAACTCCTACGTAACCAACCGCCTCCATTTCATCTCAGCAAATGGTTTCTCCTCCTGCCCCCACCTGGTCATCTGTGGAGTAGCCCAGGGCTCCATCTTTGGCCCTATTCTTTTCCTTATCTATATGCTCCCTCTGTGCAATGTCATCCACAGACATGAGGTAAATTTCCACATGTATGCGGATGACACACAAATCTACTTTGCCTCTGCCAGTACCAACTCCCGGTCGGCCGATGTTCTATCAGCTTGTCTGACAGATATCAAGGCCTGGATGAGTGTAAACTTCCTGCAGCTGAATATGGACAAGACAGAAGCCACATTCCTTGGCTCCCGTCAACACCTTCACTCCTAAACGCATCTAAACTCCTCAACTTCTCTTCCTCACTCACCGAACCAGTGTACAACCTAGGTGTCCGGTTTGACCCCCAACTGTTCTTCCTCCCCCACAGCCGGTCCCTGACTAGGACCACCTTCTTCCACCTCCGCCACGTTGCCTGCCTCCAACTGTATGTTAGCCCAAATGCAGCCGAAACCCTTGTGCAATTGTTTATCACCTCCCACCTGGATTACTCCAACAGACTCCTCGTCGGTCCCCACAGCTCCACCGTTCACAAGATCCAGTTCATTCAAAACTCTGCTGCCCGCATACTGACCCGGACCAAACTCCGTACCCACATCTCACCAGTTCTGGCCAGGCTCCACTGGCTCCACATTACTGAACAGATCAACTTCAAGATCCTCACTCTTGTGTTCAAATCATTCACTCCCTGGCACCTCGCTACCTCTCTGACCTCCTCACTCCCCAATCAACTACCCGGCGCCTCTGCTTGACTAGCACTGGCTTCCTGTTCGTCCCTCGCACCCTCCACTCCACCATTGGAGGTCGTGCTTTCAGCCACTACACCCCAAAACTCTGGAACACTCTCCCTCAATCCATCCGCCTCGCCCCCTTTCTCCCCTTTTTCAAGTCCCGCCTGAAAACTTTCCTGTTTGACTGTGCTTACAGCCACCTTCCTCCCCCTCGGCTTGGAGTCAGGCTTCGCCATTGTTAAGCGCTCTGAGAACCTACCCTGCGTGGAACACGCTACATAACTGAAAGTTGTTGTCATTGTTTGTTGTACTTGTTAGTAGAGATGGAATGAATGATCTTTGTGTGTTTAGGTGTAAGAAGTCTGCATAAACCACGCCATCTCTCTCTCTCCACCCCAACCTGGTTTCAATCCATTCTCACCGCAAAGCTGCAACATTGAGTAAGGCTTTGACAAGCATGTAAACAAGTTATAAAAGCAATGATGACTCCAATCAATACAATAAAAAGTGACAATTCTTCAGAGAGCTGAGGAGATAACAGTGACCTTAGGGTAATTTCTCCTGAGCAGACAGACCTGAAAAACAATCTGTCAATTATGAATAGATTTAACCTCCAGGAACGTCCCAGACTTGAACTAAAACCACAATCTGCTCAAACAAGGAGCAGCAAGCAACCGTGCTCAAAAACACAACACCAATTAGACACTTTCACTGCCATACACACCATGGTAGTTTGTTAGTATATGTATTTTGTAAGCTTGGGCTGCTGCCAAATCTGTACATACATGCCCCCAAAACAATCAACCTGCTGAGATCCCCCCGCCTTCCTCCAATTGAGGAGTACTTCTGAAGGCGTGAAATTGTAGGCAAAATAGATTGAGCAGTTGGCTGTGTAAGAGGGCAATGATACCTGCTGTACAACAACAACAAAATTACATTTCTAAAGCGCCTTTCACGTCGGGAGGACATCTCACGGTGCCGAACAGTCAGGGATCAGAATCTGAGCGTGGGGGGCAGGGTTGGGATTAGGGAGGGCAGCTGAAGGCACATTTAAAAAGGAGGATCTTGAGTCGTGCCTTGAAGGAGGGTAGCGAGGCGAAGGGATTGCGGGATGGAGTTCCAAAGAGTGGGGGGCAGAGAGGCTGAAAGCCTGGCCACTGATGGTAAGGTGGGGCGAGAGGGAGACCTGGAGAAAGCCGGAGCCTGCTGAGCGGAGGGAGCGGACGGGTTGATAGGGGGTCACCCAGACCAGAGATGTAGGAGGGGGCAAGGCCATGGAGAGCCTTGAAAGTGAGGACGAGGAGGGTAGGGGGGTGGGTAGGTAGGTAATGGAGGCTGTGGCTGGATTCAAAGGTTCTAATGCAAAGTACTCACCCGCTCCTTGTAATAGAAGGAACTGATTGAGACCGGCTCCTTCTCGCTGCGGGTTGGGCTCCCGCTATACAACCTCAAGTTACTCTGTGACTCCGTGCGGATCTTCATGGGGGTGATTCCTCCACTGTGATAGGCAGAGAGTGCCGACAGCGACCTAAACATAAAACAAAACAGTTATTGCCTGCTTGACCTGAACGCTAATAAAGCACGTGATAAGTACAAGGGAAGCAGCAAAACACCAGATGTAATGACCAATGTAATGAGGTGCCCATTACTGGGTGAATCAAAAAGTACAGCCAAAAGCCCAGCTAAAAATCATAGAGACCCCAAAAGCATATATCTCGTATCTTCAGTGCAATCAACTTCACTGTTTAAATAGTGTAGCCATCTCATTTCCAGAGATGAGCCCCTTAACTCATGGGCCACCACCAACAACAACAACAACAAGATTCCATTTATAAAGCGCCTTTCACGTCAGGAGGACGTCCCAAGGCGCTGCACAGTTGGGTCATGACCCGAGCAGGGGGGAAATGGTCAGGGTGAGGGGAGGGAAGGGAGGGAGCGAGGAGAGGGGAAATGGTCAGGGTGAGGGGAGGGAAGCGAGGGAGCGAGGAGGGGGAAGAGAGTCGAGAGGGGAGCTGAAGGTACGGTCAAAGAGAAAGGTTTTGAGACCGGCCTTGAAGGAGGAAAGGGAGGAAGCAAGGCGAAGGCACTGGGGGATGGAGTTCCAGAGCCTGGGGCTGAGAGGCTGAAGGCCCGACCACCGATGGTAGGGCGGTTGGGGCGGGGGACGTGGAGCAGACCGGAGCCAGAGGAACGGAGGGTACGGGCAGGTAGGTAGGGGGATAGTAGGTCGGAGAGGTAGGAGGGAGCGAGGCCGTGAATGGCCTTGTAGGTGAGGATGAGGATCTTGAAATCAATCCTCTGGGGGATGGGGAGCCAGTGGAGGCGAGCGAGGGTGGGAGTGATGTGGTCCCGAAGCCTGGTGCGGGACAGTACACGAGCTGCAGAGTTCTGAATGACCTGCAGTGTGGAGGGAGGTGGCGGGAAGGCCGGCGAGGAGAGAGTTCCCATAGTCCAGCCTTGAGGTGACAAAGGCGTGAACCAGGGTTTCAGCAGCGTGAGGGGTGAGGTAGTGCCGTAGTCTGGCGATGTTCCGGAGGTGATGGAAGGCGGTGCCAGTTGTGGTGCGGATGTGAGGGAGAAAGGACAGCTCAGGGTCGAACAAAACGCCGAGGTTCCTGACTGGCTTTGAGAGGTGGAGAGTGCAGCCTTGGATGCTGATGGTGTCAGCGCCTGAGGTGCGGAGGCGCTGACGTGAGCCAATCAGGAGGGCCTCGGTTTTTCGCACGTTGAGCTGAAGAAAGTTGCCTCTCGTCCAGGACTCGATGTCGGACAGGCAGGCTGTCAGGACATCGGTGGTCGTGGAGTTGAGAGTAGAGGAGGAAAGGTAGAGTTGGGTGTCATCCGCATACATGTGGAAGTTAACCCCATGTTTGCGGATGATGTCACCAAGGGGGAGCATATAGAGGGTGAAGAGGAGGGGACCAAGGACAGAGCCCTGAGGGACACCACATGAGACAGTGCGGGGGGTGGAGGAGAAGCCATTCGTCGAGACAAAATGAAGACCAGACTGAACAGTGTTCTTATGAACAAGTTGAAGAAGAGCTGGTGGAACTAACAATTGCCCAAATAACCCAAACTATGACCTCTACCCGGGCCACAGATATGTGCAGCTTTGCTGTGGGAGGAGTGCGCACAAGGCCAACACACACCCAAACCAATTAGGGAGTCCTGCAGCTCAGTGGTTAGAGCACTCGCCTCGCAAGTGAGAGACCTGGATTTGATTCCCGTCAGGGCGAAACCTTGGGCAAGTTTCCTCACTCCACACACCAGATAATAATCCCTCAAGAATTTTTTTTAAAAAAAAATTGGTCACTTCAATCCACGACTGTTTGTGGGACACTGCTGTGCGCAATTGGCCGCGTTTTGCTCACAAATATAGTCAATTCACTTTACAGTATATTCTGTGAAGCGCTTCGAGATGTCTAGGAGACGTGAAAAGCGCTATATCCAATGGAAGTATTATTATTTTTATTTATTTATTAAACCTCTAACTGGTGAAAGCTGCGTCACAAGACTGCAAGAACAACACCCGGTCGTGGACCCAAAACGTTGACTCACTTTCCTTTCTCCATAGATGCTGCCTGATCTGCTGAGTGTTCCCAGCGACTTCTGTTTTTGTTACCCGATGCAATTCTCTGACTTAAGTTAGAAATGATGAAACAACCTATGCAGAGGGATGTCACACGCTGGTTTGAGAGGTAGATGGTTTTCCTCAAGATTAACCTACAATAAATTCACAAACAATGACCTGCTCTTTCCAGCAGCCACTTCTTACCTAGGTGTTGGCTCCGTCGGAGACACTGTCCGGTGAAGAGTCATTGGCCTCATGAAGTACACAAGATAACCTGCAGAAGACAAATACGCTGCAATTAGAGACTACTGAGCTATTAAGCTGGGTCTGAGCAGGCTCCCAGTGACGTAATAATAATCCTTAAATTTGTTACAGCGCATTTCCTGTCAGCACATCTCAAAGAGCTTCATAGGGTTCAATGTAACTGCATAATCCATCTGGCTCAGGAACTGGATTACCGAGACCGCTATAGAGGGTGTGATCAATTCTGACATTCCATTGCCAAACATATCACTTAGAAGCAAGTTTAGCTCCAAGGTGACACCACTTACCTCCCCCCAGGAGGATAGCTTCAAATTTTATTTTGGCCAGGACACCGGGAGAAACTCTTTTCTTTTTTCAAATAGCACCAAGGGATCATTAACGTCCACCCGAACAGGCAGACAGTAACAACGAATTGGATCTATACGCTGCTTTCACATTGGGAGGACGTCCCCAGGCGCTGAGGGGGGGCCTCAGTTTAACGTGTCACCCGAGTAAGATGCACAGCAATCGTATTCCCTCACCCGCTCCACAGAAACGCGCCCCAGATGTGCGAGGAAAGGGGATGTTGGAGTCCTGGTAGGAGCCGTACGTGTTGGAGACGCGTGGGAACGTTGGCAGCGGTGGAGTCACTGAGTTCCCGAGAACAAACAGATTCTGGGAGTTTGTCGAGCCGCTGTTGTCCTGATTCTGGAGATGAAAGAACAAGAAGGGTGATGGCTTTCATTATGACCCGCCATGTTGGCCTGCCCACCCCTCTGCTCAGCAGACTCTGGCCTGCTCCATTCCCACCATCGGCAGTCAGGCCTTCAGCCTCTCTGTCCCCACCCTCTGGAACTCCATCCCCCAGTCCTTTCACCTCGCTCCCTCCATTTTCTCCTTTAAGGCATGCCTCAAGAACCTGCGCCTTCGGTCACCCTCCTACCCCTAACCCTTCCTGCCCTCCACCCCGCCTGCTCGGAACAACATCCCTGACCGTCCAGGTCCTCCCGAAGTGAAAGGCGCTGTACAAATGTAATTTGTTATGGTTGAAAGACTAGTGCTCCAATGCGACAGCTGTTAGCTGCAGGAGTCTGACACAAACTTCCTGTACTTTCCTCCGTTCCTTTTCTGTAGGATCACACGGAAGGTAAGAAACAGGCAAACACACCAACACATTCTAAGAAGCTCAAATCAAACCCGCACAGCTGATCAGCTGCTCGGCTGCAAAAAGTCAGAGCTCCACAGATTTATATATTTATATTCTGCAGTGAAACAGTAAGTCACAGTGATAACTGATGGGTTTAAAACTCATCAGTTTTAAAACCCGTTAGCTTCTGAATGACCTTCATGTACAGGCCTGTGTGGCAATACATGGAGATATGGGCAGAGAGATTTGGCTTCAGCGAAGGGATCAATGTTCTTGAGCCTTATTTGAGACTGCTCAAGGTTCTATGGCATTTTCTGGTTCTCATAAAACGTACATCATCCCCCACATTCTTACCCTGCTGTACAGTAGCTTTTACTTTATTCAGTAACGCACAGTGATGAGGCTAAGGTTTCCTACCACAATGGCCTCCAGGCTGGAAACCAACTGGCGCAGACAAGGCTCCAAGCAACTCTGGTTCCGCTTGACCTTCTGGAGGGATGTATCCTTCAGGATCTATAGCAAACATAGAACAGGTTCCGCCATATGCATAATCATATACGTAGTACATACACTAAAGAGGGTGTAGTCACCCAAAATCAACCACAGCTGCTGTATAGCACTGCTCACACAACATACAAATGCAGTCAACCATACGAATGCATGGAAGTACATGCATTTCACTGTTGCAAGATGTCCTGCTATTTACAAGCAATAAGCAATGATACTAATAAGTCTTGCATTTGGTACAGCGCCTTATCACGTCGTTCAGACATCTCAAAGCGCTTCACAGGACATACTGTAAAATGGATTGACTGTGTGTTTTGTGGGTGAAGCGTGACAGCCAATTGCGCACAGCTGTGTCCCACAAACAGTCGTGGATTGAGTGACCATATTATTATTATTTTGGAGGGATTATTACCCCCGGAAAGCAATCCAACAATCTACTAACAAGCGGGTTCCTACTTACTGCTTGGTAAACAGAGGCACGTGTGTGGAGTAAGGAAACTTGCCTAAGGTTTTGCCCTCTCTCAGTCTCTCTTTGTCAGTCTCTCTCTCAGTCCCTACCCCAGTCCCTCTCACACTGCACAACAGTGTCCCACAAACAGCAACGGGTGGAGTGAATGACTAAATAGCAGACAGTCCTCAAACATTGGGTGGCTGTATCGTGTCAGCTTACCTTGAGGAGCTTGGTCCTCATGCTGGAGCTGATAGTGGTGGGATTGATGAACTGGAAGGAGGGAGCAGCATTGTTTGGATACTGTACTGGAAACATCACAACCATCTTCACTCGCAAATTGCCACAGTGAACCGAGACTGTGCAATTTCGATTGACAGCATCCATCTAGACACAACAGAATCGAGTGAGTAGCTTTCATGTATCTGAACTATTCTGTAAAATGCATTAATCTAAACATTTGCTCAACAAGACAGTTCAACTTTGATCATAGCAACAAATTGTGCAGAAACATTCCCAACATAAAACGTTGGCAGAATTATCTTAAAGGTCTTCCACGGATTCAGTCCTGTACAAGTTTATTCAGGGAAAAGACAATTCGCTTTCCACCCATGGGCCAGAAGAAATGCTGCAATATTAGTCCTCAATATTAACATCTGCCTCTGGCCGCCAGTGAAACCAATGACTAGGCACATTTACACTCAACAACAACTTGCACTTATATAGCGCCCTCCACGCAGGGTAGTGTCTCAGAACGCTTAACAGTGACAGAGCCTGACTGCGAGCCGGGGGGAGGGGTGAGATGGCCGTAAGCACGGCCAAAGAGGAAAGTTTTCAGACACGACTTGAAAGATGGGAGAGAGGGGGCAAGGCGGAGGGATTGACGTAGAGCGTTCCAGAGTTTTGGGGTGTAGTGGCTGAAAGTGCAACCTCCAATGGTGGTGCGGAGGGTGCAAAGGACGAGCAGGAGGCCAGTGCCGGTTGAGCGGAGGTGCTGGGTGGTGGATTGGGGAGCGAGGAGGTCGGAGAGGTAGGGAGGTGCCAGAGAGCGAAGGGATTTGAACAAGAGGACCTTGAAGTCGATCCATTTGGTGGAGTCTGGCTGGTGGGATGTGGGTATGGAGTTTGGTCTGGGTCAGTATGTGAGTGTCAGAGTTTTGAATGAGCAGGATCTTTTGAATGGTGGAGCTGGGGAGACCGGCGAGTAGTGCGTTGGAATAACCCAAGCGGGAGGTGACAAACGCACGCACCAGGGTTTCGGCAGCATTTGGGATAAGGTACCGTCAGAGGCGGGCAATGTATCGGAGGTGGAAAAGGTGGTCCTGGTCAGGGACTGACTCACTCACCTCATCAACCATGACATTGCGAATCTGCAGATTGACCAACGAGAATTCTTGCTGTAGTGTCTGTGGCAGTCCGAGATAATCGGGTTTGATGCCGATGGTAAGATTGGTCTGAAAGTCTTCTCTCAGTACTGAAAAAGAATGGATTACCGAAATACAAACATCTCTCGTACAAAAGTGCGACTGGCTCTGCTCGGCTGATAGCACTCTCCAGTCAGAGTCAGAAGGTTGTGGGTTCAAGCTACATGCCAGGACTTTGAACTCATATAGCCTCGGCTGACGCTCTATCAAATGCAAGGACTATATTATTATCAACACTTAAGATTGAATTATTCTACAAAACATTTAATTCACTTTTTAAATTAAAAAAACAGCTGTAATGAACAGCCTGGTTTGAATTAACACCAAAATCACAAATGTTCTGTACCCGGTGTTCAGCCATGTTCCAGTGATGATTCCAGAATCTGAAACCAGCAGTCAGAGGTTGAAGAGAAACACCAGACATTCCGATGTTAAGATAGAACACCATTGAAAACAGTCAAAGCAGTAACTGCTGTCAGCCCAGCACCTCTGTGGCAATCCCAACTACATTCCTATGAATGTAATGCACTGAGTACTAGATTAATGTAATGTAATTAATGTATATTACCTTCCTCTTCTTCATTTACATGGCTGAGTGCCGGGTGAGGCTCCGTGTCCTGGGACTGAAGTACTTTATCGGTCTCTGGGAGCATGGAAACACTATCAATTAAATCATCTCCATCCAACATGTCATTTGCACAGAGCTAGAAGAACAAAACAATCGGTCAAACAAACATCAGAAATACAGGGTTATAAATGTATTGTAAATTAAAGTATTTCACACATTCAACATTCATACGTTTCCTTGATCATTAATTTCCATGTATGTGCTCCATCTTGCTTTACTCTGGAGTAAGTCTGGATTTATATTATCGAACCCATTGACTATTTTGTATAAATCAAGGAAGCTCTCTTCCTCCCCTCTATGCATCATTCTGACAGTGAAGCTTAACATTCTCTGATTTTTCTTTCCAGAGCATCATGCCCTTTACACTCAAGTTCAGTCTTATGCTTAAAGAACTGGGCGCCCAATTTGGAGGAAAAGCCGTGGTAAAAATAAAATGTAGGGAAGAGGAGATATTAATACAAGTAAAACACAGAGTGAGAGATCACATACCCGCTGTAGCTGCACGTCAATCCGCCACATCCTCAGGGTTTGATCTCGTGACCAAGTAACCAGCTGATAATCCTTCAGCTCTACATTAAGGGGGAAATTAGATTTAGACACTGTTGGGATTCCGGCTCACAGTTCCACATACACTCTCAAAGGATGACGCAAAAAGACCTATTAATGAAGGCTGGGCTCTCTGGAAAACATCATACAATGTTAGAGCAGCCACACACACTAGGCTGTGGAGAGAAAGACATTCTAGTGTAGCGAAGGGATCTTGCTGTTCACTGGCAATATAGGTGGGGGAGCCAAGGGCTCAAAGTTCTCTTACCTTCTCGCTGTTTTCTCCACTGGAATTCTAACACCACATCATCATGTCCTACAAAGGTATGAACAGGCACATTGAGGTCTAAAACGTTCCAGAGGAGGAGACTGTTCTCGCCTCGACGTAACTGCGGCACCATCACAGTCACCAGGCCATTGTTGAACGGCTGCCAAGGATAAGAAGCAATTTCACTTTAATTACAGTCAAGCACACTGTTCATCCTCAAAATCTTGCTTACATTTTGCACAAGGAGACCCCTCCTGTGGTGACTACTTCAGACTGTACTTTAAAGCAGAAAATTACCAGCACAAATTTTCTGGATATCACATAGTAAGAAAATGTCCTTCAAGACATCTTCAGATGAACATCTCAAGACCAATTAGTGCTTCACAAAGGAACACATTGATTGCCAGGGCAGGACATCTCATTAACAAGCAGGTTCACCGATGGGATTCCCCACAGCCAGTGAGTGTCCTGTACATCACTGTTCCATAGGGAACGGAACAATAAAACAAGTCACCCTCGGCTGCTCTCACTAGACAGTGGAGGTTTGCACCCGAGCTGGGGGTTGGGTTTGGGAGGAGTGGGAACGGGAAGATGATCGGAGGCACAGTCAAAGAGGAAGGTCTTGAGATGCTTATAATGGGAAAATCTACCAAAGGCTCTATACTGATGCAAGAGAAAGACAACCCTGAGAAGCTGAAATTAATTTATTTTCAACTTTATCACTTTTTAGTAAGCCATGTTCACCTAAGTGAATTCAGGATTTATCACCAACTTATTGATATACTCAATGCAGCAAAAAATTATTCGAAGAATAAAAGGCCATGAGGTGGAAAATGAGCACCACAGTATTCTCTTCTATGAATTATGACAACAAATGCGAAGAGCTTACCGTGTACCGAGCCTTCCACACTGGCACTTGACAAGACAGAATATTCAGGTATTTCCGAGGCTGTCGGTAATCCCAGAACTAGACAGAACAGAAAGAGGAACAGAAAATCAGTCGCTCTGATAGATGTGTAACTCCTGGTAAGACAGGAATTCAACAGGAACCATAGTTATGTAGGCTACCACTTACCCTGACAGAATTATCTTGGCTTGAGGTAGCGAAGATGTGCTCGTTCTCTGGGTGCCAATCCAGCCCGTGTATTTTAGATAAATGAGCAGCTATGTATTCCATTGCTGTGTTAGGTTTCTAGAGAAAAAAAGATTGCGGTTAGACCAAGATCTAATTTGAAAACACTCATATCTTTGTATTCAAGGCAGAAATCTTCAAGAGATCTCAAACTCTCCCATCTAGGCAGTGAAAGGAGGCGTGAGAGGAGACCATATAGTAGTACAGTATATGAGATGATCAGTGGGATAAGGAACCCAAATATGGAACAACAATACTTTGATATGCCAAGGCAGCAGCAGAAGAGGGTACAGATCAAACTCAGGATTGCAAAGGGCAATTAAGACAGGTAATCAACAGCTGGAAAGGGTTACTGAGAAGTGATTCCTATTCAGTTTCATGTAGCAGTCTTACCTGCTAGGAATACAGAATATGTCCAAAGATCTAATCTAATGCAAACTAACCCAAACACAGCCAATCCACTTTACAGTGTATTCCGCGATGCCCTTTGAAACTAATATGTTAAGTGCTATATTAAATGCAAGGATTATTATTATTACTTCACAAACACGCTGCCTCAGAGACCATGCTGAGAAAGGTTTATGTTCCACGTGGCTTACCCGCTTGTCCCATATCCGGACGTCTCCGTCGTGGCTGGTTGCCAAGCAGAACGGGTTCTTTTTGTTCCATTTCACCTGAGAGGCTCCAGCTCCACAATGCAAAAGATCAGAGAGAGAAGAGGTCAGAGCTCTATTCCAGTATTATCATAGAATCATTGAAACCTACAGCACAGAATGAGGCCATTCGGCCCGTTGTGCCTGGGTTGGCTCTTTGAAAGAGCTACCCAATTAGTCCCACTCCCCCACTCTTTCCCCATAGCTTTGCAAATTTTTCTTTTCAAGTATCCAATTCCCCTTTGAAAGTTATTATTGAATCCTCTTCCACCGCTCTTTCAGGCAATGCATTCCAGATCATAAAAACTCGCTGCGTAAAATCATTTCTTTAAATGGGATTAAATGTCCTTATCTGGATAATATGAAATTGACTGATGCAAAATTCACAGGTCAAACAAATTCAAAATCACATTGACAAAAATTCTCTTTGTGAAACACAATAATCAATTTTTTTTCAACACAACATAAAATAGAACCTCTCATATCATTACAAAAAAAAACTTTATTTGAAACCCTGCAGGAGGAGAAATCCAATCACGAGGACTTCAATTTCAAAATGAACCACTTAGTAAAACAGCTGACATGACCAATAATAATAATCCTTGCATTTGATATAGCATCTTCGAGATGTCTCAAAGCGCTTCACAAAATATAATGTGAAGTGAATTGACGGTATATATTGTGGGCGAAACGTGGCAGCCAATTGCGCACAGCAGTGTCCCACAAACAGTCGTGGATGAGTGACCATATTATTATTATTACTATTATCATTAAGGGATTATGATCTCTGGAAAAGTGATCCACCAAGCGACTAACAACCTTGTTACTTACTGCTAAATAAACAGAGGCATGTGGTGAAAGGAAACTTGCCTAACATTTATCCCTGCCCGGAAACTGAAACCAGGTCTTCTCGCTTGCAAGGCGAGGGCTCTAACCACTGAGCTACAGGACTCCTCGGAACAATGTGCTTGGTTCAGCAGTGCCCTACCAGTCAGAAATTGAATGCAAACAAAATAGATTTGTAACCAGNAAAAAATCTTTGTTAGGCTCGCCAGTGGAGCTGAATTCTACTCACCAACAGCTGATAATGAGACAGACGGCTTCCGTGTGTCCCTAAACAAAGAGAAATAGAAAAAGAGGGTAAAACTACATACGTGTTAGGATCAGATAATAATATGCATGGCAGCCACTTGAAGGCCTGGCTGCAACACCCTCTGCAGTCGAATGGCCTGCCAGTACTCACTGCTGAGGCTCAAGCATGAACAGCTACTTGGGCAAAATAATAGAGGGCCACCCTTACATCTAGAAATGCAACCCCGCCCTCCCCCAGCATGAGGTGCCTGGGAACCAGGAGCCAGTAATAATTATCCTTACATCTGATATACCACCTTTCACGTCAGGAGGACGTCTAAAGGGCTTTAATGATTTACTGTAAAGTGGAGTGATTGTGTATTTTGCAGGTGGACGTGGCAGCCAACTTTATACAGAGCAATGTCCCCCACGTAGCCATGAAGTGAACGACCAATTTTATTTGAAGAAGAAATTCCCTTCTCTTTTTGAAGAGGGCTATGGGATCTTTGACGTCCACCTGAACAAGTAGACAGGACCTCGGTTTAACGTCTCCTCCAACACTGCAATGGAGTGTCAGTCGAGACTATGTGAGATGAAAATCCTGACTTGCTCTCTGACTCAAAAGGCGAGAGTGCCATCAACTAAGCCAGATGAAAATTGGACATGCTAAATTTTGAATAAAACTATATGTGCAGTGGACACCATCAACGCATCACATTTCTGTCCTCAACTTACTTGATGTCCCAAACATAGATGTAAGTGTCAACAGAGCTTGTCACGAGAAGTTCAGGATCAAACCACGACCACTCCAGGTCACTGCAACAACAACAATTTAGTTATACAGCACCTGTTACGTCAGAAATGTCTCAAAGCTACACAGCACAAAGTGTCAGGATACAGAAGGACAGTCAGATTCCAGCAGAGCCTTCACTCACTATAAAAATCAGTAGGGTACCTCACCCCATAGCTATAGAATTCTGGTGCAATCAATGAAAGAAAAATAAACAACAATTTTGCAGATGGAATAAGAGAGCTGGAGCTTCATCAGTGATCCACAATTGGAGATGAATGTGTACAGCCAGGACTAGGCAATAATTCTGCAATTTTATGAAAGAAAAGTTTATGCAGCTTTTCTCTTCTGCTTTTTTTTCACAGCTATGAGCAAAACCACAGTGAAAAGATGTGGAACAGGAAATCAAAGCTTTACTTCCTATTTTTCTGAGACTTGGAAACCAAAAAAAGTTTGGAATTCAGCATATTGCCAAACATAATGTCTTATCGCAATGTTTGAGGTATTCCATACAAATCTCTCAATTTTACTGTGAACACTTAAAAGAATTTCCTAAAGCTCCATGCTAAATACCTTATGACACGTGTATGACCCTGTAAAGATGTATGGATCTCACCGCTTCCATCCTGCCATTTGTATAGGTCCACCCGCTGGTTACACTGAAAAAAAGACGCCATCAGAGCACTGCTTCAGAACTAGCTACATTTTACCTTTTCGGAAAGCACAGATGAAATAACAGTGGCGTTCTCACGAAACTGACATAGCAGTTTCTCTTTCAGAGATTTTACCCAGACTACTGACAAACTAATTTACTTGGCACTACTTTCCCCATTGCCATGAATCAGTATTGGAAGCTGTTTAGCAGCACATGTAGATTTAACAAACACAACCTTTATGATAAATACAGCCAAATGTATGTTTTCAAAATTTCTTTAATTGCTTTATATGAAATCCCTCTTTCTCTACTCCACGTGATAGAATTTCCACAGCATCAAATCCCACACAATACTCACTGAAGCTGCAAAGTAGTGAGAGGAGGACTCATGTGGGTTCCATTGCACTGCCCCGATGTCCCATTTGCTCTGCCTCGCGATCTTTCTCGGAACTTCCGAAGGTGCGTCCAAATTTATGACGTACAGGAAACGGCGCCTGTGAAAAATGTTAATTACAAATGACCATCGTTACATTGCCCCCTCACCCGGAACCCATTCACAAAATATCTCTCAGCAGGAGCGCAGCAATAAACCATATACTGCAAAAGATTACAAGCTCAATTCCTGGTTTGTGCTGGGTTTAACTGCCTTGCAGCCAGGCCAGAAGTAGGGCTACAACTGACCTGAGTGTCCCTGGTCTCAGGAGAGAGAAATAAAATCAGCCAGACAGCCATGGAACTGTTCCCCAGTAAAAGGAGTCAAATATCTTTAATAGAGAACGTAAGAAAATTAATTTGAAGGTTTAAAATTAAATATTCTATGTTACAGGTTCTATGAGAACCTGAAGTGCTCAGAGACGCTATCCTGTGTGAAGGGTGCTCTGTGAATGCAAGTTGTTGTTATAAAGCAATATTCACGAGGCTGTGCTCAACAGGTTAAAGTTGAACCACAAGTTGCTTTAAATCCCTTTATGGAAAGGAGGCAATAGCTTGAACCATTCAGAAGGGAGTTTCTCCTGGTGTCCTGGTCAATAACCCCCAACCTGATCAGTCATTCACTTAATGGCTGTTTTTTGTAAATTGCTATGCACAAATTGCCCATAAAATACAGTCATTCCATTTTACAGTACATCCTGTGAAGCTTATGAGAGGTACTGTGGCAGATGTCAGGATTATTATTAATAGCCATTGCAGGGCTGCTTACCCAGAGAGTACTGCAAGTTGGCCATGGCAGTTCACAGACATTGCAGTTGCCTGGTTTTGGGAACAAAAAGGTAGAAATTAGAGTCAGAAACATGGGTGTCAAAATACTCTTGAAAAATAGCAGTTATCAAAAGACACAAATTTATATCCCCCAAACCTCCCACCACCACTCTATTGTTGGTTTTCAGTTTCAACACATACAACAACAACAACAAGATTCCATTTATAAAGCGCCTTTCACGTCAGGAGGACGTCCCAATGTTGACCACTGATTCACCAACCAAATGTAACTTGATCAAAGCAAATAACAATAATAATTATAATCCTTGCATTTGATAATAGTGCCTTATCACATCTTTTCAAGATGCCTCAAAGCGCCTCACAGAATACACTGTAAAGTGAATTGACTGTATACTTTATGGGCGAAACGCAGAAGCCAATTCCACACAGGAGTGTCCCACAAACAGTCTCCATAGTTCCAAGAACGAACTTGTATTTTTATAGCAGTTTATATACATCAAAACATCTCACAACTCTTCATTCTTTAAATATCAACCTCAAAGACCAATTCATCTGGAGCATCATTTGCCAGGGCATCAACAGAAATGGCATTCTATTTTTGAATAGTGCCATGGGATCTTTAACATTCTTAGCTTCGTAGAACGATGATACAGATTATGTTCCTGTACTACTGTAAATCCTATTTACATCTATTAAGGCGGTACCATGAGCAAACCTAGTCGTACAATGGAAGCAGCATTGCTTAGGGGCCTTCAGTATTCATTTTATAATTATAGGCAATCTCTCGATAATCGAGTAAGATTGTTCCCCAGTTTTTAAAAACGAAACAATAAACAAAAACAAAAAAAGGAGGGAATTTGAGGTTTAAGATTGGCTTCGTCTTTGGTTGGCATTCAGGTGGCTTTGTAAAGCAATCCTAGAGAGAGAGATTTTAACCATAAACGAGAGATGACCCAATTGATGGTACGTTCACAGCAGACTGACGTTGGTTCCTCTGTCTAAGTTTCTCTTCTTCCTTGGCAATCCTAGTTTGTTCAAAATCAATTCCCTGCCTTCATACAGATCGCCACATTAAAGCCCCTGCAAGACCCCAAACACTGCACAGCTTTCAAACCGTACGTGGGACCCTGTAACATTCACAGATAAATGTTGCATGAATTATTGCCCAGAAGCGTTTAATGATGAAACACAACATTAAGTAAAAATAATAGTTTTCAACATGCAATTCACTTTCAGCTATCCATTATTTTATACATCCACCATCTAAAACCCATCAATTCAGGGCTCCAGTTTGTGTGCAATTATTCCAAAGTATTTGCATTTATGTGCCTTCAAAGTATTCTAGAATTTTTAAGAGCATCCTCTCTGTAATGCAACAATAGCGCAGGGTAGCGTTTTGGAGCACTTAGCAGTGGTGGAGCTTGACGCCAAGCCGGGGAGAGGTGATGGTAGGCATGGTCGAAGAGGAAGGTCTTCCATGTATGATCTGAAGATAGGGAAGGAGGCGGCAAGGCAGAGGGATTGAGACAGAGAGTTCCATAGTTTTGGACCGTAGTTGCAAATGTATTTTGAGGACTGCAGAGACTCTTGGAAAAAGTTTTAGTTACAAGACTCTATGCACCACATACAATCCCTTGGATATAGCCACATCTATTACATCTTACACACTAGACAGATCATTGCATGTAGGAAAATTCTGTTCTACTATGTCACAATGTAGTATTTGGTTATCCATAAATTTCACCATCACGGTCTGTTTGAGTACAAATAGCATGTTCAAATTTTAAGGTAGATTTCCTCCACTTGACTCATGCACTTCAAATTCACGCACAGAGGGTGGCTCCGGGTAGCACCTTTGTTTTCGACTGTTCAACTGGGAAACATTTGCACATCTCTATTTGGGTTGCTAGTATGGTGTCAGATCCTACCTCTCACACCGTCTCCACTTCATCTCCACAAATGTCTTCTCCTTTAGCCCCTGCACCAGTCTGTCCCATCCCAGGCTCGGAATCAACTTCCACATGTATGTGGATGACACCCAACTTTATCTCTCTGCCTCCACCCTCGACTCCAAGACCACTGCTGTCCTGACAGAATGTCTGTCCAACATCAAGTCCTGGATGAGAGCTAACTTTCTATAGTCGAACGTCAAAAAGACCGAAGCTCTCCTGATTGGCTCCCGCCTACTCACCTCAGGTACCGACAGCATCACCATCCATGGATGCACACTCCACCTTACTTCCAGTCTGGAACCTTGGGGACTTGATTGACCCTCAACTATCCTTTCTACACCACATCAGTGCCATGACCCGCTCTGCCTTCTCCCACCTTCGCAACATCGCTCGGCTCCGCCACTGTCTCATGCCGCAGGCCGCCGAGACCCTCATACACGCATTCATAACATCCAGGCTCGACTACGCAAATTCTCTGCTTGTCGGCCTCTCCAACTCCTCCCTCCATAGATTGCAGATCACCAAGAACTCTGCAGCCCGTGTCCTCTCCCGCACCAGGCTACGTGACCCTAACACCCTCAATCTCGCCCAACTCCACTGGCTTTCCATCACAGAGGATACAGGTCAAGATCATAGTCCTCACTTTCAAAGCCTTCCACAGCCTTGATCTGCAACCTCCTAATCCCCTACCAACCTGCCCACTCCCTCCACTCAACCAGCTCCAGCCTGCTTCACGCCCCCCGCCCCTGCCCCCATCCTGCAGTCCCGCCGCCTTGCCCCCACTCTTGCCTCCTTCAAGACCCGTCTCAAGACCCTCCTCTTCGACTGTGCCTTCGGTCACCCTCCTTCCCCCCCTACCCTCCACAATCCTCGACCTCCAGCTCAAGTCTAAAACACTGATTGTCGAGCACCTTGGGACGTCATCCTGACGTGAAAGACGCTATACAAACGTAATTTTTTTTGTTGTTGTTGTTAGTAGCGTTTCTATTTACAGTTTAAATTTTACAAGTGGCCAGGAACATCCAGAGCCAAATGCATGGGATAAAGATAGTTTGAAAATGAGGACACCCTGAGTTAAAATCTCATCCCCCTCCTCCTTTGCATGCAATGTTGCCTAATTGGGCGAGTTTTTGTATCACTGTGAAAAAATGCCTTTGGGCAAGTGCCTAATTTTTTAAAAAAAATGTACAGTTTTACAAGATCCTCACTCTTGTATTTAAATCCCTTCACGCCCTGGCACCCCCCACTATCTCTCCAACCCGCTCTCTCCCTACACCACTACCCTCTGCTCGACTGTCTCCGGCCTCCTCCTTGTCCCCCGGACCAGCCGGCCCACCATTGGCGGCCGTGCTTTCAGCCACTAGACCCCCGAAGCTGTGAAACTCTGACTCAACCCCTTCACCTGCCCCCCCCACCCCACCCCTCTCTCCCCATTTTCAGGTCACACTCGAAGACCTTCCTCTACCTTCCCCCTCCCCCTGGCTCAGCATCGGGCTCTGCCACTATTAAGCGCTCTGAGGCTCCGTCCGGCGTGAAGGGCTTTATACAAACGCAAGTTGTTGTTGCTATTAAAACCCGAAAAACTTATTTCCCCCCTACAGTCCTTTGACTATTTAACGTACGTTGTATTCTTCCTCACACTTTCCTGCATTCAATTTGTGGGGCACCGCAGTGGGCAACTGGGTGCCGCGTTTCGCCCCACACAATGCACAGTCACTCCACTTTACCGTAAATCCTGTGAAGCGCTTGGAGACGCCTCGACAGCGTGATAAGGCGCAGTATCAAACGCAAGGATTAGTAGCGTTATTTGAAGCCCTTTTTGTTAGTTTCAACTGACCAAAGCACTAACACCCCAAACGGCCGCCCTATTACAGGAGGCCCTGCACGATACTGGGCTACTGACTGGTGGCCTTTGGGCGACAAAGGGCTATTAATGTCTGGCAACCAACCCCCCCCCACCCGCTGGTGGCTGAGCGGCCCAGGGCCGGGATTGAAGCCTCGGGCCCCGACCGCCCTGACACCCGCTCCCGCCAGGGCTGGCCACCGCTATCCCCGGCGCCCTGAGCTTCCCCCGCGGTGAGGTGAGGAGCGCAGCGCCGCCGCCGTCCGCGGATTACCTGCGAGTCCCTGACCTCCACCACCACATTCTCGCTGCTCCAGCGAGCCGCCATGTTCCCCGGCCAGCAACAACAACACGGCGTCAGCACGCAGGCCGCGGCGTCGGCACGTTAGACCGTCGCGTCGGCACGCAGGCCGCGGCGTCGGCACGTTAGACCGTCGCGTCGGCACGCAGACCGCGGCGTCGGCACGTTAGACCGTCGCGTCGGCACGCAGGCCGCGGCGTCAGCACGTTAGACCGTCGCGTCGGCACGTTAGACCGTCGCGCCGGCACGCAGACCGCGGCGTCGGCACGTAAACCAAGACACACCCCCCCCCCACCCCCCGCTGCTTGCGAAAGCGCATGCGCGGCGCCCAGTCCCTCCCCAGAGAAGAGTGAACGCTGCACATCTTCACTGTAAACTCCCCCCTCCCCCCCTCCCCCCCCCCCCCCCCGAGAGTAGCGCGTACACGACGACAACAACGTCAAAACAACAACAACAGCAACAACAACTTGCATTTACACCGCGGCCTTCACGCGGGGGCACCGAGCCGGGGAGGGGAGGGGGGGACCGTGAGCACACAGTGGATGAGGAAGGTTCTTCAGTCTAAAAGAGGGGCCGTGGGGTGGGGGATGGGGGGGGGGGAGAGGAAGGGGCAAACCGGAGGGATTGTGGGGGAGGGAGAGAGAGCTCCAGAGGTCAGGGGCCTCGTGGCTGAATGCGCGGCGGCCGACAACAGCAGGACGACAACCACGACAACTTGCGTTTGCACAGCGGCCCTCACGCGGGGCAGCGTCTCGGGGCTCCGGGCAACGGCGAGGTTTGACCCGGAGCCGAGGAGAACGGAGCGGTGACGGTCGGCCGCCGCCCCCCCCGATTAACAGAGACAGTCCCTGGACGAGGTATTTGTGTCCCCGGGGCCAGATTTCGCTGTCTTGAGGTCAGCAGCAAACTGAGCAAAGAACAATAACGCTCTAAAGCAGATAACACTCGTCAAAGAAAGACAGCTATTAATCCAGCAAGCTTCTCCAGTACTATCATCAGAATCAGGAATTGTGGTGAGTTAAAATGATTTTGTATGTGTCCCCAGATTTGGTTTTACAAAACACTACTGTCGGCACAATCAAAGAGGAAAGTCTTCAGGTACTACATCATGAGGGAAGCTTCTCCGTGGAACCAGAAAAATTGACATCAGAGAAGGTTCTGTGTAGGGCTTCGAGGCGTCTCAATGACGAGATCAGGCACTATATTCAAATGCAAGAATTATTATTTTTTTTTGCCCACAAAATATACAGTCAATTCACTTTACAGTATATTCTGTGAAGCACCCTAATACGTCTCTAAGACGTGATAAGGCGCCTATATCAAATGCAATGATTATTATTACAAATATACTGCCAAGAAATAGCCTGCAAGCAAAAAGCCAGCTGCAATCACAACTTCCAGGTTTCATCAGGACAGAAGAGTAGAAGTTCAGGGTTGTGAAACACAAGGGCACTATGTAAGTTTACTGCAAATCCTGTAAACCACTTTGAGGAAGCGAGACGGAAACAGAACGATACAATCGAAGAACTCCGGCTCTATCAAGTCTATCTCTCTGCCTCCACCCATGACTCCAGGACCAATGATGTCCTGACAGACTCTCTGTCAGACATCAAGTCCTGGATAAGAGCCAACTTTCTACAGTTGAACGTCAGCAAGACCGGGACCTCCTGATTGGCTCGCACCAGCGCTTCTGCACCTCAGGCACTGCCAGCATCAGCATCCATGAATACAGATCATCCAGAACTCTGCAGCTCGTGATCTCTCCCTCACCAGGCTCCACTGGCTCCCCATCCCTCAGAGGATCAAGTTCAAAATTCTCGTCCTCACCTTCTGTGGCCTTGCCCCCTCCTACTTCTCCGACCTGCTAACCTCTTATCAACTTGTCCATTCCCTCTGCTCAGCAGGCTCCAGGCTGATCCATACCCCCATCCGGCCCACCCCACCATCGGCAGTCGGGTCTTCAGCCTCTCTGCCGCCACCCTCTGGAACCCCATCCCACATTGCCTTCGCCTCGTTCCCTCCCTTCAAGGCACGCCTCAAGACCCGCCTCTTCAACCGTGCCTTCGGCCACCCTCTCTCTTCTCCACCCTCTCTGATCCCAACCCACCCCCACATCCCACTCGGATCCTAATCCCTGACTGTTCAGCACCTTGGGACGTTCTCCCGATGTGAAAGGTGCTTTGCAAATGTAATTTTGTATTGTAGAGAAAGAGAGACAGACAGTGAGAGAAATGGACAAATAGAGAGAGCGCATGTGAGAAATAATGAGATAGTGAGGAAGGCAGAGAAAGACAGACAAACAGAGATGAATCAACAAGAATTTGCATTTATAAAGCACCCTTCATTTAAAAGTGTTTTACAGGAATGGGGCTGGATGGGGTGGACCAAGAGAATTTGAGAAAAAAGTCAAACAAAGGCTAAAAAAAGTTTTTTGTTAACTTTTTCCTAATTTCTTAGAAATGTTGTGACACTGAAACAAATCGACTAAAGAGTCAGCAACAACTAAAATGGAAAGCAGAACTAACGAGATTTAGGAGATTACAAATGAAACACATGATGGTTGCTGCACCAAAACGTGTCGAAAGAGGGTCTCAGGTGCAGCACCATGCAGCCAGAGAACCGAATCATAGAGTCCTGGTGAGGACAGAAGGAGGCCATTCGGCCCACCGTGGCTGTGCCAGCTCTTTAAAAGCTATCCAATTATTCAGAACTCTGCATCTTGTGTCCTCTCCCGCTCTAAGCTCTGTGAGCCGATCACCTCGTCCCCCAGAGGATCGAGTTTAAAATCCTCGTCTTCACTTTTAACGTTCACTTTTAAAGTTGTGCTCCTCCCTAACTCTCTGAACTATTAACACCCATATCAGCCTGTCCGCTTCCTCCGCTTGTCGGGCACTGGCCTGCACCATGACAGGTTTCTTATATTGGAGAATAAACCTTATTTTGTATCAAACAATGTATATATTCCATGGGTTTATTGTCAAACACAGATTCTGGAGTATTTTAGACAAAAGTATTTCCCTTGGCGTTCCTTCTACTTTATATCTTTGCAGATTATTGTTATCCTACTTGGATATCAAGCGATCTAAAATGACACTCCAGTGGAGCGCTGGGTGTGTGCTGCATTGTTTGAAGTGCAGCACATCTTCTGATGAGATATTAAACCAAAGTACCGTTTACCTGTTTAAGTGATCCTTAAGGATCCCCTGGCACTATTCGAAAAGAGAAGATAATTTCTCTCTCCCGATGTCCCGACCAACAATTTGCTAGGGCGAAACGTTAGGCAAGTTTCCTTACTCCACACGCCAGTTTACTTAGCAGTAAGTAGGAACCCGGTTGTTAGTTGATTGGCGGATCACTTTTCCAGGGGTAATAGTCCCATCAAAAAAAATAATGTGGTCACTCAATCCACGACTGTTTGTCTGTGCACAATTGGCTGCCGCGTTACGCCCACAAAATATGCAATCAATCCACTTTACAGTATATTCTGTGAAATGCTTTGAGACATCTAGAAGATGTGACAAAACACTATATCAAATGTAAGGATTTATTATTTTTATTATTATTATAATGATGTGGAGTTTGACCCCCAATAGCATCACAATGTGGAGTTTGAACCCACTGCCTCAGAGGTGTGAGTGTTACCTCTTTGTTGGGGTAAGGCTGAACCTGAGGTTGTCGAGAGTTAAATACAGGAAGAGAGACACGAACCCCCAGCAGGCAGGGCAGATTATTGGCAGATCTGATTGGCAGCCTGTCTGACTGCAATTTCCTAGAAGAGATTCAGGATTCAGTGACGCGTTGTACAGTTGGAGAGTTTGAAAATTCAAGAAGTAGCGAGCGGCTGGGAACTGAGTAGGATCCAGTGTGCGCTCGCTCCCAGCGGTGCGGAGCGATCAGTGCTGGCAAAGTGTCCTTTTTCTCTGTACTAAAACACTCAGAACTCCTGATTGCCTCACGCTGGCCATCTGCAGTGCCGTGGAAGTCAAGAGAGGGCCTGTTTCTACACAGTGGAGCTGACTGGCAAAATCTGGGTAGGATTCCAGTTGTTTTAATCTGAGCACATTGTAGTATCTTTACCTTGTCCTAGGATGATGGGATAGTGTGTGGGGAGGGAGATGGGGGTAAGGAAGAGACTAAATACTTACAATCAAAGCACTCCAAACCTCTTATTCTGGTATTTTTGTAAGGATTAGTATTATTAGTTTTTAAACCCTTTGTGGTTTCTGGTCACTTGTGTCTGTTTCATTCAGTTTCTTACTCATAGTGAGAGAAACCAGTCACTGGGTACAGTGAGTCATCGCACTCAGCTCCTGTTAACGCTGCCCAAATGGGTAGGGTGGTCGTATCTGGACAAGCAGTGGGAAACATTGACAGACAGTGCTAGCAAAGGCAAGCTATGTAGTTTTAGTTGGTTAGACTCCAGCAGTTACCCCAACACACACTCTGGGGTCCCCAAGCCTCGGCTCTTGCGAAACCTGCACCTGATATTTTCCGGAATTAGGTAAGCAGGGTGTGGCCCTCCAGGGCGGGAGTGCGGCTTCCATTCCAACAATCAATTAATAATAATAACCCTTGCATTTGATACAGCGCTTTTCACGTCGGGAGGACGTCCCAAAGCGCTTCACAGAACACACTGTAAAGTGAATTGACTGTATATTTGTGGGCGAACGCGGCAGCCAATTGCGCACAGCAATGTCCCACAGACAGTCGTAGATTGAAAATGACTAATTTTATTATTGTTTTTGGTTTTGGAGGGATTATTATTAGGTGTGTGGAGTAAGGAAACTTGCCCAAGGTTTCGTCCTCTGTCTGGAATTGAACTCAGGTCTCTCGCTTGCAAAGCGAGTGCTCTAACCACTGAGCTACAGGACTCCACGTGTAGGTGGGATGCATGGAATTCTCAGTTTTGTTTGGATACTCTCAAACATGGTGAAGGGGTTCCACTTGTGTCAGACACCAGGCTGTCCCCCAAAAAAGTGGATTTTTTTTTCCTGTTTAATTTTCATTTTGGCTTTGTTTCAAGTAAAATATTTTCCTCTAAACCTTTGAAACCGAAAGAATATTCCTTAAAGGAATTGCAATTGTTCACCTTTGTTTAGTGAATCGACTGCACAAATCGAGCGGACTATAACCTTTTGTTAGAAAATCCAAATAAGAGACACTCGTTGAATGGATTATATTGGTTCTTTAATATTAAGAATCCCAATGGGTTAATACACTCGGTTAATTGCCCGCAGGCACGGCCATCGTCCCATATTTACTAGTTACGGTCGTACCGGACTCATAAACACGTCAAATGCCGAGTGTATTAATTCAGAGTATCCTGCCGAATCCCAAATTGTTAGAAAATAAAATCAGCCAAATCTGTAAGGAAATAACAACTAATGCAACTAAAGTCTAATTCCTTTAACCAGATACCTGACTGTTTTATTATTATTCGTTCGTTATTCCCCAATATCCCGATGGGTCAGACCAAAGGCCGGTATAATCAACAGACCTTATAACAGAATAATATCACTGTAGATATCTTGAGTTCAACACTGTGTCTTTACAACACACAAGCTTGATTCTTCATGCTTTCAGTCTTCTTGCTTACAGCTTTCAATCTTCCATCTGACATCCTCAGTCTTAGTGTTTCTAACTCTCAGTCTTCCATCTCCCGACCTTGTCTCCGCAGCCCGGGATGGTCCCATCTCCCATATCCTTGTCTCCGCGACCCGGGATGGCCCCATCTCCCGTACCCTTGTCTCCGCGACCCGGGACGGCCTCATCTCCAGTACCCTTGTCTCCGCGACCTGGGACGGCCTCATCTCCAGTACCCTTGTCTCCGCGACCTGGGACGGCCCCATCTCCCGTACCCTTGTCTCCGCGACCCGGGACGGCCCCATCTCCCATACCCTTGTCTCCGTGACCCGGGATGGAACCAAGGTCCTCTAGTTTAAGCAACTTGCTCATTAGTTGCTATTCTTGAGGGTTGCCTTCTGTCGCTCGGCCCTCTCAGAATTAGCGACGTATTGCTAAGTCGAGATCCTGTGTCGACCGGTACCTTGGACCGTTATCTCTGTGGGCGTGTTGTCATTTACTGGTAAGAGGTGACCCCCTGCCCTTTTCCAAAGCTGTCTGTTATTCTTTCAAAAACAGAGAAAACAGGATGTGTCCTATCCCATGACTGTCAGTCCAGTTGCCCTCCACACTTAACTTAAAAGTTAACCCATTCACAACATCTATTATGATTCTAGCAGTATACAAAAAGTGTATATTCTAACACTTTCCTGTGTTTGAGAGAATGTTGAAAGTCACGTTACTTCAGAGAAGGAGAGAGAGAGAGATTTGGAAGCTCAGATTCATTGTCTTTTGTGTATTGAGTTGGATATTGAATTTAATCGCTGTGGTGGCCAGGAAATCTGTGGTCATTTCTTCAAAGTTTGCAAACATTAACGTGGCTACTGAGGTGCTCGATAGCGATGAACAATTTCGTAGAAAACGGTAGACATGTCCTGATAGAGCTCTTTAGTTAGTTCCAGGGGCAGAAGCACTGTCTGTTCAGCGGAATGTTAGTGATCCTGTGGCACTATTCGAAAAGAGAAGAGAGTTTCTCCCAGTGTCTTGGGCAACAATTCCCCAAATAAAATTGATCATTTACTTTGCGGCTGTTTGTGGGACATTGCCGTGCGCAAATTGGGCTGCCACACTGGGCTTACAAGTCTGTCACTGCACCTTAAGGAAAGTATGTGAATTGCTTTGAGACATTTTGACTTCTTTGACTTTGCTTTGGGTCATCGTTGCTCCCCGTCAGCTCCCATCACGATCTCGAAGGCCAAGCCAGTATTGTTAAGCAACTTGGGATGTCCGCCCAAGAATAGATAGATAGAAAACATGCTATACAAATGTAAATTTGTTCCTGGTGTTGATTTTGTTTGGGGTAGGCCTGACACTTGTGGAAACCCATCACTGTGCTTAAGAGTATCCAAACCAAGCTGAGAATTCCATGTATCCCACCTGTACATGGAAATTTCAGAGATATTGTTGGAATGGAATGCGCACTCTCTCCATGGAGAGACACATCCTGCTTACCTAATGCTAGAAAGTATTATGCGCAGGTTGGCAAGTGCCAAGCTTTAGGGACCTCAGAGTGTGGGATGGGGTAACTGCTGGAGTCTAACCAGCTAAAACTGCATAGCTTGCTATTGATATCGCTGTCTGGCTGGCTTTCCCGCTGCTTGTCCAGATAGGACCACCCTATCCATTAGGGCTTTGGCTTGCAGGGTTAACAGGAACTGAGTGGAATGACTCTGCCACCAGTGCCTGGTCTGCCTTTCAAAGTCATGCTCAAGAGCTGTGCTGTCATCACAGTTCCCTGGAATACCGTGGACCCGCTTGGCTCAGGAATCAGACTACCGAGTCCGCCACAGAGGGCTGGCTGAATTTCCACATTCTGTTTGATAGACATTGTTATTGATAGGCGCTATACAATACCATACAAAATTACATTTGTAAAGTGCCATTCGGGTTAGGAGGACGTCCCAAGGCAGTGAACAGTCAGGAATTAGAGGTTAGGACCTGTGTGGGGGCGGGTTGGGGTCAGGAAGGGTGGAGGGTAGGAGGGTGGCCAAAGGCACGGTCAAAGAGGAATCTTGAGATGTGCCTTGAAGGAGGCAAGGGAGGGAGCAAGGCGAAGGGAATGTGGGATGGAGTTCCAGAGGGTGGGAGCAGAGAGGCTGAAGGCCCGATTGCCAATGGTGGGTGGGTCGGGCGGGGGACATGCAGCAGGCTGGAGCCGGCTGAGAGGAGGGAGCGGACAGGTTGAAAAGCGGTTAGCAGATCGGAGAGGTGAACTATATCAAGTGAATGGATTATTCTTACGATGATATTCCGATGACGCTTTTCAGGTAGCAAGCATGGAATGTGTCGACAAGATTTGTAGTCTTGCTTTAGCTATTTACAAACTCTGTGATGAAGTCAAAGAGAATCGCAACCAATGCAAACGTCTGAGGATTCGCATCGAAGTGTTGACAGAATCTGTGAAGACCATTACGGAGCAGAAGCTGACCGGAGACTTCACTGACATAGGGAAGGTTCTGAAAGAGTTGGTGGAGACACTGACGGGAACAGAGCATTACATTAAGCGCTTCACTGAAGGGCACAAATTCTGCAAATGGTTCAATGCGTACAAATTCAAGGATCATTTCGAGCATTTGAACGAGAGGCTGAATGATGCAGCTCAAGCCCTGGGTTTAGCATTGCAGACTGAACAGGTCGTCCAACTGAAAAGCATCTTCAAGGCAGAAACCAGGAAGAAGGAGGATAAGGAAGATTCGGAAAAGGATGCGAGAGATCTGGATAAGTTGATGAAGGAAATGAACCAAGGTAATTAGATGACATTTTCTCTATAATTTTTACTTAGTGTTAATCGAATATTTCAGGAATGCAAACATTTTGCAAATAATCTTCACTATTATTATTATTATTGTTATTAATAATGGTAAGGCTCCTAAGTGACTCCCTACCCCCAGTGACTGCTCTGCCCTTCCAAGATCTGCCGATGAGCCAGGTTGGCTGTGTTGTCATCAGCAGTGCCCTGCACTACTGCGGACCTGCCCGGCTTAGGAACCAGACTACCGAGACCACCACAGAAGGCTGGATCGATTCCGACATTCTGTTTGATGGACATTATTGTTGATAGGCGCTATATCAAGTGAATGGATTATTCTTACGATGATTTTCGGATGCACTCCGTTCCTTATGATTGTATGAAATTAAGCAAATCCGAGTCTATAAACAGCTTCTCTTACTTTGCAGAGCAATGTCAGAGAGACCATAATATTTGCCAGAGACTGCAGAGCACAAATCTTGGCGTGGCGGAACTGAAAGAGGATGTGAAGGAAATCAAGCAACTGGTTAAGTCGAGTGAGTGTTCAGAGATGGAGATTGTAAAACGAAGAATCTCGTAAACTGGCATTACTATAGTGGTTAGAGCACTCGCCTCACAAGTGAGAGGATCCGGTTTCAATTCCTGGATGGGCCGAAACCTTAGGAAAGGTTCCTTATTCCACCCACCTCTGCTTACCTCGCAATTGGCGGACATTAAAGATTCCATGTATATTCAAAAAGAGAAGGGAGTTTCTCCTGGTGTCCTGGCCAAGAATCCCCCCAATAAAATTGGTCACTCACTTCATGGTTGTTTGTGGGACATTGTTGTGTGCAAATTAGCTGCCACATTCACCCACAAAGCACACATTGACTGACCTTTACAGTGGCTCCCGTGAAGCACTTTGAGACATCCTCTCAACGTAGAAAGTGCTATGTCAAATGTATGTATTATTATTATTATTATGTACCTCCGGGCCTTGACCTGGGCCTGACGATCTGCCAGGCTCCTCTCTTGCAGATCATCAGAAACCGTCTGTTCCAGTGAAGATCAAAGAAATAAAGTGGGGAGACATCCAGATGAACAATAAAGCCTTCCTGGAAACAGCCAACTCTACTTTTTACAAGGGGACATACCAGAAATTCCCAGTCGCCATTAAACGCTTCATTCACACCAATTCAGCTGAGGTGGAGTAAGTATGGATTAGCTTTCTCACACGCAAAGATTTATGACAATTTTTTTCCTAGTTTTTCTCCATCTTCACCTAGAGGTTTTTGACTTCTTCATCCTTCTACTGAGAAAGATGCACCAGTCACTTGTCCAAGTCGCCATTATTAATATAAGAACGGGCCTTGATTGTGCATCTAAAATTAAGGTGTCAGCAATTAATGTCGCATAATTAATCTGATACTCCATTGTGGACTCCTGTAGCGTAGTGGTTAGAGCACTCGCCTCGCAAGCTGGAGTACCCAGATTCAATTACCGGGCAGGACGGAACATTAATATGCCTTCTAGTGCCTCTCTAGTTAATAACAAATTGACACATGGGACCCTCCCAATTAAACTTGCCGATCTGTTGAGGGAGCTGTTTAATGTTCTGTGTTTTTTTGTTTCGTTCCAGGGAAATTCGGGAAATTTTTCACAAAGAAGCTGAAACGATGAATTACTTTAATTCACCGAACATTGTCCGGTTTTATGGGATCTGCATCCATCAGATAGGTGAGCCTGTGAGGATAGAACCTAAGATAATTAGAAAATTATTTGGGGAGGACAAGTTTGCAGGACTATGGGGAGAGCGCGGGGGAATGTGATTGATTTGGGTGGCTCTTTTCAAAGAGGCACAGGCACGATGGGCCGAGTGGCCTCCTTCTGTGCTGTATAATTCTATGAACCTGCTATACATTGCATCGAAAATCTTTTCCTTCTTTTCCCATTTGTGTTCTCAATTTTAATCATTCACAGCTTCTTCTCCTCCCCTCCCTGCAGCCTTCCGGTAACTCCCGTAGAGTCCCATAGTGTAGTGGTTAGCGCGCTCGCCTCGCAAGCGTGAGGACCTGGGTTCGAATCCTAAGTGGGGAGAAATCTTAGTCAAGTTACCTTACTCCACAGCCCTCTGTTTACAGATTGCTTTCCCAGGATTAATAATCCCTCAAAGTATATATATATATATATACATGATCACTCAATCCATGACTGTTTGTGGGACACTGCTATGCGTTATTGATTGCCGCGTTTCGCCCACAAAATACACAAAGCACTCAAACCTATCTTAACTTGTCAGTACCACTTAATGCATCAAGCTGTCAATCCCGGAAGCATTTATTTATGTACAGTATTTATACATATGTCTAACTCACCAGTCCTGATAACTCGTCACTGAGCCTTGTTAGGAGCCTAGTTGTTAGGCAATCGGTGGATTGCTTTTCCGGGGGTAATAATCCCTTCAAAAACTGTTTGACTGTTTGTGGGACAGTGCTGTGCGCGATCGGCTGCCACTTTTTGCCCCCAAAATATACAGCCAAATCACTTTCAGTATATTCTGTGAAGCCCTTTGAGATGTTTTCTTAACGATAACGTGATAAGGGACTATATCAAATACAAGGAATATTATTACCTTTCGTGCTGTTAGCAGTTTACTGAGTTTGCGTCACTGAGAATGAGATGTGGCATGTTGCACGTACTCTGACTGTGCTTCTCATTTTTTTAATTGGGACTGAAAGTACCAGGAAGGAACACCCTGTCCATCCAACACCTTCTGATCCCTGTACATTTGCTCCCACTTGCCACGAGGCCCAACGCCTATCCTTACCTAATGGTCTTGGGCACTGAAGGCACTATCCAGTGTGCAGTCTTTCGCTCTCTTGTCTGACCTGTCTCAAAATTGTGTGAAAATGAATAGTGTATGTAGTGGAACAGGAAAGAGAAGAGAACGTCAGTGATTTTTTGCCTGGGATTTTGATGATGAATGTGTTAAGTTCTCCTCAGAGCAATACGCTACGTTATACCTCAGCTACATAATCAGTGAACAATCTCTGATCAATCAGAGGTCTATTAAAGAGTTAGCTCTCATTCTAAATGAAAATGCATTAGTTGCTTTCTTAACAGCTGCTCGGGCTGCCTTTCAACCGAGGAATCCAGGGGAGAGAACAGAATGGAGCTCACTGTGTTTTCCTTGTTTGATTCAAAACTGTGCTCTCACCGTCAGTCATGTTCAACAACAACAGCAACTACGAAATTACATTTGTATAGCGCCTTTCACATCGGGAGGACGTCCCAAGGCGCTGGACAGACAGAGTTTCGGACCCAAGCTGGGGGTCGGGGAGGGAGGAGGGCTGGGGTGGAAGCGGAGAGATCAAAAGCACAGTCGTAGAAGAGGGTCTTGAGATGGGTCTTGAAGGAGGCAAGGGAGGGGGCGAGGTGGAGGGACTGAGGGATGGAGTTCCAGTGGTGAGGGCAGAGTGGCAGAAGGCCTGCCCACCAATAGTGGGGCGAGCGAGGTGGGGGATATGAAGCAGGCCGAAGCCCACTGAGCGGAGGGAGCGAGCAGGATGGTAGGGGGTTAGAAGATCGCAGAGTTAGGGGGGGAGTAAGGCCATAGAGGGCTTTGAAGGTGAGGACCAGCATCTTGAACTGTTCCTCTGTATGATGGGAAGCCAGTGGAGTTGGGCGAGGATGAGGTTACTGAGTGCGGGAGGGACGTGAGCTGCAGAGTTCTGGATAATCTACAGCCCATGGAGGGAGGAGTTGGGGAGGCCAACAAGCAATGAGTTTGCATAGTCAAGCCTCAACATAATGAAAGCGTGTATGTTCACTCTACCATCCGAGTAAGCGGGGTTACAGACAATTGACCTCTGATCAGTCGTCTTATAATCGGCCTGTCTCTGTTTCACTCAGGTGACAACACTGTGTTTTTCATTGTGATGGAATATTGTGACCTGGGGAGCCTGAGCTATGTGCTGCAGAGTGAGCGACCTCTCAGTTGGAAGGAGCGTGTCCAGATGTCATTGGATGCAGCCCGAGGATTATACAGGTACTACTACTCATAATAATCCTTGCATTTGATATAGCGCCTTATCACATCATCTCAAAGCTCTTCACAGAATATACTGTAAAGTAAATTGACGGTATATTTTATGGGTGAAATGAGATTAAGAAAGGCAATAGAGGAATGGGACCGTTTTGTTTGATGCATGTGTTGTTTGGATCTTCGCTGAACATGAAGGTGATAGAAAATTTAAATTAGCCATAGGACTGAACTGAATTTCTGAGCTTTCACTTATAGGATGCCCAGATCAGTGCCCAAAGTGCGGATTGAGAATGAATGCTTCCTGGCTTGAGTCTCTGTGCTCTGATTTAACAATCCTTTCATTTGATATCACGCCTTATCATGTCGTTGAGACGTCTCAAAGCGCTTCACAGAACAGATTGCAAAGTAGATTGACTGTGTTTTGTGGGCGAAGCATGGCAGCCAATTGCGACGTGAAAGGCACTGTACAAATTTAATTTGTTGTCTGCGTGTCAGGGAAGCTTCTTTTTGAGTCTTTTTATAAACACAGTGAGTGGTGGGACGTCCTCCCGATGTGAAAGGTGCTCTATAAATGTAATTTTGTTGTTGTTGTTGTGGTGGTGGTGCGGGTCCCCAGCTCAATTAGTGAGCTGCTAATTTCACCAGGACGTTCATGGGGGGAGAAATATCATCAGTGATCTTGCTCCTGATTACTATAATTTGTGTTGCAGGCTGCATCAGACAGAGGAGACGAATAAACTTCACTGTTGTCTTAACAGCACGAGATTCCTGGTTGACAAAGGTCTGGTAGTTAAGGTTAGTGCACAGAGATGGTTAACACCTTAAATAGCAGCCTGGTGCTGCTACGGATTGGAATATTAGGGGTTGCAATGCAGAAATGTTATTTCCAGCTTTTACATTCCTCTGAAATCAAATTTGGTTCCAAATTTAAATGTTACAGTGAGAAGGTAAGCAAGAGGGATTATAGGGGGGGCTAATAGTCCCAAATCCTCCTGTGATGCTCATGAGGTGTCAGCCTGGCGTAGTTGATAGCACTCTTGTCTCTGAGTCAGAAGCCCCATGCTGACACATTGATCTCACATAGTCTAGGCTGACACTCCCATCACAGTGCTGGTGGTGCCACTGCATATTTGGAGATCTTGCAGGGTAGTGGTTAGCTCGCTCGCCTCACAAGTGAGAGGACCTGGCAGGGTGAAACGTTAGGCAAGTTTCCTTATTCCACACAGCTCCCTTAGTGTGCTAACCACTGCACTTATGGGACCCCTCAGGATATAAGGATTATTTTTTTTTATTCTTAATTTTGATGGTGGAACAGGTCACCGGGTAGGTGGGTTGTGATGGCTTTGCTCCTCCCCACTCTGCTCCCTTACCTCTGCCTTGGTCAAGGGATCTCAACTCCCGGCTCTATTCAGCCTCTGGTATCTTGCTCCCCCCGACCCCATCCCCATCAGTGTGGAATGCAGGTTCCAGACCCGGTTACCTGCTCCACCCATTCACTCTCTCTCTCTCTCCTTTCCTGTGGTAAGCTGGGAGGACTGGACTTAGCAAGGACAGAAACCTCGATTCGAAGGAACATCCACAAGAAGCAAGTGGGTCGAATGATGCCATACGCTTCACCACAACAACTGAATGACATCAACTACCCATATGACAAGGCCTGTGAGGTTTACAGGTGAGGATTGGGTACATTAAGTGTGCGGTTGGTTACACGAGAATATTTAAGCAATATTTAAGCTGAACCAAATGTGAAAGCACGAGAAAAGGTTTTAGTGTTATTGGTATGTGTGACTGACAGTGGGTATCACAGACACTCTTCATGTTTGTGTGTTACTGTTGTGTTAGTGACTGACAAGTGTGTGTCACTGTGCATGAGTGACTGACAAGTTTGTGCCGGTGTTGCTGTGTGAGAGAATGGATGTCTGTGTCACTGTGTGTGAGTGACTGGCAGTGTGTGTCAGTGTCAATTTGTGAGTGTGAATGGCAGTTATAAAGACGGTGTCACCAGCAGTTCAGTGGAGAAGTAATGAATGATTGACAGATGATCATTCCCTGATTGGTTTTAATCTTCCTTTCTCCCCCTTCCACCCTCCCCTTTTCAGCTTCGGGATAGTCCTGTGGGAAATAGCCAGTCGTAAAGTACCCTTCAAGGGTAAGTCCCAACCGTTAGAGTAAGACCAGCATTTTTTATTTCTTTCTGCACCATTTATAAAAGCCTCTTAACATCTGCTTCTCATTCTCACCTTCAACTCTCTCCATGGCCTTGCCCTACCCTACCTCTGGACCTCTTATCGACAGACATTACTGATGAGGCCCTCGATAAAAAGGTCCGTGAAGAGCAATACCGTGAACCGCTCCCGGACGACTGTCCCAAAGACCTCCGTGAACTGATTGATGAGTGCCGCTCCTTCGATCCCATTGAGCGTCCCACAATTGGAGGTGGGTGATGCCTTTACCATGGTCTGATCCCTCTGATTGCTCACTCTATGTGAATGGTAAACTTAGTGCTGGTGGTGAACTCATGAACGCGAGATAGTTGGTGGCCAATCTTTTGGTCAGCCAACCAAATACATTTTTCTTTATTGAATCTTTCTTCATTTATTATGTGGAGTCCTGTAGCGTATTGGTTAGAACACTTGCCTCGCAGGCGAGAGGAATTAGGTTTGATTCACAAGCAAGGTGAAATCTTAGGCAAGTTTCCTTACTCCACACGCCTCTGCTTACCTAGCAGTAAGTAGGAACCCGGTTGTTAGTAGATTGGCAGATCGCTTTCTGGGGGTAATAATCCCTTAACAAAATTTGGTCACTCAATCCATGAATGTTTTGGGGACACTGCGGTGCGCAATTGGCTGCTGTGTTTCACCCAGAAAACTATACAGTCACTACAGTATATCCTGTGAAGCGCTTTAAGTCGTCTCGATGACTTGTTAAGGCCTATATCAATTGCAAAAATTATTATTATTACACTGGCGCGGGCCACTTTTGGTGTATCAAGAAGTGGCCCACAGGCCTGGCATCAATCCAGATGAGTCCGCGCCGAATCAATACCTTTTTTCCAGCAGCTACTGAGCCGCGATACCCCATGGATTTGTTGTAAGTATGGCGACTGTGTATTTTATAGGCTAGTATTTTGGTTCAGATGCCAACTGGGAGAGATGATGATGATGGGAGAGATGTCCAGGTTTGTTGACGCTCCATATAATAATCCTTACATTTGAGATGTCTCAAAGCTTCCGCTTCAGGGAAACCTTCCTAGTGTTTCGCCCTTACTGGGAATCGAACCTGGGTCCTCTCGCTTGCAAGTTGAGTTCTCTAACCTCTGTGCTACAGAACTCCACATAGTGCTCTCAATGTTCCATGTAGCTGCAGACTATGAGCCTCTTCACCCTCCCAACAAATAGATAAATATGAGTGTTGGTTTTGCTGCTCCAGGGACATGTCCAGCGTATCTCACACCTCTTTGTTCTACTTTCTTTCAGCTATTGTCGACAGGCTCGCAAACATTATGCAAACATTGAACGAGTAGCTACCTCTCTGTGGTAGCCAGTGTGCGGTTCAATATCGTTTCACCAGGTGTCGCCACGCCATGTTTACGTGCCATCTTCTAAAGACACCCTCATCTTGTCATTCCTCCCTGCTGTTTTCTTGTGTCACAAAGTCATGTTACCCCCATGATTTCTCCCCACCCCCCCTCCCACAGGACACTGACCAACAACTGAAACGTGGAAGAATGATGATAATTGTATTTAGAAGTAATTAATTTTACTTGGTGTAAGTGTTTAAGCAATCTGGGTTGCTACCCTGTGTGAAGGGCACTATATAAATTGTTGTTTAACTGAATTTAGACGTCCAGAGGATTGCGGTGTGTGTGTGTGAGCGCCATTGTTTTCATAGCAGCTAATGATCCGTTGCCATGCTCGGTGCCACATCTTCCATACCACGATGGGGTGCTGAGACGAAATACATCTCTGAAAGCTTGTTTCTGTTCTTCCATAGTCTCATATTTCTGATTTGTAACAGGGAGGATAAGAGGACTTTCTGGACACCCTGTCGACAGCTCCACACCGGTCATACGCACCAAACGCACAACGTCCCTAAACCATTTCTTTTTTGTCTGTTACAATCTCAGTCTTTGATTATGTTGCTTCCAGTTTCGTTTGCCTCATGATTTGCCCTCGCCTTCAAATGCCTTGTGTGCCTTACCCCACCCTGTCTATCTCTGCAATCCCCTTCAATTTACTTCATTCCCCTGCCCCACCATCAGTGGGAGAGCCTTCAGACACTTTTCCCCCTTTCTCTGAAACTCTCTCCTGCAGTTGCTCCACCTTGCGCCTTATCTCTCTTGCTTATAAAAATTCCACTTGGAGAACTCGTTCTAGTCAGCCACTCCCTCCACTCAGCTCCCTCATAGTTCAAGCTCCTTCAGAACCTCTCACCCCCCCCAACCTTGCCCGGCTTACCCTGAATTTTAACACTGTGACCCCTGGTTATAGTTTCTCCAACCAGGGGAAAAAGTCTCCCACTATCTATTCTGTCGTGCCCATTAATAATCTTATAGGTTTCTATAAGATCACCTCTCATTCTTCTATATTCTAGAGAATATAGGCTTAAATTGCTCAACCTATCCTCCTAACTCATCCCCCTCATCCCTGGTACCTACCTAGTGAATCTACGTTGTACCCCCTTCAAGGCAAGTACATCCTTTCTTAAATAAGGAGACTAAAACTGGACACAATACTCTAGGTGTGGTCTCACCAGGGCCCTATACAGTTGCAGCAAGACTTCCCTACTCTTATATTCTAACCCTTTTGTAACAAATGCCAACATACCGTTAGCCTTCCTAATTGCTTGCTGTACCTGCAAACTAACATTTTGTGACTGGTGTACAAGGACACCAAAGTCCCTCTGAACGCTAACACTATCTTAGTCTCTCCCCTTCTAAAAAATAATCTGCTCCACTGTTTTTGCCACCCAGGTGGATGACCTCACACTTCCCTGCATTATACTTCATCTGCCACCTATTTGCCCACTCACCTTGCATATCTATATCTCATTGCATTTTTTTTGTGTCATCCTCGGTGTTTACTCTCCCTTCTAGTTTAGTGTCATCCGCGAATTTGGATATATTAAGTTCGATGTCCTCATCTAGATTGTTGATGTAGATTGTAAATATTTGAGGCCCAAGCACTGATCCTTATGGCACTCCACTAGTCACATCCCGCCAATTTGAGAAGGACCTGTTTATCCCTACTCTTTGTTTTCTTCCCGTTAGCCATTCTTCAATCCATGCTAATATATTCCCCTTAATTCCATGGGCCCTAATGTTATGGATCAACCTTTTATGCGGCACCTTATCAAATGGCTTTTGGAAATCTAAATACACTACATCCACTGATTCCCCCCATCTAATCTACTTGATATGCCCTCAAAGAAATCTAAAAGATTTTGTTAAGCATGACTTCCCTTTTGTAAAGCCATGTTGACTCTGTCTAATCGTATTGTGATCCTCTAAGTATCCCACTACAACATCCTTAATTAAGGATTCTGGAATTTTCCCTATCACTGATGTCAGACTAACTGGTCTATAGTTCCCCATCTTTTCTCTCACACCCTTCCTAAATAGTGGTGTGACGTTTGCAATCTTCCAATCAATGGGAACTGTTCCAGAATCCAAAGAATTTTGGAAGATCAGACACAAGGCCTCCACTATCCTTTGAGCTACCTCTTTTAAAACCCAAGGATGCAGACCATCAGGTCCAGGAGACTTGTCACTTTTTAATGCCAACAATTTCCGTAGCACCAATTCTTTGCGAACGTAAATTTCCCCAAGTTGCTCCCTATCATTAGCCCCTTGGTTCATCTCTATTTCTGGTAAACTTCTTGTGTCTTCTAACGTGAAGACAGAAGCAAAGTATTTATTCAGGGATTCTGCCATATCCTTATCCCCCATTATAATTCTTCCTGTCTCTGCCTGTAATGGATCCACATTTACTTTTGCTAGCCTATTCCTCTTAATGTATTTATAAAAACTCTTACAATCTGTCTTAGTGTTCCTAGCGAGCTCCCCTCCTAGCGAGCTCCCCTCGTAATCCATTTTCTCACTCTTAATGAGCTTTTTGGTTTTCCTTTGTTGATCCCTAAAACACTCCCAGTCCTCAGGTTTGCTACTCTTTTTGGCAGTTTTATAGGCCTTTTCTTTTAGTTTTATACTTTCTCTAACTGCTCTAGTTAGCCACGGATGAACTGCTTTCCCTGTGGTACTCTTATTCCTTGAAGGAATATGTGACCGCTGAGAATTTTGCACTACATCTTTAGACATTTGCCACTGTTGGTCTATTGTCATATCCATTAATCTAATTCCCAGTCTATTTTAGCTAATTCTTTCCTCATACCTGCAAAGTTAGCTTTATTTAAATTTAAGACCCTTTCTTCGGATTTGACTACATCGCTCTCTAACTTAATGCTAAATTCTATCATGTTATGATCATTCTGCACTAGAGGAGCTTTAATATCTATATTACCGATTAGCCCTGTTTCGTTACACAAAACAAGGTCCAGGATGGTCTGTCCCCCAGTTGGTTCCTCATTTAGTGACGTACAGAAAGGCGCTGTATGTCACTAAATTGTCACTGTCCATTCAGGTACATGTAAATTTCTCCCTGTTATCTTGCTTTATATTCCCCTCCCAATCCCCCAAATGAATTTGTTGTTTATGGATGTCCTGGTGCTCATTAGAAATCTAAGGATACTTATTCCTAAGAATTATATTTTATAAAGTGCAACAATGTTTATTTTTTATGTGAAAGATACTGGACTGTACAAACATGGTATCATTACATTTTAAAGGGAAATAAAGTGATTCTTATCAGACTGTCTGTATTTGAGCTCTTTGTGGGTCACAGATTGTTCAATCAATATGCAAGAATCTTTCCCATCCAAGTGAGTTTAGAAAATGATGAAACAGTGTGTCTCATAATAGTTATCAGGAATTACTCATTCTATATAATAATAATAATAATAATAATAATAATAATCCTTGCATTTGATATAGCGCTTTTCACGTCGGGAGGACGTCCCAAAGCGCTTCACAGGATAGACTGTAAAGTGAATTGACTGTATATTTGTGGGCGAACGCGGCAGCCAATTGCGCACAGCAATGTCCCACAAACAGTTGTAGATTGAAAATGACCAATTTATTATTGTTTTATTTTGGAGCTGTCTGATCCTATTTGTCTCTATCCGACTCCCGGGTATCCATTTTCTTTCCCCCCTCTTCCGATGTCCAAGTAGTGAGACCATTTGAATAATAATAAACCTTGCATTTGAGATAGCGCCTTATCACGTCTTCGAGAATACACTGGGAGGTGGATTGACCGTATATTTTGTGGGCGAAACGCGGCAGCCGATGCGCACAGCAGCGTCCCACAAACAGTCGTGGATCGAGTGACCAAAATTATCATCATTTTTTTTGGAAGGGAATGATTAAGCCCCTGGGAAAGCGATCCACCTATTGACTGACCACCGGGTGACCATTTACTAAGAGGAGTGTGGAGTCAGGAAACGTGCCCAGTGTTTCGCCCCCACTCTGCCCCAACCACCGAACCCGGGCACCGAACCCGACCACCGAACCCGGGCACCGAACCCGACCACCGAACCCGGGCACCGAACCCGACCACCGAACCCGGGCACCGAACCCGACCACCGAACCCGACCACCGAACCCGACCACCGAACCCGACCACCGAACCCGACCACCGAACCCGACCACCGAACCCGACCCGAACCCGACCACCGAACCCGACCACCGAACCCGACCACCGAACCCGACCACCGAACCCGGCACCGAACCCGACCACCGAACCCGACCACCGAACCCGACCACCGAACCCGACCACCGAACCCGACCACCGAACCCGGGCACCGAACCCGACCACCGAACCCGACCACCGAACCCGACCACCGAACCCGGGCACCGAACCCGACCACCGAACCCGACCACCGAACCCGGGCACCGAACCCACCGCCGAACCCGACCGCCGAACCCGACGCCGAACCCGACCGCCGAACCCGACCGCCGAACCCGACCGCCGAACCCGACCGCCGAACCCGACCGCCGAACCCGACCGCCGAACCCGACCCCGACCCGACCCGAACCCGACCGCCGAACCCGACCGCCGAACCCGACCGCCGAACCCGACCGCCGAACCCGACCCCGAACCCGACCACCGAACCCGGACCACCGAACCCGGGCACCGAACCCGACCACCGAACCCGACCACCGAACCCGACCACCGAACCCGACCACCGAACCCGACCACCGAACCCGACCACCGAACCCGACCACCGAACCCGACACCGAACCCGACCACCGAACCCGACCACCGAACCCGACCACCGAACCCGACCACCGAACCCGACCACCGAACCCGGGCACCGAACCCGGGCACCGAACCCGGGCACCGAACCCGGGCACCGAACCCGACCACCGAACCCGACCACCGAACCCGGGCACCGAACCCGGGCACCGAACCCGGGCACCGAACCCGGGCACCGAACCCGACCACCGAACCCGACCGCCGAACCCGACCGCCGAACCCGACCGCCGAACCCGACCACCGAACCCGACCACCGAACCCGGGCACCGAACCCGACCACCGAACCCGACCACCGAACCCGGGCACCGAACCCGACCACCGAACCCGGGCACCGAACCCGACCACCGAACCCGACCACCGAACCCGGGCCACCGAACCCGGGCACCGAACCCGGGCACCGAACCCGACCACCGAACCCGACCACCGAACCCGGGCACCGAACCCGACCACCGAACCCGGGCACCGAACCCGACCACCGAACCCGACCACCGAACCCGACCACCGAACCCGACCACCGAACCCGACCACCGAACCCGACCACCGAACCCGGGCACCGAACCGACCCGACCACCGAACCCGACCACCGAACCCGACCACCGAACCCGACCACCGAACCCGACCACCGAACCCGGGCACCGAACCCGACCACCGAACCCGACCACCGAACCCGACCACCGAACCCGGGCACCGAACCCGACCACCGAACCCGACCACCGAACCCGGGCACCGAACCCAACCGCCGAACCCGACCGCCGAACCCGACCGCCGAACCCGACCGCCGAACCCGACCGCCGAACCCGACCGCCGAACCCGACCGCCGAACCGACCGCCGAACCCGACCGCCGAACCCGACCGCCGAACCCGACCGCCGAACCCGACCGCCGAACCCGACCGCCGAACCCGACCGCCGAACCCGACCGCCGAACCCGACCGCCGAACCCGACCGCCGAACCCGACCTCCGAACCCGACCACCGAACCCGGGCACCGAACCCGGCCACCGAACCCGACCACCGAACCCGACCACCGAACCCGACCACCGAACCCGACCACCGAACCCGACCACCGAACCCGACCACCGAACCCGGGCACCGAACCCGGACCACCGAACCCGACCACCGAACCCGACCACCGAACCCGACCACCGAACCCGACCACCGAACCCGACCACCGAACCCGACCACCGAACCCGACCACCGAACCCGGGCACCGAACCCGGGCACCGAACCCGGGCACCGAACCCGACCACCGAACCCGACCACCGAACCCGACCACCGAACCCGGGCACCGAACCCGGGCACCGAACCCGGGCACCGAACCCGGGCACCGAACCCGACCACCGAACCCGACCACCGAACCCGACCGCCGAACCCGACCGCCGAACCCGACCACCGAACCCGACCACCGAACCCGGGCACCGAACCCGACCACCGAACCCGGGCACCGAACCCGACCACCGAACCCGACCACCGAACCCGGGCACCGAACCCGACCACCGAACCCGACCACCGAACCCGGGCACCGAACCCGGGCACCGAACCCGACCACCGAACCCGGGCACCGAACCCGACCACCGAACCCGACCACCGAACCCGACCACCGAACCCGGGCACCGAACCCGACCACCGAACCCGACCACCGAACCCGACCACCGAACCCGACCACCGAACCCGACCACCGAACCCGACCACCGAACCCGCACCGAACCCGACCACCGAACCCGACCACCGAACCCGACCACCGAACCCGGCACCGAACCCGACCACCGAACCCGACCGCCGAACCCGACCACCGAACCCGACCACCGAACCCGACCACCGAACCCGACCACCGAACCCGACCACCGAACCCGACCACCGAACCCGACCACCGAACCCGACCACCGAACCCGACCACCGAACCCGACCACCGAACCCGACCACCGAACCCGACCACCGAACCCGACCACCGAACCCGACCACCGAACCCGACCACCGAACCCGACCACCGAACCCGACCACCGAACCCGACCACCGAACCCGACCACCGAACCCGACCACCGAACCCGACCACCGAACCCGACACCGAACCCGACCACCGAACCCGGGCACCGAACCCGACCACCGAACCCGACCACCGAACCCGACCACCGAACCCGACCACCGAACCCGACCACCGAACCCGACCCGACCCGACCACCGAACCCGACCACCGAACCCGACCACCGAACCCGGGCACCGAACCCGACCACCGAACCCGACCACCGAACCCGACCACCGAACCCGACCACCGAACCCGGGCACCGAACCCGGGCACCGAACCCGACCACCGAACCCGACCACCGAACCCGACCACCGAACCCGGGCACCGAACCCGACCACCGAACCCGACCACCGAACCCGACCACCGAACCCGGGTCGCGAGTGCGAGTGCTGTAACCACAACACTACAGGACTCCACGGATATTCAATCAAAGACCATATATTATTATTATTATTATTTATTTGGTTGACCGGTGGCCACCGCTGACCCAGACCAGCCTCGCCCCGCCCCTCCAGCCATGATTGACAGGCGCGACTGGAAAGTGGCTGCGTTAGACGCGTGATACCGGAAGTGGCTGTGACTGACAGGTGGGACCGGCAATGGCTGTGACTGACGGGCGGGACCGGAAGTAGTTGTGATTGACAGGCGGGACCGGAAGGAGGCGGGCGGGAGCCAGTGGCGCGGAGTTTGGGTTGGAAACTGACGAGAAGCTCCGCGAGCGTCGCCCCGGAGACCGGGACCTCAGGGTGACCGCAGCTCAGGCCTCGCCGCCTGGGACCCGGGAGGCGCCGCGCCTTTGTTCTGCTGCTCAACCCCGAGTCAGGCCTGAGATCCCCGGCCTGGAGTTACAGTCAGTGCGGGAGCCGAGGCTGCTTTCCCGGTGAGGCCGACTGTGGGCGCTCTGGGTGGGAATGTGTGTCACGGCGGCTCTGAGAGAGAGGGTGGGGGCTCCTGGGGGGGTGGGGGCTGCCCGGGGGGGGTGCCTGGGGGGGTGGTGCCTGGGTGGGGGGCCCGGGGGGTGCCTGGGGGGGGGGTGCCTGGGGGGGTGGGGGGTGCCTGGGGGGGGGCCTGGGGTGGGGGGCCTGGGGGGTGGGGGGGTGCCTGGTGGGGGGTGCTTGGGGGGGTGGGGGGTGCCTGGGGGGGTGGGGGGGAATTGGTGTTGGGATGTTGCTGTGAGCAATTGGCCACTTTACAGTATATCCTGTGAAGCGCTTTGAGACGTCTCGAAGACGTGATCGGCGCTGTGTCAAATGCGAGGATTATTATTACTGTTATGTTGCTCCTATGGTAACAACAACAACTTGCATTTACGCAGCACCCCTCACGCAGGGTAGAGCCCCCAGAGCGCTTGACAGTGGCTAAACACGACCCCTATAAACACGTGTCCCCAGGTTCTGGCTGATCTCTGCCTCTCCTCCTGGCCCAGGAATGGCTCAAGATGTGATGGATGTGGACATGCAGTTGGAGGATGACGTTGCTTTACTTCCCAGCACTGACCAGCCCAGTCTCCAGCGCCCAGTCGCTGGGCCCTCAGCGCTCATCCCCGCTGGCGTGCCCGCCGACCAGGAAAGCGAGGCGGAGCCCGCGACCCCGGCCGCTCCCCCCAACCCTCGTCTGGAAGCAGTCCTGCTCACTGAGGAACTGCAGAGGCTGCAAGGGGCCCTGCAGTCAGTCGCTCAACATCTGTCCCTCGGGCAGAGAGCTGGGCAGCAGCGTAGGAGGAACAGCCGCCGGCAGCCAAGAGTACGTCATTCCCAGAGAGCAGCAACAGCCAATGCGAGGTAACCTCAGAGCCTGTACATTGTCACCAATCAAGCACTTTCACTCTGGTTATATTGGGCTGCACTAGGAAAGAATAAGAAAAAACTGGCACTTTACAGCACCTTACACATTGAAATGTCTCAAACAGGTTTACAGCATTCGCTAACCGGTGTAGCTTCAGCTTCAGTTGGTCACTTTACAACTACGATGCTCCCCATGGGTTCTGCTGCCAGTCACACGCACAGTCAAGAGTTCGATCTCTTGCACTTCAACTGATGGCTTGATCACAATGCAAATGGGGAACAATCGCAAAGGAACAGCCTCCCTCTTTAGACCACGGGACTTATCCTGTATGTTTCCTCCCTCTACAGCAGGTAAACATAGATGTACGCTATACAGGGAGATGACTAAAATCCTGTAATGGCAAACTCCCTCCCTGCTTGGATTTCCAAATGTTCTTGCAGACAGTGGAGTTTATGTCGAGCAGGTGAAATTGGCTCAAGTGTGACTGTCATGGTTACAGGCGGGAATTTTCAGAAATAGTTATTTGTCCAACAACTACATTCCATTTTAAACTCCACATCCCCTACTTGCGTTTTGCCAGCCTCCCTCAATTCTTTCTCTCTAGAAAGAGATCCAGAATAATTGGCTTTTGAATCATTAATGTTATTCATTTAATTGTCTTAGAAATTTATTCTGTAATTCCTTGTCACTTTGTGTACAATGTGAAAATTAGCCTAATTTCCCTCCATGCGTCTAGGTATCAGCCTGGTGCAATTGGTAGCATTCTTGCCTCTGATCAGATCTTGTGGATTCAAGACCCACTTTAAGTTCATAGTCTAGGCAGACACTACTGTACAATGCTAGAGGAATGCTGAATTGGCAGAGGCATTGTCTCCTGCCTGCTCAGGGGGACATTAAAGATCCCACGATACTCTTTGAAACGCTTTCTGGGCCAAAAATCCCCCAGCTAAAATTTGTTGTTCACTTCACAGTGGTTTGAGGGACATTGCACAAACTCCTCAAACATTCCCTTGTCTTAGTTTCCTGATGCACATTGTTGAAATGACGTTTGTAGATCTGGGAATCTCGAGGCTGGATTGTGTGCGCGAGCGCACATCTGGACAGATATTGCTGGTATGCGGAATTGTGTTGAGCTCCAGGCGAGTAGGATTTATGTATTGCCTGCAGTTGGGGTATGGATTTCAGTCATTATGTGCATGTGTCCTAATTCTAGGACTGTCTCCTTGGACAACTACTTCCGGGTTAACCAACCCCGAGCCACGCCATCAGTCAGTCAGGTTCAACTTGGAGATGAGGAGATGAACAGCAGCATCAATAATTCCAGCTCAGACCCAAGCACGGATTTCAGTGAAACGGAGGAGAGCGGCAGCACAACGGAGATAGAGGACGAGGGGGAGACAGCAGGAGCTCCATCAACGGGTGCTTCAGGTTGGTGAAAGAGGTGTGGGTGTGCTGTCACAGGGTATAAAGCATTGAATTAAAAATATTTGTGTGGGATAAACCTAAATAACATAGAATGATAAACACAGAAACGCGTCATTTAGCCCAACTAGTCTGTGCCTGTGTTTATACTCCACCCAAGGAGGTTTATCCTCACCCTCTTATACCCTTCTGTTCCCTTTTCCTTTGTTTTAGCAACACATTTTCTCTTAACTATTTGATGCTTTTTGCTTAAAGCACAGTTTCCACAGCGAGTTCCACATTCTCAACATCCTTTGCGGTGAAGACATTTCTCTTAAATTCCATATTACAGTTTGTGGCGCTCTGTGGTAAATGGGGTTGGACGCTGAGCAGGGGAGGGAGGAAGTGACAATAGGCGCAGTAGAAGAGGTAGGTTTTGAGACAGGAGTTGAAGACGCGGCGAGAGGGAAGGAATTTTGGAGATTAGGGGTGTAGAATCTAAAAGCTCATCCACTGTTTTTGGAGCTAATAGGGCGATGGATGTGTAGCAAGCCGCCTTCCATTTCATTGAGCCATCTGTGCAAGTTTAAGACAGTTTTAACCACTTGTCTTGCATTTACTGATTTCGCTTCTTTTGTGCCTATGACTTCTTGCTTCCCTATCAGCACTTGGCATTTTTCAGATGTTCCAGTGCCTTGTTCAATCAATTCGGTGATATTTCGCCGAAACTTTGATGGTGGGGTGGGGGGGGAAGATAATGCAATGTAAGTTTCTTTACAAGTATGAGGAATAAATCAACATTAAGTTTATGTTTAAAATATATCATTCCTTTCGTATGACATTAAATAAAAGCAGAATGCTGTTGGCGAGTTTCAGGGTTGTACTTCAGCCCTTGGCTTGATGTGTGGGAATCTGGAATCCCAGTCACACCCACTGCAGAGGTAAGAGCATTTGTGAACTCCAAAAGCCTCTCGCACCCTTCACTCTCATTCTCACGTACTGCATAATCATACTTGGGTGGAGTTTATTGGCGTTCTGTTAAATGATAACAAAAAGTACAGTTTAAAGTTTATTTTCTTTTTCCCACTTTACGATAGCAATTATTATAATCCTTGCATTTGCTATAGCACCTTATCACAACATTGAGCGCTCTCAAAGCGCTTCACAGAATACATTGTAAAGTGGATTGACTATGTATTTTGTGGGCAAAACGTGGCAGCCAATTTAGCACAGAGGTGTCCTACAAACAGTCGTGGATTGAATGACCATTTTGTTTTGAGGGATTATTACCTCTAATCAATTGACTATCAGTTACTTGACTATCAGTTACTTGACTATCAGTTACTTGACTATCAGTTAATTGACTAACAGTTAATTGACTAACAGTTAATTGACTAATCAGAACGCAAAATACTGCAGATGCTGGAAATCTGAAAACAAAAAACAGAAGTCACTGGGAACACTCAGCAGGTTAGGGAGCATCTATGGAGAAAGGAAAGTGAGTCCAGTTCTGACCAAGGATCGTAGACCCAATACGTTGACTCACTTTCCTTACTCCATAGATGCTGCCTGACCTGCTGAGTGTTCCCAGTGACTTCTGTTTTCATGAACTAAATCAGGTTCCTTAAGATCTCTCACACCTGTATAAGACCTTCTTATTTTTCATACTAAATGGTGTCACTATCAGTATTAATTTATTGCATTCACTCATTGCTTACATGGAGATTGAAATGCTTGCTGTGACTGTGTTGTGTGTTTTTCAGCTTCTGCTGTTGCTCTGGTCCAGACCATCCTGACCCCAGCACAGAGTACAGAGGATGAAGATTCCCGGTCTCTCCTTCAGGACCAGGTTAGGCATTCCTTGTACTTGGAATTCTTTCAGCCAAGGTAGTGCCTGTTCCAAAACCTGTTTATTGTCTTGGGATAATTATCATAGAATCGAATCTTACAGCACAGAAGGAGGCCATTCCGCCCATCATGGTGAGGTTTGTGGGTGTTGTAAATCTGATTCTGACTGTGTGTATGGCTTGTTTGTACTGCCGGAGACTGTTTCTGCCCATCTAAGGCTCGCCTGGGCTGTTTGAGTACAGTAAAGTTTTGTGCAGTATTCCAACAATATTATGACTGGGCTGTATTGTTGGGATACTGTACAGTGCCTTTAAGCATTTAGTGTGTGAAATAAGTGACCTGAATGGCAGCTCAATGATGCATTCATGATCCCATGTGAGGATGGGATGGAGGTTGAGCTAAGTCTATGTACCTCTGACTGAGTGCTTTATATTTAGGAAACCCAGGGGTCACACACAGAGGAGTCTTCACATGTGAAGCATGATGCGCCAAGTAGCAAGATCACCAGGTCTGCATCTGATGATGAAGGAGATACCTGCTCCATCTGCTTTGAGCCATGGACTAATGCGGGCAATCACCGTCTTGCTGCCCTGAAGTGCGGCCATCTTTTTGGCTTCACCTGCATTGACCGGTGGCTGAAAGGCCAAGGAGGAAAATGTCCTCAGGTAGGTGGCCAGTGTACTGGGAGGGGTGGTGCGGTGAGTTGGCCTCATGATCATTGCAGACGTTTGCAAATCCAGTGAAACCCTTTTAGAATCCTCATATTTGAAATCTGTGTGATTGGACTTGCACCACCACAACATCAACTTGGTAGCATCCCAGAGTGCTTAACAGTGGCGGAGTCTGACCCCGAGCCAAGGAGAGAGGGAGGGTGGAGGTGACCGTTAGCACAATCAAAAAGGAAGATCATTACACAAGATTTGAAAGTGGGGAGGGATGGGGCAAGGCGGAGGGATTGTGGGAGAGGACTCCAGAGCTTCAGGATACAGTGAATTCTCAAACTGCTCAAGATCACGGGTGGTTTGGATGAAGAAAAGCCTTTAAACCATTGGATCTCATCCTTCTGGAATACCCACTCTGTCATCTTCCCATTGCCGCACCGAGCAGTTTATTAAATGAGTCTTGGCTTCAACATCCTGATAACCCATTCCAGCTGTAACTACCCTTTGTGTAAAGAAATACTTCCTGGTGTCTGTCATAAAGTTGCACTTCAAAGGGCTGAACTGGTGATGCTTTGACATCTCAAGATTTTTTCTACAATAAAGTTTCTTGTAGATCTTTCGGCAAAGTCCCCTCCCTGAACAATGGGGATCTGAATTGTTCCTCTCCTCTGTATTGACTCTTGGCCCTTTAACAACCCTTTTCCTAACTGACTAGAACCGAATGTTGTCTTCCTATTGTTTGACTGATCTCACTGTATATGGGTTGCGAGAGAGAACAGAGCTCACTGCACTGTAAGTGTATTTTACTCACAACGTTGAGATGGCGACGTGGTAGACAGTGTTCTTATTGGACAATGAGAAGCTTGTGATGGGACTTTGACTGTTCTCCTGCTGATAGGGAGCTTGTGTTGGTCTCTTACAGTGTAATAAGAAAGCCAAGCGCTCAGACGTAGTGCTGCTGTACGCTCGAGTGCTGAAAGCCGTGGACACCAGTGAGCAGGAGCGCTTGAAGAGGTACGTCACTGGTTGGTGGGGCAACCTCTTTGGCTGGACAACAAAATAAATGTTTCTTGATTGACCATTTCTTGATTAATGGCAAAAATCTATGACATTTTCTTATCTTTATGATTCTTTCGCGCACAAAATATACAGTCAATTCACTTTACAGTATATTCTGTGAAGCACTTTGAGATGTCTCAAAGACGCGATAAGGAGCTATATCAAAGGTGAGGATTTTTTATTCTTATTTATTTTGTTGACCAACTAAAAAGGTCCCATTAAGATAGATAGGAATAGGGCCTTGCAAGATTCTGCCTTTACTGCAGGGTGGGTGGTTTCATTTTCAGTTTGAGGACGGAGTGGAGAGAGTCTCTTATGTTTTATTCATTGAAAATCCAGCTTTAAGCAGATATTAAGTTGTAGACATTTTGTGTTTTAAAACCATTCGATAAGTTTTAAGTTCATGTGTCCCAGCTTCTGCCTGAAATATATTGATTATGCAGCTTTTTTTTATGAACAAGAGCGCATTGTTCCGGCCCAGTCCTTGCTGACGGCTTCCTATTTGGATATATTTTCGCCCACAAAACATACAGTCACTAGACTTTACAGTATATTCTGTGAAGTGCTTTGAGACGTTCTAGAAGACATAATAAGGCACTATATCTAATGTAAGGAATATATATCTGAGTGCAAAGCCTTGACTGTCCAGCGCCTTGGGATGTCCTTCTGACGTGAAGGGCATTATGCAAATGTAATTTTTGTTGTTTCTCACTGACGGCCCCTCTTGCCCTCTCTCTCTTTCTGGGGGTTTCTCTTTACCCTCTTGTCTGGACAGTGATCTGGAGAAGGAGCAGATGTTACGACGGAAGGCAGAGCTGGAATCCGCACAGTGTCGTCTCCACCTGCAGGTCGTGTCAGACAAGTGCACCAAGTTACACAAGCAGCTGCAGGTGAGGACTGGTGTGCCCTGTGTACCAGCAGAGACTGGGTGAGAGACTTTGACAGCACAAAGCACCTTGACATTTGTAACGCCTGTGCACAATCGGTTCCACTGATCCAGTGGGAAATGTTTATTAGCCAGGAGTCCTGAGCATATGGAAACCCTCAAATTGCTAAGCCTTCAGCTGCACTTATTGAGTTCTCACAGAAGCAGAGTTTGATTGGCATTTCTGGAGGTTCTGCAACCTCTCCCCAGAATTTATCGCTCCTGTGTATACAGATCAGGGAGCCTTTCAAGGACCTCTGGTACTTAACAACTCTTGTTGTCTGGCTCCGTTGGTTGCACTCCCGTCTCTAGGCTCAGAAGGTTGTGGATCCCCAGAGAGGGAACTGGGCTAGTAATTTAAGCTGCATTGCCAAAGCTAACGTTAGTGGTTAGACTGGTGGTTCAGATGAATCTTAAAGATGTTTTGGCATGTTTATGAGGGATTTTCCTGGTTTCTTGGTTAATGTTCCTCCCGCATCCAAATTCACCAGTGGTCAAATTAAATTGATCATTTATTTTATCATTGCTGTTTGTGAAGTGTTTCTGAGGTGGTTTAGATGCTGTGTTTAATTGCACTGCAACACCCCTTAATAATAATAATAATAATAATAATCCTTGCATTTGATATAGCGCTTTTCACGTCGGGAGGACGTCCCAAAGCGCTTCACAGAATAGACTGTAAAGTGAATTGACTGTATATTTGTGGGCGAACGCGGCAGCCAATTGCGCACAGCAATGTCCCACAAACAGTCGTAGATTGAAAATGACCAATTTATTATTGTTTTGTTTTTGGAGGGATTATTATTAGGCGTGTGGAGTAAGGAAACTTGCCCAAGGTTTCGCCCTGCCTTGTGCGGCACTTTGAAGCATACCCAGCTAGTACCACCCTACCTGTAAGACTTACAGGATTAACAGTAGTCGACTGGAAATCATCTGCTCCAGGTGATCCCATCGATGTGCTGTAAGCCTCACTGAGTAGGCAGGCTGCTTAATAATTAAAGGGTTTTTTGTTGGGGTGTTTTTGAACAGCCGAGTATCTGAAACATGTGGAAACCCATCACCATTGCTTAAGAGTACCCAAACCAAACTGAGAATTCCATGGATTCCACCTCCACGTGGAAATTCCAAAGATAGATTGTGGGATAGAACAAACTCTCTCCCTGGAGGGACGCAGCCTACTTACCTCATACCGGGAAGTATTAGGCAAAGGTTGGCAGGTGCCCTGGGCAGGTTTGTCATACAGCTGGTGAGCGAGGGTTTCAGTTCTCACTAAGACAGACCAGTTGTTACGGTGGCCAAAGCAGCTACAAATGATCTGTGTAACTACAGCCTTCTTCCTGCCCAAAGGCAACCTGTGCTGTATGTAACCCAATGTAAGTCAGTCCAGTGCTTCCATTGTGGTTCCCTATGTGCGCAAACTTTGCACATTATGTATGCAATTGTTTCTGTTTGTGCGTGTGTGTTTACAGCAGCTGAAATCTTTGGTGGCACAGCGTGGCTCTAGCAGTTCGCAGGCCTCCTTGAGCTCCAGTAACCCGCTGACTGGTCACATCAGCAGCAGCCAGAGCCAGTGCAAGTACCAGTTTGAGAAAGGCATCATGATCTCGCAGAGCGGCAACTGCCGGGTCATGACTTACTGCGCTTCCATGGGCTGCCTCGTCATCTCCCAGCCTTCTCCTCAGACCGCTCTCCTACCCGGTAAGAGTCTGAAGGGTGAAGGGTTTCGCCCACAAATATACAGCCAATTCACTTTACAGTATATTCTGTGAAGCTATATCAAATACAAGGATTATTATTTTATTGTTATCATAGATCACTAAAACCAGTGTTAATCACAGTAAGGGTTCCTGCTCATGATCTGCCCTCAAAGTACCGTTTTATCTTTCTACTGTTTTTGCAAGTGATTTAGTTTTTTTAATTACATTATTTGACCTTTCCTCTCCCTTGTGGCTGCTGCTAAAAGCGGTGACTCCTGCTGGGAACAGCTGTCTGAGCTGCCAGCCTCTCTCCTCATGGCTTGTCCCAAAAAGCTAATCTTCACGTGCGAGCCTGTTGACAACTCCAGCGGTTGACAAATGTCACAGCTGGCTTTATTCCTGGGTCCAGTTGTCACCCCAGTGTCTCTGTATAGACACCATTCTAACATGTCGCTGTATAGAGATCAGAAGCCCTGGGAACCCTGGCTGAATGTTCTCTCTTTCCCCCATTGCCGAGATCAGTTAACACAACGTCAAACGCTTACTTGATTGTTTCATTTCTCGTGAGGTGAGCATCTACCCACTCATGTATATAACTTGAGAGGGAGGACCTGAGTTTGAGTCCCAGGCAGGGCGAAACCTCAGGCAAATTTCCTTACTCCACACGCTTCTGTTCACCTAGCAATAGGTTGGAACCCAGTTGTTAGTTGATTGGAGGATCGCTTTCCAGGGGTAATTTTCCCCCCAAAAGTGGTCACTCAATCCACGACAGTTTGTGCGACGCTGTTGTGTGCAATTAGCTGCCGCGTTTCACCCACAAAATACACAGTAGATCCATTTCGCAATATGTTCTGTGAAGCATTTGAGACGTCTCAACGGCGTAATGAGGCGCTATATTAAGTGCAATATTGGTGATTTCCTCAGGCAACATTATATTGCTTTGCGTATCTGTAGCTTAAATTTGCAACTGTGCATAGCTCAGCGTGTGCCACAGCCTTGCCTGCCTGACTAACTGACTGACCACCTTTCTGCCTGTGTTGGACAGGGTGTGGAGTGAAAAAAATCAGCTCTACGAATTTCCGCAGCGTGCAGTATGTTCCCATCCACACTAAGCAGATCCGAAGCTTGGCGTTCAGTGACAGGGACAGCATCCTCCTCTCAGCATCACTGGACAACACCATCAAACTGACCAGGTCAGTCCTGCAGCACCCTCTTGCCCAACTGAAGGGCATCTATTTGGGGGAAGAGCAAAGCAAAGGGAATAATTACAGAATGATGCAGCATAGAAACCTGACTGTTTGTGGGACACTGCTATGCGCGATTAGCTACCGCATTCCGCCCACAAAATGTACAGTCGGTTCACTTTACAGTACATTCTGTGAAGCGCCTTGAGAATTGGAATTGAGCAAGTAAACCCCGAACAATACTTTCAGATATTGCGCAGCAGGATGAAGAACACAGGTTCAGGGTTTGTAAGAGCAATTTTCGGACAAACACTTGGAAACATTTCACGAGACGCAAGGGGTAATCTAGATCATTGACAAGGTTAACCAGGCAGGTGGTTGAGGTCAGCACCCTGGGACTCATTCAAGAAACAGCTTGTTGTTATACTGGGGAGATGGTGGGTTGGAAATCGTTCAAACTACTTGTGATCTTATATATAGATAAGACGCTGTATCAAATACAAGGATTATTATTATTATCTTGTCTTTTGTGACTTGTTAAATTGAACAGCGTGGCTGGGCTTGTAAGCGTGTGCCATTGCTAGGCTTGCTCCACCTCAGTCTAACCTGTGTGTGTTAGTTAACCCTTTCCTGCTCTTGTCTCCCTGCAGCCTGTTGGCCAACACTGTGGTGCAGACATACAACACTGGCCGCCCTGTGTGGAGCTGCTGCTGGAGCTCCGACAACACGAACTACATTTACGCCGGCCTGATCAACGGCTCCATTTTGGTGTATGACATGAGGGACACCAGCACTCACGTTCAGGAGCTCCCATCACAAGGGTCCAGGTCCGTTAGTCGCCTGAGGAAAGATACGGGGGAGGAAATTATTTTCACTGCTTATTTTCCATCTTCCAAATACAATGTTAAAAAATCCAAGGCAATACTCACGTCAGGCTACGTTATCAGGTTATAAAATCACCAGCTAATACAGCAACCACTTGCATTTATAAAGTGCATGTAGGATGATGTCTCGGAGCACTTTACACTAACTGTGTCAGACATCGGGGAAGGGAGAGATGACCGTAGGCACAGTCGAAGAGACGGGTTTTAAAGTGGGACTTGATGACATATAATAACAACAACTTGCCTTTACTATTAGCTCCCTTCATGTCTCAGAGTGCAGTTGGGAGGAGGTTGGGGCGAGCGAGACTTGATGGGTAGATGGAGAGAATGGAATTGGAAAAGTAAGTGGGTGGTGGAGAATAACTTAATCTTTACAGAGAAAATAATATTTATACCAATTCAGTTGAGGCCAGTATGCACATGAATTAGGACCAGGTTTGAAAACAGTAATAATGATAATAATCCTTGCATTTGGTATAGTGCCTCACCATGTCTTCGAGATGTCTCAAAGCACTTCACAGAATATACAGTCGGGCTCTACCAAAATGAACCCCTTGCCCATTGAGAACGACTTTTTTAAAATTCTAACATTGTAGCCTGACTTGACCTCTGCATTGGAGTCCAATGTACACGATTAATAATAATAATCCTTGCACTTGATATAACGACTTATCACAGAGTTCAATCGTCTCAAAGCGCTGTGTATTCCCTCCCCTCACCCTGACCATCTCCCCCCTGCTCGGGTCCTGACCCAACTGTACAGCGCCTTGGGACGTCCTCCCGACGTGAAAGGCGCTCAATAAATGGAATCTTGTTGTTGTTGTTGTATGTTGTGAGTGAAAAGCGGCAGCCAATTGGGACTCAGCAGTGTCCCACAAACAGTCGTGATTGAATGTCTGTTCCTACCTCTGTTCTTCAGGTGTCCTGTGACGTCGCTGTCCTACCTCCCGCGCATGGCCTCTGCAGCGTTTCCGTGTGGCGGGCTGTTGGCTGGGACCCTGGAGGGCGGCTGCTTCTGGGAGCAGAAATCCTCAGACACGTACAAGGCCCACCTGTTGCCTCTGGAGGCCGGGAGCTGCACAGATATCCAGGTCGAACCCACATTACGGCATTGTCTCGTCACATACAGGCCAGGTACACAGAGCAGGGACACGGTGGGCAGGCTGGGAGGGATCTGGATATGCCACTATAATGATACGCACTGTAAAATTGGAGGACAATCTAAAATTTGAGTTCGTTGACAAATAAGATAACGAAATGACTCTGCCTCTGCTTTCTCCCTCCCGTCGCCACAAAAATACTCATTAGCTCCTCCCCCCGTCTCGTCCTTCTAACTTGGAAACCGCTATATAAACCTGGGTCCTTGCAAGCCAGAGGACCCAGGTTCAATTCATGGGGGCAAGGCAAATTCTTACTCCACATGCCTCTGCAGTAAGTAGGAATCCGATTGTTAGTCATTTAACGGATGACTTTCTGTGGGTACTAATTCCTATAAAAAAAACTGGTCACTCAATCCACGACTGTTTGTGGCATACTGCCGTACACAATTGGTTGCTGCATTTCACCCACAAATACAGAATCCATCCATTTTACAATATGTTCTATAAAGCGTTTTGAGATGTCCCAACAACGTGATGAGGAGCTATATCACATGCAAGGATTATTATTACCTGATCATCCTTTGAAATTATTATTCTTAATAAATGTAATTTGTGTTGTCGCAGAACACTGTTTACAAAAACCAAATGATAAAATTCTGGAAGGGATAAAAGCAGCTGTGTGTGTAGTGTGTGTGTGTGTGCGCGTGTGCGCGCAGTAATCACACTGTTTTTATCAGGAAAGACCCACACCTCTTTACGGTGTGTGTTGATGGAGTTATCGAGCAGTCCCTTACCGAACTCCCTCGAGGATCTGATCTGCACGTGTTACCCCATCCAGACATTCAGCGCTGGCTCCACCTGCAAACTGCTGACCAAAAATGCCATCTTCAACAACCCCGAGCAGGACGGCAGCATCCTGGTGTGTGCTGGGGATGAGGCCACAAACAGGGCCATGGTGAGTCACTGCTTCTTCAAAGTCTGTGCTTTGCTAATATGGTTGTGACAGACTTAACTGTTTTGCTCACAAAATGTATAGTCCATTCACTTTACAGTATATTCTGTGAAGCGCTTTGAAATGTCTCGAAGACGTGATACGGCGCTATATCAAATGCAAGGATTATTATTATTATTATTGATACATACTGAGATTTTTACAAATTCCGCATTAAAGGCACTGACTCTCTGGTACTCGGTGACTGTCTGTTATGTGAATGGGTATAAATGAAGAGGAGCGTTGCTATGTTCTTCACAAAACCTTGTCACACTGGTACTCAGTTAATATGCAAAGAAAAGCGAGATTATACGAGAATGTCAGAAGATTGTGGGTTTGAGCTCCATGTCGGGACAGTGCTGGGTGTGTGCTGCATTGTTAGAGGTGCCAATAATCAGACTGGGGTCCTGACTGCCTGTTCAAGTGAATGTTAAAGATAATAATAATCCTTCACTTTGATATAGTACCTTTCGTGCCAGGAGGACGTCTCAAAATGCAGTGAGTGTGTTTCATGATTCCGTGGCACTATTTGATAAAACAAGAGCGTTTCTCCTGGTGTCCTGGCCAACGATCCCCCAAATAAAATTGGTCATTCATTTCCAGGTCTTTTTTTTTTAGGAAATTGCTGTGTGCAAATTGGCTGCCATGTTTGCCTACAAATTCCAGTCACTACATTTTACAGTAAATTCTGTGAAGCACTTTGTGAACCATAACGTGAATCCTTCAAAAGGCTGTACTTGTGTAAAATGACATCTTGGAAACTTAAATTCCTTCACTATGCCCATATTTTGCACAGTTACTGTGGGGTGAGGCACGAGTTGGGTCAGAACCATCCGCTTTCACTGAAGTTGCTTTGTGTTTGTCAGGTGCAATGTCAAACCTGTATCAATTCCACTCTTCAGTCTTCATAAGTTTTCTTTTGGTGCAGATGATTGCAATAGCGCAGTCAGTCACTGGGTGGCAGCAGCCTCCATAAAATAATAATAATATTTGCATTTAATATAGTGCCTTAGCATGTCGTTGAGACGTCTCAAAGCGCTTCGCAGAACATATGGTAAAGTGATTTGACAGTATCGTTTGACTGTGTATTTTGTGGGTGAAACACGGCAGCCAATTGAGCGCAGCAGTATCCCACAAACAGTCATGGATTGAAGTGACCAAATTTTCTTTCCCTCCTGAGGAAATGGGCATTTCTCAGAGTTGGGCATTCATCTTGTGACTGGCTGGATTAATCTGGAAACTATTGATCATTATGAGAACTGGAATCTAGCAGACGGTGTATCCTTATTCCCTTATTCCTTATTCCCTTCCTTGGCACCTCAGCGAGTCTTTGGGCCAATGGCTCAGATTTACTGTGTGAATTTGTTATAATTAGACTTCTGATCTCTTGTGATTCTTCCAAGACAGGAAAATTAGGTCCCTTGTTGTGGAGTGAAGGTTTCATTGAGAGTAAATCCTCCTCTAATAATACAGTTGCATTGTCATACTCGTCCACAAACCCCTTCATGCCCTGGCACCTCCCTACCTCTCCGACCTGTCTACTCCCCACTCTACCATGCGCTCCCTCTGCTCGGCTGGCTCCAGCCTCCTGCTTGTCCCTCATCCTCTCCATCATTGGTGGCCATCCTTTCAGCCTCCACACCTCGAAACTTTGGAACTCTCCCTCAATACCTCTGCCTTCCCCGTTTTTTAGAACACGCATAAAGTTTTTCCTCTTCAACCGTGCTTACAATCACGTCCTTCCCCCGGCTTGGCGTTGGGCTGTGCCACAGTTAAGCGCTCCAAGACGCTACCCCATGTGAAGGGCGCTGTATAAATGCAAGATGTTGTTGTTCTTGTCATTCAGCCACAAAATCCACCCTGCTTACAGTATATCTTGAGAAGCACTTTGAGGCATGAAAGGTGCTGAACCAAATGTAAGGATTATAAATAGGCAAATCTTTGTTCCCCCTCATTGCAGCATCCAGTAAAGATTTGGAGCTTGTGTGCAAGTCAGTGGGTGAAACTGCTGAGCATAAAGTGTTTGGTCAGTGAGTGTCTGGCAGCATCGACCCCGGGAACAGTACGCTCTGGTGTCTCGGGTTCAGTCCGCTTGTTAACCTGGTTGTTGTCTTGCTGTGGCAGGTATGGGATGCTGGAAGTGGCTGCCTGCTTCAGAAGCTGCAGGCTGACCAGCCTGTTTTGGACATCTGTCCCTTTGAAGCCAATCAGACCAGTTTCCTCGGAACCCTGACAGAAAAAATGGTCAAGATCTACAAATGGGCCTAGATGGGCTGCCTCCATCCGCCTGTGCTGGCATTGTTCAACGTGACAGGCCTGGCAACCAAGGGCCAAGCTGTACGAGTATTCCTGAGCTGCACTCGAGGGGATTGAAATCAAATCTGCGGACCTCTTAAACAGGATCATCTGCTTATCGCGTGCACTCTGTTTGCTGCTGATTTTCCCGACTGTAACCTCGGAATCATCCTTCATTCTTTTTATTTTAAAAATATCATTTCTTGTTTCAAAGCAGCTGCTGCTCACTGGACACTGCTCTGCGAGTCCTGCTCGTTGCTTTCTTGAGGTTTTGCGTTTCCTTCGAAACAGAGGAATTTCACTGTGTTCCTGTCTTACTTCTTTTTCTTTTTTTTCTGTTTTTTCCTCCCTCTTTACAGTCAGCAGGTAATCTGCATCCAAACCACTGCTGGTTCTAGTCAGACGTGAGTGGCCTGTGCCTCACTGCACTTCACTCTTCCTCATCCCCCATCATCTTATGTTTGGGGATGCCCCAAACCCTCACACATACTGTGACAGGAAACAGTGCTGAAATTGCAGTATTAGGAATAACTCTTATCACTTTGTGTTACTGTGCAATGGGCGAGCACCACTCCAATATGGCAGTGTGTTGACTGCTTTGGACTGGCCTAGCTCCATGTCGGTGTCTCTATAATGCTGAGGGCTGGCTTCACAGCGCATTCATTTTCCAATGGGTTGACATTGTTCCGTAGCAATGTTACCAGCGCCTTGGGATGTCTTCCCGACGTGAAAGGCGCTTTACAAATTTAATTTTGTTGTTAATTCTGCAATCACCTGGCATTGCTCCATTATCACTGTGGGTTAATAATGCAATGGTTGACCGTTGTGTCAATGTGTTCATTCTGCAATAGGCTGGCCCACTGCACTACAACTGAAGAGCCTATTTCAAAACGCTTCCTATAGACTGCGGTCTAATTGTGGGCGCGCAATCTGTCTAGAGAACTATAGCAAGGCTGCAGAGGCAATGTTGAAGTGATTCATCTTAACCTCCTCTTACTTGGTGAGTTTTATAAGGAACAATCAGACAACCTGCTCTTTCTCTCCATTTATATGAAGAACTTTTTTTACACGGCTGAGGTACTTTGCCTTGTACAGGGCAAGGACATCATGTTCACTAACTCTGGGGGAGCGAGCCGCTGCCTACCAGAAGGATTGAAAGAATAAGAGGTTGCAACCTCCTGGTCTCATTGAATGAGAGTGCGTTTCCTGTGTGTGCGTGAAACCGAAGGGTTGATGTGTGCCTGAACGAGCGGTTGTGTGTCTAAATCTACATAGTTTCCTTTTATTACTGTTGTATTGAAATAAAGATTAACTGAATGGTGCAAACTCTCAGGAGTTTTCTTCCTTCTGCTGTAACTCCCCAAGCCTGGTTTTCTTCAATAAGCATTGCCGACACATTGCGGGCAAGTCATTTGATTTACCTTTTATGTGAAAGAAGCATCCGGGGGGGAGGGGCAGCTGGGTGTCTGGTAGGTGTGAAAACCCAACACCGTGCTTAAGAGTACCTAAACCAAGCTGAGATTTCCATGCATCCCACCTTCACATGGAAATCCCAGAGATAGATTGTTGGAATGGAATGCGCACTCTCTCCCTGGAGGGAGACATCCTGCTTACCTAATTCCGGAAAGTATCAGGCGCAGGTTGGCAAGATCCAAGGCTTGGAGACCCCAGAGTGAGCGTTGGGGTAACTGCTGGAGTGTAACCAGCTAAAAACATCTAACTTGCTATTGATATCGCTGTCTGGCTAGCTTTCCTGCTGCTTGTCCAGATAGGACCACCCTACCTGTTAGGGCTTTGGATTACCGGGTTACCAGGAGCTGAGTGAGATGACTATGAAATCTGGATAGCAATAAGGAGCGCCCAATTCATTGCAGTCCTCTCAACCCAGACATTAAGTCTTAATCGCATCATCGATTACATCAGCTGAGATCAGAGGCACAGACTGGGAATCAAAGCTGCATTTTTCTCTGTACAGCTTATTACTGCATCGTCCATTGGGTCATTGGACGCACACCTGAATAACAGGCACTTGGGCGAGATAATGGAGACATGCACACATCTGGGAATCTAATACTCCAAGAGAGCAGGAGGGAGGAATATTGAAAGGGAATAAAGAAAAATTGAAAGTGAGATGTTTTTTATAACTGGAGAGATCCAAAGATTTGTATTGCAAGCTGTGCATGAAATAGTCAAGAGAATTAAAGACCAGATAAGTCCTGTAATGGACAAGTTGCATAGAAATAACACACGCAATCACGAAATTCCATGTGCCAAAATAAGTATTGGGCCAATTCCAGATGTATTCAATCGGGCTGTTTTGGCAATCGCTAAAAATATATAGAGGTCAGCAACGCATGTGTTATGCAGAAACCTAAATGCCAGATGTATCCAACTCTAAACCTCCTCCGAAAAACGAGTGAGGAGCTTAAGTGTTTCTGAGAGCATCATAAATCCAGAGTGTTTGAAGGCTCATGTGATCTCAGAGAAGTTTCACTATTAATTCCTGCTGGAAGTTTCACGTTTTGATGTTTTAACATGCAGTATTTCTTAACGAAATTCCTTAATAAGGAAACTGAGACGGGCCAATGGGACTCCTCCCGGTCACCTGAAATGGAACGTGCTGACCTATGGGAGAGTCCAACTGGCACATCCCCTTCTGCAGTGGCGTTCCTATGTGGTGACGGGAATTCTTAACAGGATTCCTTATTAAGTCCTGGAGTCCTGTAGCTGAGTGGTTAGAGCACTTACCTCGCAAGTGAGAGGAACTGGGTTCGATCCCTGGGCAGGGCAAAATCTTAGGCAAGTTTCCTTACCCCACACACCTCTGTTTACCTAGCAGTAAATAGAACCCGGTCGTTATTCAATTGTGGATCGCTTTTCAGCCATATTTATTGATCTGACTAATGAACAGCTTTTTAGCAGTGTACAATGGAATTGGCTCTTGAGAGTTAGTTGTTGTTATATTGTTGCTCCTTCTCTTCCTCTGACCCCACCAAATCTATTGCAAATATAATTCCCACAGTTGTAGGATGAGGTCACCAATAGCTAATCCTGTCTGCTCAGCATCTGCCTTTGCATATGTTAATATGGAGAACTTCCATTAAATGCTACCCTGTGTGTATTGCCTGACAATCTGAAGTCAACATGTGTGCTTCACCGCTGCAGATTAACATACATATATAAATAATAATCCTCACATTTAGTTTGGTGCCTTTCACATCAGGAGAATGTCCCAAAGCGCTTCACAGAATATACAATAAAGTTGAATGACTGTGTATTTTGTGAACAAATGCGGCAGCCAACTCGCCACAGCATCATCCCACAGACAGCTGTGCCCAATTTTTGGTGACAATTTTTTTATTTGGGAAGATGTCAGCCAGAACCAGGAGAAACCTCCTTCCCTATTCAAATAGGGCCGTGTGATCTTTCATAATAATCCTCACATTTGATATAGTGCCTTATGTCTTCGAGCTGTCTCAAAGCGCTCACAGAATATACTGTAAAGTGAATTGACTGTATATTTTGTGGGCGAGACGACAAGATGAGATCAGAAGGGCTTTCTTCATCCAGACCAGTCTTGTGATCTCGTGACTGTGAGTGCTTTGGGATCTGTAGCCAGCTTCAATTCTCTGAGCTCTGGAGGGGATACGTTAGAACAAGAGACATGGTAATAATCTACACTATAGCACCACAGTGGTTGTCATGGACAAAGTACTTCAAGATTTAGCCGAGCACCAACAAAAACATCTGTGCACAATAATCTCTCTCGCTGACCTTTCCTAAGTATGCATTCTGTAATTGCTTTTGGAGTCTGCACAACAACTTGCATTTACATAGCACCCTCCATGCAGGGGAACATCTCAGAGCGCTTAACAGTGGCAGAGCCTGATGCCGAGCCGAAATGGCCGTAAGCACGGGGAGAGAGAGGGCATTGCGGAGGGATTGAGGGAGTGTGTTCTAGAGTTTCGGGGTGTGGTCGCTGAAAGCACAAAAGAGAACTCTTCCCCTAACAGAGCATAGCAAACCAGACGGGAGCCATGATGACCAAGGAATGAAGAATAGCACAGCGGCTGGTAACTGACACATTCGAGTAAGGTCTGGGGTGCTCAGACACCAATGGCCAGGAGTTCTCCATTATACTGTGTTGTGCCAGACCACAATCTTGCACCTTCCACTGTTGTCAGGTTAGAGCCCCAGAGACATGATCTGAAACAACCTTTAGGCATCGAGACAAACTGAGTTCGGCTGAATGGCCTCCATGCAGAAAAATGAGATCTCAGCAGCCAGAGAAGCCTCTTCAGCAAAGAGGGAGCAGACTTGCACTCATTTCCACAGGAGTTTTACCCTGTAGCTTGACTCAGTTGTTAGGGCGCTCAGCTGTGGGTCAGAAGATTGTGTGTTCAAGCCCCAAGGTGGGGTTTGAGCTCACGGTCCAGGCTGACATTCCTATGCAGTCCTGCGATAATTGCTGAATTGCCGGAGGTGCTATCCTTCAGATGAGGTATTAAATAAATAATCCTTTGCATTTGACATAGCACCTTATCATATTTGAAGGACGTCTCAAAGCGCTTCACAGGATTTACTGAAATGGAGTGACTGAGTATTTGTAGGCAAATACAGCAGCACATTTGCACACAGCAATGTCCATCAAGCAGCCATGAAACGAGTATGGGGGATTGTTGGTCAGGATACCCGGAAAAAAAAGTCTTCTGTTTTTTGAATAGTGCCCTGGGATCTTTAACATCCACCTGAGTAAGGAAACTTGCCTAAGGTTTTGCCCCACCCAGGAATCGAACCCAGGTCCTCTTGTTTGTGAGGCGAGTGACCATGCTACAGGACTCCACAATACTCTCTGGAATTAGCTAAATGTGGTGCGTTCCTCCTGGATGAGAGAGTGCATTCCATTCCAGAAAGGGAAAATTCCATGTGCAGGTGACATAAATATATACTCTCAAGCTGGTTTTGTTACTCTTAACCTTGGGTTTCCGCATGCGTCAGATACTCAGCTGATCAAAAAAAAATCCAGCTCAGGCACAGGAGATATTGTGACAGTGTAGACTGAGGGAACTTTATACTTTGATTCTAATTGTGCTGCATGGGTCTGAAATGGTAAAGGACTCAACTTCCCAGCTCCAGCTCCTTGATGAAATAATAATAATAATCCTTGTATTTGATATAGCGCCTTATCACGTCTTTGAGACATCTCGAAGCGCTTTGCAGAGTATACTGTAAAGTAAATTGACTGTGGATTGTGTGGCCGAACGTGCACAAGAAACGAGGATTTAAGAATTGTTTTGTTGCACGTGAAAATAAGTAGGTGACGTCATCCGTCTGTTAGATATGTGAAGGGAAGAGGTGGTGTTGCTTTGTGGTGAGGTAAAAATGGAACCAACCACAGGAGACTGAATCGAGCATGTGAGCAACACAACTAGACATTAATCTGGGGACAAAGGAGCCTGTCACACAGGGTCTCCAGCCTGTTTACAGCCATAAGCATACTCTGCAGTCTGAGTCACACTGCTCCCAGCTCTCGAAGTTTTTAACCCAGAGGCTGGAGAAAATGTGAAACTCACTGCTGGAAACTGGCTGAAGCAAAACGACAGCTTGCATTAATATAGCACCCTTCACACCGGGCAGGGTCTCAGAGCACTCAAACAGCATTAACGTATTTGACAGGAAACACAATGTGTACATGAGGCAGAATAGAATTGAATAGAAGGTATTAGGATGAGTAGGGGTTAATTTGAAGTATAAATTTTTAAATTTACATTTGGAGTATAAATGTTGTTTCCTTACTACACATGCCTCAGTTTACCTAGCAGTAAGTAGGAACCCGGTTGTTAGTTGATTGGTGGATTGCTTTAAATAATAATAATAATTTGGTCACTGAATTCACGACTGTTTGTGGGACCCTCTTGTGCACAATTGGCTGACACATTTTGCCCACAAAATATACAGTCAATTCACTTTACAATATATTCTGTGAAGTGCTTTGAGACGTCTCGAAGACATGATAAGGCGCTATATCAAATGCAAAGATTATTATTATTACTATCTCAGAATACCCACTCTACAGTTCCCGCCTCCATCACTGCATCAAGCTGCTTTTCAAATGAGTCCAGCTGTGTTGAGTGGCCTGTTTCCGTGCCATAACGTGATTCTTACCCACAGAAACCCTGTGAGGTTTTCCAGTCGAGTGGGACTGAATGCAGGACACCATTAATCTTGGGTGTTATTCAGAATTCTGTGCTGTAAAGAGATGTCAGGGCCAACAAGAAGATCTCAAGAATGCAATGGTAGAGTGCTCAGACCACAGGAAGAACAGAAGCAGAGAAAACATCACAGTAGAAACTCATGACAGATAATACTCCAGCTTCCTGTTGAAAGGCTTCGAAACATCGTATTCCTTTCACTGACCACAAACTGTTGCTCCAGTTATTTCTCTTTTTCGCCTCAGTACTGAACTCATGGTAAACCTTCGAAAACCGAGGCCATTGCAAAGTAAGTGATTTAAAGTCGGCTAATAAATTACAGCTAGCGCAAAGTTCACCTTGGCATCAAATTTAGTAAAAAAACACAAAACCTGTAGAACAAAAATTATTAATTTAAATGTCAATCTCAAATAGCAGAAATGAACCCAGGCTCCAGTCACAAATTCTATAGTCTCTGATAACTCATAGTAGTAATAATTTCAGGCAGGAATAACAATCAATTCATCTAGCCTACCCGTCCATTTCCTGTACAAATCTTTTGATATTTCTAAATTGTATAAGCCAGAATTATTTTGGTTGATAAGAATTTGAACAGTTCCATTATGAAATCTTTTATAGCAATTTGTGACACATATCTACCTATCTTCCTTTTACCACTAGAACAATTTGCACATCCTTTTGTTCTGATTGTGAAGATAAGATGCTTTTTTGTCTACGTAAATAGTCATCGAGACTTTGAGCTCATAGTGCAGTCAATCCAGTGCACTGCTTTGGTGCTATTCCTTCTGACGAGACATTAAACCGAGGTCCTGTCTGTTTGTTCAGGTGGACTTTAAAGATTCAGTGACACGGGATCTTTAAAAAGAGAAGGGAGCCTCTCCTGGCTTCCTGGCCAGCAGTCTCCGAGATAAAATCCATCATTCGCTCCGTGGCTGTGTGTGGGACGATACTGTGTGCAAATTGGCTTCTACCTTTTACAAAATACAGAGCCACTACACGTTGCAATAAGTCCCACGAAGCGCTTCGAGATCTCCTCCTGACCTGAAAGCCGGGGTACGTTTGTCGAATACAACAATACTAATCCTTGCGTTTGATACAGCGCTTTTCACGTCTTCTCGACGTCTCAAAGCGCTTCGCAGAATAGACCGTAAAGTGGACCGACTGCATCTTTGCGGGACACCAGCGCTCACGGAGGAGTGACCGCGTGGCGTTGGCTAAGAGAATGAGTAAAAAAAAAATGATGCGGCCGCGAAGGGTCCGCGCAGTGGGCAAATGGACAGGTGGTGGACGGTGGGTGGGACCTCAGGCTCAGGCCGCCCAGGACCTGGTGTGAGTGAGTGAGTGAGTGGCCACATGGGCAGAGGGTGGCAGCAGGGCCAGGGACGTAATGACGTCACGAGGGTTGGGGGCGTGCGGTGCGTGCGCGCTGACGTGTCAGTCACGCCGGGTATAAAAAGAGGCCGAGCGGCTGCAGTGGCCGCTACAAGATGGCGGCGTGTGGACGTGGGTGTCTGGCGTCGTCTTCGGCGGCGGCAGCGGCGGCCTGCACTTGGCATCGATTTCAGGCCTCGGCTTCGCAGTGTCTGCTGCTGGCGGCCGCCCTGACTCTGCTCTCCTCGCTCGACAACACGGTGGCGTCCCAGGCCAACGGCTTAGCCGGCGGCGGCGGCGTCGGCGGCGGCATCAACAACAACAACAACGAGCCGCCGCAGCAGCAGCAGCAGCTGTTGGCTCAACAGCCCAACGTTCAGGTTGCGCCGTTCCAGGTCCAGGAGCAGGCCGGGCCCCACGCCCAGGCCCCGATCCACGCGCAGCCCCCGCGCAAGAACGTCTGGAGGATCTCGGAGGACGCTCTGTGCCGCGAGGACGTGGCCCGCCTGTGCCCCAAGCACACCTGGCAGAACAACTTCGTGGTGCTCGAGTGTCTGCAGGACGTGCGGGAGGTGAGCGGCGTGGATGGATGGTCCCGCGGCCTTGTGCGTGTGTGTGTGGTTGAGGGGGTAAAGGGTGTGTGTGTGGTTGAGGGGGTAAGGGATGTGTGTGTGGTTGAGGGGGTAAGGGGTGTGTGTGTGGTTGAGGGGGTAAGGGGTGTGTGTGGTGGTTGAGGGGGTAAGGGTGTGTGTGTGTGGTTGAGGGGGTAAGGGATGTGTGTGTGTGGTTGAGGGGGTAAAGGATGTGTGTGTGGTTGAGGGGGTAAGGGGTGTGTGTGTGGTTGAGGGGGTAAGGGGTGTGTGTGTGGTTGAGGGGGTAAGGGGTGTGTGTGTGGTTGAGGGGGTAAGGGATGTGTGTGTGTGTGGTTGAGGGGTAAGGGAGTGTGTGTGTGTGGTTGAGGGGGTAAGGGGTGTGTATGTGTGGTTGAGGGGGTAAGGGGTGTGGTTTGTGTGTGTGGTTGAGGGGGTAAGGGGTGTGTGTGTGGTTGAGGGGGTAAGGGATGTGTGTGTGTGGTTGAGGGGGTAAGGGATGTGTGTGTGGTTGAGGGGGTAAGGGATGTGTGTGTGTGGTTGAGGGGGTAAGGGATGTGTGTGTGTGGTTGAGGGGGTAAGGGGTGTGGGTTTGTGTGTGTGGTTGAGGGGGTAAGAGGTGTGGGTGTGTGTGTGGTTGAGGGGGTAAGGGGTGTGGGTGTGTGTGGTTGAGGGGGTAAGGGGTGTGGGTGTGTGTGGTTGAGGGGGTAAGGGGTGTGGGTGTGTGTGGTTGAGGGGGTAAGGGGTGTGTGTGTGTGTGTGGTTGAGGGGGTAAGGGATGTGTGTGTGTGGTTGAGGGGGTAAGGGATGTGTGTGTGGTTGAGGGGGTAAGGGATGTGTGTGTGTGGTTGAGGGGGTAAGGGGTGTGTGTGTGTGGTTGAGGGGGTAAGGGGTGTGTGTGTGTGGTTGAGGGGGTAAGGGGTGTGGGTTTGTGTGTGTGGTTGAGGGGGTAAGAGGTGTGGGTTTGTGGGTGTGTGTGTGGTTGAGGGGGTAAGAGGTGTGGGTTTGTGTGTGGTTGAGGGGGTAAGGGGTGTGGGTGTGTGTGTTGAGGGGGGGGTGTAAAGATGTGTGTGTAAAAGCTGCGCCTGCAGGAAACCGTCACCACACTTTTTGGCAGTTTTTTCTTGTTGCCCAACTCGCTTGCGGATGTTTGAACAGCACAAGGCGTTGTGAAAAATGCAAGTGCTTTACTTTACCCAGGATTAACGGCACTGAGGAGGGAGGTCAGTGTCTGTGTGAGACTCCTCAGTCTGGAGTCGAGTAATAATAATAATCCTTGCATTTGATATAGCGCTTTTCATGTCCGGGAGGACGTCCCAAAGCGCTTCACAGAACACACTGTAAAGTGAAGTGATTGTATATTTGTGGGCGAACGCGGCAGCCAATTGCGCACAGCAATGTCCCACAAACAGTCGTGGATTGAAAATGACCAATTTTTTTTTTGGGGGGGGGTTTTGGTGGAGCGATGCGAGGCTGAGCTGCAGCTCTCCTTGGTCGGAGTGGTGTTGCTCTGCTGAAGCTGAGCCGGGTTCGGGTTCACTGGCTGCTGAGCAGGGTCACTGCTTGCTTGAATGGTGGTGCTGTGCACTGGATACCGGTTGAGCGTTGACCAGTCTGTGCTAACGCGGCATATTATATCCTGGTTTCGTGGTGCTGTTCCCTGAAGCGCTTCGAGTCGTTTCCACACGATATAAAAAGGGGGTTATACAAGTGTCAACTGCTGCTGCGGTTGGTCTGACTGTAAGGGCTTCGTTACTGGGTGGGTGCTGCTGCTTTGCGTGTTGGGTGCAAGGGTTGAGTGAGTTTGTCAGCCGGAATTTGCTTTGAGCGCATAGAATTTGTGTACATGGGATTAACACGAAATGTATTGGTTGTTAAAAGAAATAAGCCACGTAATAGCTGGAGCTTGTCGTATTTTCTGATCAGATAACTACTGAAATATTCAATCTGCTCAATTACAGTATTTTCTATTGAACACTTCTAGTATTTGTTGACTTGGGCTTCCGGTGTGTTTTTGGCAAACTCTGAAATCCTCTTTTCTAAAAATTGTTTCATATAAAAGTATTGTTTTACTTTCAAAATAATTCAGGCATTTCAATTTGAACTGACCAATATGGCATCCAGTGTTAGTTATTTTCATATCTGTAGGACCACTGTGTTCAGGGATAAGCCTGTCCTGATTGTGAATTAAGTATCCCAATGTCTGGCTGACTGCCTAAAGCTTGGCTGCTGAATAAGAAAAAAAATACATATTTTCCAGAAATACTGGAATTCAAACGTCAGGCGGCTGAATTATTTTGGGAAACTTTTTAAATAAGTGGCACTAATGGGCAGTACTGTTGCAAGATTATTGTACCTTGTTAACATGTTGTTTTCAAGGCATAAAATTCTGTTTTGTCAAGCCAGTGCTGTTATTGAACATGCAGCGGTTCTCATTAGTGTCTTCTATTCTACTCTGCAGGACTTTTTTTGGGGCCTTTAAGAATAATTAGATTATCTCTTTAGGTTAATTTTGATATTGTGTTTGCAGATGTAAAGGGTAAATAATGGTACTAGTTTGTGAGTAAGTAAATGTACTTTTAGCTACTGATTACTGAGAACTCCCCAGTACTAAGTTCTGTTCTTGGAATATTAAAGCAGATGTATCCTCTGAGAATTGTTATCAGGTCATTCAACAGCTTGCCTTTATATAGTGCTCTTCCCATAGAGTAAGATTTTGGAATGCTTCACAGGGACGAGGGTGAACACTGAATTGGGAGGTGGAGGGGAGATGGCCAGAGATGCATTCAGAGAGGTAGGATTTGAGATGGGGCAGAAAGAAATGGGGTGAAACAGAGTGGTAGAGGGAGGAAGTTCCAGAGATTATGAGCATAGGAATTGAGACCTCGGCCACCGATGGTGTGGGGACATGCAGCAAGCCTGAGGAGGGGTGAATGTTGGCTTGAGGATGATGGGCATGTGGAGTTCGGTGCAGGTGAGGATGAGGGCGATGGAGTTCTGGATCAGTTGCAACTGGATCAGGCAGGGCGAAACCTTGGGCAAGTTTCCTTACTCCACACAGAGCCTAATAAGAATCCCTCCAAAACCAAAAAACAATAATAAATTGGTCATTTTCAATCTACGACTGTTTGTGGGACACTGCTGTGCGCAATTGGTTGCCGCGTTCGCCCACAAATATAGTCAATTCACTTTACAGTATATTCTGTGAAGCGCTTTGGGACGTCTAGAAGACGTGAAAAGCGCTATATTAAATGCAAGGATTATTATTATAACTTGTGAATGGTGGAGATAGGGAGGGGCGAGGAGTGCGAACTAAATCAAAGGTAATTGGGCGAGTTTACCTGCGCCAAAAGTAAGACAGGATTTTTCATCAAGATTGATAAGTTGTAATATTTGTCATTATTGAAAGAATAGTCCGCCATGTTCCTTGGAGAAGCTTGCCCATATGATTAAAGCGTGTTATTAGCTGGCCTTGCGTAATGAGGGTGAAGATGTGGGCGTGTCATTTTTCTGTTATCTGCAAACAAATATTCCATACCTCTGTGGGGATGAGGATTTGGAGCCATAAAACACTACTGAATTGCCCCCAAATAATTCTAATGTATGATAAAAAGCTTAGTCTGCTGTAGTGTTTGGCAGTTCTCATAGGGCTGGATCATCGTGCAAAATCATGGTTTGTCTTTGACAAGCAGTCCCCTCCCTCTGAGGCTTTCATTCCCCACACTTCCCCCCACACTCACAGAAAGGTGCCTTTGCTCATGTTTGTGAAAGCCGTGAAGGACATTCTGTGTTGAAAGGGTTGTATGTATATGTAACTCCCAAGAGTTTGTCTGTGAACGAAATGCTACAAGGCATGGAATGTTTCAGCCTTAGTTTTTATTTCACATTCTCTGGTTGCATTTTGAGGATTAAGATTTGCCTTAATGTTTGAATTTTTAGGTAAAGTGTTAGAGCTATGATTCTCCTACCAGCAAACAATGAAAAGTCAGCAAAGATAATTACAATGAGATGGGCTGAGTCGGGAGGAACTGACTCTTGGACCTGGAAGGAGCCTGTTAACCAAAGTCTGGGTTGACCTGAACAATGGACTTGGTGATTCTTAAATCAAACTGATTCTGGAGCTGGACACTGCAATTGAATTTAAACAAAGCTATAATCTTTCAGATCTCGATTTAGATAATTGCCACAGCAAACAGTGAGAAGTCAGCATTTTCTCTCGGTGCTCTTTGTAGTCTCTTTATTTTATTAATGCTGAGCTTCAACGAGACACGCTTTTTTTTTTTACAGAGTAGAATTGTAGCCAAGGAGATTTAGACTGTCGAAAGGCGTTGTCGAACTGGGGCCTTGTAAATATTGTCTTGGTGAATTATGGGGAGAATTTGACGGTTTTAATTCTTGTCCATTGGTCAGTAGACTTTCTGTGGAGTTGTGGAGAGGAATTGAGCATTTGCAGTGAACGTTCAGTAAAGCTTGAATTGGCAGATCCCCAGGAACTGCATTTGTGCAGGTGCAAGATCACAATGCAAAGGAATGTAAATGTTAAATAGAAAAATATGTCCCTGTTCAACAGATTTTCTTTTCAGATTAATTAAAACTTTAAGGTAGATGTCCACACAGAATCTTGGTGAATGGTTTGCAGAAATAACTGAGCAAAAGAGTTATTATAGGAACAGAGGACAACAAGTTGCACCCTTCTCGCAGGATAGTGTCTGAGCGCTGCACACTGGTGCCGAACACGCTGGACGTCACTGATGGATAAATTACTGTAATAATGTTTGAATTTAGTATAGGCCTCTCACATCGGGAGGACAGTTCAAAATGCTTCATACGGTTTACTATGAAGTGCAGTGACTGAATTTGTAGATGAACATTTGCATACAGGAGTGTCCGAAACAGCCATGAAACAAAAAACATTTTATTTGGGGGGTTGTTGGCCAGGAGACACTGGGAGAAATTCCCTTCAACACTGCTTTGGAGTGTCA